ACCCCCCTGCTGTTCACTTGATTTGAGCTTGTAATAGAGAGGATGACGAAGGAAAACTATTTAATCTACCATATTTCTGTGTTTACAAGTGGTGAGCGCCATGCCTAACGGACGGGCTGCAATAAGAGAACTATGATGTCATTTGAATAATTTGATCCTGGCTCATCATTGGTGGAAACCGAGCCCCGAAGGTGATATATCATGAAATGCCTGAAAGTGATTTATCACACAAGGTGATACAAAGGTGATGTATCACAAAAAGCTTTAAAGTGATGTATCATGCGAGGCTTTAAAGTGATGTTACTGATGTATCACGCAAGGCTTTAAAGTGATATATCACGCGAGGTAACACGACTGAAAGTGATATATCATGCAAACCTGAAGGGCTTTGAAGGTGATATATCACACGAACCTCAAACACGACCAAAAATGATATATCACACAAGCCTCAAACATAACTGAAAGTGATATATCACGCGAGCCTCAAGGGCTTTGAAGGTGATATATCACGCGTGCCTCAAACACGACTGAAAGTGATATATCATGTGAGCCTCAAACACAACTGAGAGTGATATATCACGTGAGCCTCAAGGGCTTTGAAGGTGATACATCACAGGACAGGCAGTGGGAAAGGTGAGGGAGGTGATACATCATGGTATATGGACCACAGGCTCTGATATAACATCAGCCTTCTACAATACTAGACATTGATGTATTATACCTACAGGATTTTGTGCGCTATAAGCGTGGGAATAGCGTCGGATAAGTCGCGGGAGCATGAATAGCACTGCGGGAATGTGCGCGCATAGTGCGGGAAAGTGCGGAATAGCGTCAGACAAGGGTTATGGCTGAGACAAGTGAAGACTGCTGATAGGGGAGTAGTGAATGATATGAGGGATAACTTTGGTCCACCTATTGAAGGCTTATGCAGGTATACATGCCTAGCGCCAATATGATTGTCACACCGCCCCTCTCCCTGCTTCTCTGCGATCTGGATCTGATCATCCCATCAAAAGAATACTCCGGAATGATGTTTCCACACCTCGTGTGTCTATTGGTTCTCTCTGTGCCTTTGATTCCTGCAAAATGCTACCCCTTGACTATTTTTCTCCTTGGTTCAATGTGTGCAGGCACCCACACACCATCAAAATTTCTCGGACCCTCATTTCAGTAACTGCCTCGGATATTATTTCAATGCTGCAAAACATGTAGTAAGTGCCCAGTTTTTTACTAGGCTCTTGAATCTTGCCTAACATGTATGGTTTTTCACTCGTTTACTAGAGAATAAGTATTGTGTCTGAAAGCCTGGTTTAAACACGGTGGTCTGGAATGCAGTTGGCCATTTTCCGATGCCCAGCAGCCTGTGTTATCATTGCCCTTCCTCCCAGATTGATTTTTTTTTCTACTTGAGTGTGTTGAATCATTGCAGTTCCATCTGCTTCGCTTTCATCCCACATCTTGTTTCTTTCGAGACAATTTCATCTATTCTCCAGTTGTTGTTTTGTACTATGCTTCTGGTTCTATTCTTATATTTGTGCTGCACTGCATACCAATACAGTTGTCTATGCCATAATGTATACGCCCTTAGTGTATATTTTCAATACTGTATCGAGTTTTCAATGGTCCCACTGTGGGACAGTGAGAAAATCAATGCATAATGTATATTGTATAATGTATTGACCTCGCATGCCTATTATACATTATCAGACAGCACTTTTGGTGGTGGGGACCATTGTCAGTGCCAGCTATTGTCCACACATTGTATGAAAACCCCATGGACGCATTTTTGGTAAACCACTATCCTTAGATGAGCTGCTCGAGCCGGCTGAGGAAAAACAAATCGGGGATTCCCTTGGGTTCGACTTGAATGGTGGGGACATGACCATTGTTGTTGCAGTCAGTCGAGAGATCACTGAGAAATAGGGTGAGGTGATTGAAGCTGATTCTGATGACGACTCGGAAGAAGATCATGATGCGGCCCCAGAGGTTTCCCGTGTAGAAGCACTAGCGCTATGTCAGCGGCTTGAAGGAGCATGCCTTCAGCATGGACATTCTCAGGACTCAACACACACACTTGATTTGTTAAAGCAAATCCGTCGTTTCTGTGTCCAATTACAATGCGAGGAGCTACTCCATGTGAGGCAGACAACGTTAGATTCGTTTTGTAAGTAGATATGTACTCTAGCACCTTTGAATTTCGACACTGTTGAGCGGTGTCACATGTGTTTGTCACATTTAGTCACAATGCGTGACATCGGTTCTTCTGTATAACTTTGATAATGTATAGGTGTGAGGTGGGTCCCGACGTTATACGTTATGGGATAGACAACTGTAGTTCAATGATCCAACACTTAGCTGATGTGTCCCAATTACCAAATAAATAAATTGTGGTTGCGATGGCACAAAGTCCCATTATCCATAACGTGAGGGTTGCGATGGCATGAAGTCCCATTATCCATAATGTGAGGTGTAATTTTTCTCTGAAGTCCAAGTCTTTGAGGCACGTGTGTGATGTACTTGCTCAAGCAATGTATGTCCAAGATCATAGTATATTCTGTAACTCAATACATACAAGTATCTATCAGCATTAAAGACACATCAGTACAATACTCATGCTACGAATGCAAAACACGTCAGGTATTCATAATTTTTGTCTGTGTGAATTGTAAGATTTAATGAAAGAAGAGTGTGATAGAGGACATACCTCTTTGAAGAGGAAAGCGACCCCCCCTGCGATTGGAGCCTTGCGTTTCATTTTGGACTCTCCATTATCTCCAATGTTGTTTGCCTGTGTAAGGTGCGTGGTAGCTTGTCTGATTTGCCCCGTCTTTCTTGGCGCATCGACAAGACTGGGCAAGTGTTTGTCCATGGTCACTGCAGGTGCAGCAGCTCGCTTGCTGATAGTTGTAGTAGTGGCATGGGTTTGTGCTGGTAAGTGCATGCTGGGTGCACTGATAGCATCAGCACTGGAGGTGTCTGAGTCTGTAGTCAGTACAGGTGCAGGTCTTCAGTCCAGATGCTCATCAATTGTGGGCTGCAGGTGGGCTGCGGGTGTTGCAGGGGCTGCAGGTGCTAAAGGGGCTGCAGGTGTTGCAGGGGCTGCAGGTATTGCAGGCTCGGAACCAGACCGTGGAAGGTGAGAGTTTGGAAAAATATAACTTGGCCCCATTTGGAAATGGGGTGTTGAGGAACAGAGGGGAGATGATACCTGCTGGTCCCAGACTTCACGAGTCCATGATAAAATTGGGGGTACCAGTCTGCGAGCTTGACGGTGGTGGACTATAAGACAATGACAGAGTGTCATTGTATAGCGATGGGGTGTAGGGATCAAACGAACTTGTGGCAGGATGTGCAGAGAGGAGCACTTCAGTCCCAGTCTGCGAGCTTGACGGCGGCGGATTATAAGATAATGACTGATATTTATTGTAGAGCAATGGGGTGTGGGGATCAAGTGAACTTGCGGCAGGATGTGCAGGGAGTAGCACTTCAGTCTCATCAATAAAGGACTCTGTGTGTTTGATTTGTCGAAGGTCCAAAGTCCACCAGATGGTATAAAACCTTCATCTGGCCAAACATGTACAGGTGTCAGTGCTTGACTATGTGGAATGCCAACTGGGGGGATGTGTTACTGGTAGAAGCTGCACCCACGAAGTCCATGGTAGGTGGAATGACAGTAGCACTCAGAGGACTTTGAGGGACATAATTGAGCGCACATGTCTTCCTCACATGCTCCGCTGAAAATTTATGGGGACAGATCAAGCAATGCTCATACAAAAACTAATAGCTGACTCACGAAAAATGGTGCCAACAAACTCCAAGTAAGGATTGAGATGGCATTCAATGAAGTCAGGTGTACAATCACGCCAGTTTTGGCCTTTGCCATTGACACCAGTGTGATATCTAAAACATTGTTGTGAGCCACTTAGTCATCACATCTTGACCAAACAAAAACATACATCAACTGCATTGAGCTTACCACTGAGGCGAGGATCGGGACCTGCACCAATGATGGTCCATTCAAAACCTGTCATGTTCTGGATAGCCTGCATAAACTGTGAGATAGGACCAGTGCATTCTTCCAGCGCCCTGATTAACACTCCATCAGCGAACAATCAGATAGCTGAAAGAGGAAGGTCTAATGTTGGATATTGCTCATTGGTAGGAGGCACACTTCCTTCCCCTCTAAGTCCCCCAAGGACTCTAACTTGAGTCTTAGAGTCTTGTTCTTCTTGCACTTTTGCTTTGCACAAAGCACGAACCTCATCGCTAGAAGCTTTATATGCCTTCCTGGTGAGTTCCCTAATGCCGAGGAGCTTTTCTTCTTTTGTGACAAGGGCACCCGTCTCAATTTCCTTCTTCACCCCTTCTTGTACGCTCTCTCTGTACATCATTTTTGAGAAGACCTCAACCTCGCTATGTACTCGTGTACCCTTAGCTCTGTTATTCATCAGCTTCGTCATCGATTTCGTCATCGAATTCACAGCTGCTTTACCGCTCTTCTGGGACTGATTATTGAACCATGTGCAAATTTTCTAGGGTTCCCAAATCAGTGCTGCGCTCTATGAATTTCATGTAAGGTGAGCTGACCTTATGCCTGGCATCTACTGCCTTTCCTAATGCAATATTCTGTTCCTCAGACAGCGTGACCGGTACAGTCTGACCCTTGAATAATTCGTTGACATCGGGCCATTTTGTAAACAACTCAGCATATAGGAGGATCCAGAAACGGGTGACAGTAGCCTGGAGTTGCGCCTCTAAGAAAGGGCTGTAGTATTTCTCCAGAAAGGCCTTCTGTTCTGGTGTAGTCCATGTGACACCTGGCATATTTGGCTAACATGTTCAAGCAGTGAGTTTTTCATTTTAAAACATGCGTCATAACTTACTGCAGTCAGTCTTGAGTAATTTGAGTTGCGGGCGCTTCACAGAGTTAAAGATTGTAAAATTTGATCAGCAAAGGTTAGGCTTTCTCAATTGGAGTCAGAAAATTAAATTCACAGGGACGACAGCCAATAAAATCGCCTTCGCCACATTGCGAACCATCTATATTAGCATGCAGGGTCAGACAAACAATGTCGGTCTCAATGTTCACACCGTTTACAATGTTCCACAGTCTACTCAGCCTCTAATGTTTACCCTTGCCGAGCTCGCTGCTGCTTTGCAGTTGATAAAGGACCAGAATGGTGAGTTTTAGTACCATGCTCTTGTTACCTCCACTAAATTTTTTGGTGGCAGACATCTTCAATTCTCATGAGGATGACGGTCCTGAGCCCATCCCTTCGCCTTCTCATGGAGGCTGTCCTGCATGTGTTTTCCGTGCTCATCGCCACACATGCTATGCATGTGGCACGAACATCGCCGAAATCATCTGTACCATCCACATGACTACTGAGCTTTCCCCTGAAGAACTTGCCACCAGTAGCCGTTCTGATTTTGAGGGGGTACCTGGGTCCTGAAGAGGTAAAGATGCATTCCTTTTTCTTTGAATCTCCAGTAACATTCTATGACTCACAGAAATACACGCAATCTCACTAGAACGTCACCATGTGTCTGTAGAGCTTATATTGCCTGGACATGTATCTTACTATAGTTGTGTATGCTACCTACATAGATGTCAAATGAACCATGTTTTGCACTTCTTGAAATTTCAGTGAGGAGTCAGCGGCAAAAGTGTACAAATTCTAGAGTACCGTCCATGTTGACAATGTGAATACATATCGCATATATCAGGACCTTGATTCAAGCTTTTTGAGGCTTAACCGTGTTGCAAAGACAAGTATTTGTATTTATAGTGCTACATATAATGTTATCAGTTTCGGTCCAACTACTGTCGAGTGGCTGTTTCTAGTACAGTTTTGGTTTGACTACTGAACAGATTTCTAGTGTACTGTCCATGTCGGCAATGTGAATACAGATAAAATATATCAGGACCTTGATTTAAGCTTATTCAAAGCTTAACTGCATTGCATAGACCTTGTATTTGTATCGATAGGTAGCTACTATAGGTATAATGTTATTAGTTTTGGTCCGACTACTATGAAAAGTCTGACTTGACTGCTTCTTTTCAAACATTTTCTACCAACCACCACCGCAACACTACAACCTCTCAGAATTATGCCTTGTCCTTCCATTCATAAGACACTCAAGGCAAAACTGCAAGCAAGTCGTGAAAAAAATCGATGTCATTATGCCAAGTAAGTCTAACTACTTTTATTAATTGTGTCCGTTGATCCCTGAGCCAACCGGTTGGATTGAAGGAACAGAGACAGAATCTTAAGCCGGCGGAGAGAGCTTCATGTTGAAAAGGACACAGGGCCATCAGACCTCCAGAAAGCCGTTGCACGAGCTTTACATGGTTATGACTCAGAGGATGAGCTGGATATGTCTGGCAATTCTGACATTGTTGAGGAGAATGATGCATCTGATGTCGATATCACACCATATGTCATCTTGTCATCTTATAAATAGAAAATGAAATGAACATAAAATTAACACCCAAAAGATCCGATCTGCCGGGGTGTCTGCTTGCTATGAAAAGGATCAAAGATGACATGGTGTCTTTGATTGATGAACCTTGCGCATTTACTGAGGCTGTCTTGCTTCAGTTTGTCAAGAGCATCACATATACAGATGACCGCGCTGACAATGGTGATCAAACCATTGTTACAAACATGGTGGCCAAGGTCCAAGCCTTACTCAATGAAGCCATCCCTATTCAAGACGAAATCCATGAGTATTGTGGTTCCTTAGCAGCCAAGTATCGTGCCACTAACTCGGTCTGTCATTATCTCAACACCACACTCGGATATTTGGAAGATATTGAGTACTACTTTGATGTGGAGGGAATTTTGGAGATCTGCATTGCTCACTCTATGGGGGAGTTGATGTATCAGAAGGGTATTTGTTTTTGAGTCTTCACGTTGAGTGGCTTTGTCAATGATATATCTAGTATACATTTGCTCGAGTGTAGGCTTATTTCATTACAAAACTAGCAATGTTCACACCCACATCAATACCACACATGTAAGGCACATGACTGTGTTTATCAAGTCATGAACTTACCTTTGGAAGGTTGTTACACACAAGCAGCATGGCTGCATCAATAAATACCAAGTCTCTGTGCATCCCTCACCATTTGTATCTGAGTCATGGGTCGCCGTAGCAGCGTCAAAAGATATTAGCCGGACAGCAACAAGGCTCAGCTGCAACAGACAACTGGAGACTTGCATAAACACATCTCTCATACTATCACAGGTCCTGGACGTGTTTCTACTAACACTGAGTACTTTGTAGGCCCCATAGATATGCCGAATATTTCTGCAGTGGCTCCAGACTCGTCACTCGCCGACACTGCCTACGATGCTATCGACTGTGCTTACATGGATTATCTCAACGAGACAGATGATGCGCCTAGAAAGCGCAATCGCACGGCAGGGGTGAGTTCTTTGGATATGCTGATTGGAATTTTTTGTGATTGATTGCGCCTTACACTTAGGATCATCCAATGTTCACATGGCTGTTAGAGCGCAATTCATTCCTTCTCAAGCTGCTTCGACTGGACGGTCGCGGGGATTACATTTTGCAAGATACATGTCGAGGTGGTATAGAATGCCTTTTTCCTCCTCTTTATCGGTGCAAAGATTGTTTTACTACAGAACTGTACTGTAAACACTGCACTGTAGAGAAGCACCATGAAATACCGTTACATAGGATTGAGGTATGTGCTGTGTTGTTGATGAAATACATTCTCACAGTTTTGATTTAACAGTATTGGAATGATGGCTACTTTTCGCATGCAACACTCAAATTCCTTGGACTGCGTATACAGCTCAGTCACGCGTGCGGGGAGTGTTGCTACAACCCATCACCAGCATTCCACGACAATTTTGTAGTGCTGGATATCAATGGTGTGCACGAGGTTGCACTTGACTTCTGTGCATGTCAACTTGCACAATCTCATGCTATTCAACTACTGCGCACACGGTGGTACCCTTCTACAACCACTGCTCCCCAAAGCGCTGCTACTCCTCGACTTCTACACCACTTCCACATACTTTCCTTCGAGTCCAAGGCGTCTGCGTTTGAATACTGGCAACTGCTGGCTCATCTCACAAATAATACGGGAGTGAGTCCTACAAAGGCAAGTGTTTGATGCCATTCAGCTTGGCTTTTGAATTCTGACCGTTCTATTACAGGATTGCTATGAGGCATTGCTGAGAATGATCAAGCAATGGTGAAATATCACACTGCTTAAATGGTTGGGTCTTGGACATGACCCTGCCGGTATTCATGCTGCCACGCCAGGCGCCTGTGCAGTGTTGTGTGCTGCATGTCCCCAGCCTGGAAAGAACATGCCAGATGACTGGCAAACCGCCCCACCTGAAGTCCGGTATGCTATTCACTTATGTTTCTCTGCAAGGTACTGATAGCAGCTGTTATGTAGTTGGAAATTTGCCCTTTTCCTTGCAATTGATGCAAACTTTCGTTTGGCAAGGAAAAATGTTTCTTTTGATGTTGACCCTGGTCTGAGTCGGGGCTGGTCATATTTTGTCGAAGATCGTGAATTCAAGTCGTTTCTGAATGACGCAGGAACACTGCCTCAAGAGGTAATTGTCTTTCTTCTCAATTTGCCAACACTGCTGTAACATTCTATTTGAACAGAAAAGCACATGCGCAAGTCACAGCGCTGTGAATCTTGCAGATACAAAAAATGCACGTGGCTTGGCAGTGACAGGTGTGGGTACAGTAGATTGCACTCGTCACAATCTTAAACGACTGTGTGCGATTGGTGACCTCCAGAAGGGTGAACGGTATGTGACCCTTTCCAATGACAATAATCAAGCTGGTAATCTACATAGATATGTTAACATGGACTACCTTCTCTTCTCGACGTTGCAACACACCCGCGACATCATAGTTCTCAATATATCGTACAACATTGCTTGTCAATGGAGCAAGCATATCTGGAAATGCATGTCAAGCTATCCCTCCGCTATTCATTTCGACCGCACTGACAAGAATGTTGTATTCCTCGTCCCGAAGTTTCACCTCCCTGCACATATCAATGCTTGCCAGATCAGATTCTCGTATAACTTAGTGAAGGGTGTCGGCCGAACAGATGGTGAAGCTCCCGAGCGGGGTTGGGCTAACATCAATCCAGTGGCCACGAGCACATGCGAGATGGGGCCAGGATCACGGTGAGACACCTTGGACGACCATTTTGGGGATTTCAATTGGAAGAAAGTATCAAATTTTGGTAAGCTCTCGTTTAGCTTTCTTGTACTTTGCTATGTATCTAATGTTTCATCAAGGTATCAGCCTTTTGCACAGGATAAAGACCGCTATCCCAGAATGTGATCTCCATGTATGAGATTTTGAAGATTTTAACCAAATGCTGTCGCACGAGCGACTAAATGAAGTCAATGCATGGAAGTCGTTGATTGAAAGATGGGAAGAAGATAGATCACAGCCCAATCCTTTTGAGATAATGAGCAAATGTACGCCCTGTGTTTTGTCCTCGCATCTTGACATAGACTTAGATGTTTCATTTTTTTTAGCAATGTCACAAGCTGCTGTGCGCCTCAGTCTTTCACAGAAAGAAGCCAGCGATTTAGAACGTGGTGTCAACGATTCACTTCACTCGGATATCTCTCCAAGTATATTGATTTCCTCTGGCATGGACTACGAGGATCAACAGTGAGTGGTGTCCCATTTTCCGTTTACACAACACTGAGCGACTATGACACAGATGTCATCTTCGGCGTGACCATCGCGCCCTCAGTGTTCATGCAACCGACCTGCAGCTCGCGAAGTTCCAGGAACGTAGCAATGCATTGCAGCGCAAGATTGCTCAATGGTGTACGATACAGCTACTGTACTTCCCCTCAGTAGCTCATCTTCGATCCTCCGACATCGAGTCTAGTATAGATTCTACCCAGGAGGAGAAACCCACCGATATTAACCTGTGGTTGCCATCACAGATCAGGTGCGAGACACTGCTTCCATGCAATGACAGTTTCTCCAAATACGAGTGGGATTTACGGCGTGCTCAGGCCTTTGATGCCCTTGAAGATCTCCGCCGGCACCTCCGCCTTCGAACACATCTATACATCAAGAACGTTGAAATCAACGTATCCGTGGCTGCTGAGCGCTATCACAGAGCCTGGAACGCATTAAGTGCTCTTGCACCTTCCCTAGCCAGGGACGCGTGGACGCCAGAGCTGCCAAAGTTAGAGGAAGGGGACATCTGAGGGATGGGAGACAGCGAGTTTGGAGAGTCGAGCGGGAACCACACCTTGTCGTGGATATGGAAAGTGCGAGGTGTAGCTACTGCAGGGATGGAGGGTGAGGCAGTCCTCTCAGAAGGTGAGTGACCACGGTGTGTCAATACTTTGGCTGAATGTTTTGTTAGCTTTGCGAGTCGAATGGTGTAGATCGAGGGCCTGTGCCAACCAGTGGGTCGAAGAAGTGGAACTCCTGCTTGAAGAGATGCGGTGTGTCAGTGCTTTTCTTGCATGGCATGCTGCGTGGTGGGACGAGCAGGCCACATGAAGGGTAGGCCTAGATGATGCTTCATTGGAAGGCATCCGAGGCTATGCCAAACGCCAAGCGGCCCAGCGCAGGTCTATGAGAGATGTATTCCTCACCAAGTGGAGTATTGTACCCACCCTCCTTCATCCCGAAGCAACCGCTGCTCCCGTTTAGTACTGTCGGTACATTTTGACATACCTTCTCTTCATGCCAAATACAGACTTTTGACATCTTTACTCGCGTGATCGACACATCATTCTCAAGAAGCTACAATCCAGGCCCTGGGCCCTGGTATGCTCAGATCTCGCAATCAATATATATATATATAAGTGGGCAGCAAGCACTATGGTCAGATCTCGCGATCAAGATGTATATAAGTGGACAGCGAGTACTATGGAGCAGCAGGAGTGAGGTTATGTATAATGGATAACAAAGGATATTATCAGGGATCCATGACAAGGAAGGATAACCAGTTGTCTCTAATGAGACTTAGTTATCCATAATACTGCCAGGAGCAGGTGTTCGTTTCCATCTTCCAGCACTCGTTCCATGACTTCTTTCTTGTGTTCCAATAGTGCAAATGCTGTTTTTATCTCGTCAAGTGATATGGATTCAGGACCTGCAAGATCGTCATCAATGTTCTGAGTCTGAGGTGCGAGTGGTGGTGCCCATGCAAAATTAGCTTCTAGATCAGCAGCTACATCAATGTTAATGCCTGGCTGGGCACTGGTGTGCATGTGTGCATGACGTCGACAAATTGGCCTGCCATTAGCCAGGGCCTTCTGGTGACTGTGGTAATGAAGATTGGCTTGAATTTTTGCCAGTGCTTCAAATGTGTCTACTGTGAGATTGCAGCGCTTTGGAGACTGAGTGCTACCCATATCCAAAAAGAGGTGTTTGACATCGGCAGCATGGGGAACAATAGATAAGAGGGTGATTGCTAATGCCTTCAAAGGATGTCTGTTGCCACAGACTGTGAGGCTTTCCCACCATGCCAATCCATCAGCTTGTCCACCTGAAAATGGTGCGCAGCACAGGTTATATGCTTTGAGGTCATCAACGAGCAGTTTGGCCTTTTGTTCTCCCCATCGCCATTGTTTAGCGACAGCAAGTGCAGTTTTGACCATGAACTTGAATGGTCTTCCTTTGGAGGCATCTGTCACAGTAAGTTTGCGACATATTGGATGGAGGAAGAGCGCAAGAGAATGTAGGTCAGTGTTTATTGCATGGAACCGATGGTTGAAAACTGATTTTGCATGCATCCAGAAGCCAGTATTGTTGTCCTCAGCATCGAGTGTTAGCTGTGACATCTACTTCGCACAGCAGATAAGGTCCAACAAGCAATCAGCAAGTGTGGCTTCACGCGACTCCAAGTTTCCAATTGCATCAACCAGGAACTTAACTGTCTTCATGAGCTGGTTGAGCAGTTTCCAGTACCAAACATCGTGGAGTACTGTTGCAACAACCACCAGGGCAACTGGTGTCTGATTGTTTGTTCTTTTCTTGGCATCGGGATGCAAACATGTATGTTATAGTGAACTCCTGTAGGTGTGATTCTGTCAGGATATGAACATTAAGTTTAAAATCTACTTACCGGTAGGCAAGGACACTCATGCTTTGTAACACAAGTGCATAAAATCGACTCTCACAGTTTTGTTTCATCTTCCGGTTGATACCCTGCTTCTTCGCCTCGCCATTCAGTTGCCCACCCCAGTAGTGAGATGAATTGAAGGAGTTCACAATGTGCATCGACTTTGATACAATTTGCTTCATCAGCGGGAATGAGCATATCTTGCCAATGAGGGTGTTCAAGCTATGGAGGAAACACAGGAATGTCTGAATTATTGACATATCAATACACGACAAAGTCTGCAGCGAAGACAACACTTACGAGAACCCAAAAGTAAGATTCCTGGAATTTTCGGCGGAAAGCCTGTGTAACAGTGGGGTTGTCTGTGGTCACAGCTATGACCCATTTTCCGTCATTGATTTCCATGGTCTTCATTGTCTTTTTTGATGCAATGAGCAGGTTATCTGCAGTACCTCAACTGCCAGTCATGTCCTCAAGAGCGAGGACTACAGAAAGCTGCTTCACCTCAGCTGCAACGGACCCATACAGACTTCTCCTCAGCAAGTCTTCCCAACCATCAAGCAGAAGAGTGAGTTGGTTTCGCATTTTGAGCCAGTGTCTTCTTACTTGAGGGTCTTATATGTTGAACAGAATACAATGACTATCACAATTGTACTCTTCAAGACTAAGGTGCCAGCTCCTCAAGTTCACGGTCAACGGATTTTCTACTTCTCGGTTGATAATGTGGTGTTCGGTGGCCAAAGGGTAATAAATTACTTCTTTGCTAGATCACTTCTGATAGTAAAGGAGTATATATATTTTGTCAGGTTAACTTAAACCTAGTAGGTAATATGAACCTCTCTGAATTGAATGTGGCACGAATATGTAAAACAATAGATTATTGTATAGGTGATCCCTGTAAGATAGTATACAATCAATCTAGACTAAAAGAATATGATTGTTTTCAAAGGCAACTCGTAGGCCTTCACTTTCTTCGTGATCTCACACTGTTGAGACAGAAAGTGGGAAAACTCCTGACTTCAAATTCCTACATTCCCACACAGTTTTGGAAAAGAATGGAAGGGGAAAAACTTATATATTATGTGAGAATGGAGTCCTTATATACATTTTCGAAATCATCCTTACTAAGCAATGAGTCATCACTGGATTGGTAAGATTATGCTTACAAATTAAGCCTTTTGGTGTGCTGAATCAGCTCCTTACTAAAGTACATGAGTAAAATATTACAAAGCATGATGAATCATGACAAAACATGATGGGTCATGGAAAGTCCTTACAAATCAGAATATTACCAGTCACATGACATGCTTACAAACATATCTGAGTGGCTCACTGATGTAATCAAGTGGCTGAATAAACATAAACAAATAATGGAAAGAGACAGAAACTAATGGAAACTACAAATACAACTAAATAAATAGAAACAAAGCTTACATAAGTGAGAAGTATATCCTTTGTACACTCCTCTACTCATCTCCTTTTACACTGCTATTTGTATATGTCATGGTATGAACTCCATACCATGCATGACACTGGTCAATTTCTTCTTGTTGGACATGCACTAATTCAGTGTCCATCAGCGTATGTGATAGTACATATTGGGAGGGTGCCGTGTATGATGGCCAAATCTCGTTAAGAAACTCAAGCAAGTAGTCATTCTCGCCCGCAGAAAAAGCTATATTAGCATCAATTATGAACCTGAAACCAGTTCATTAAACTGTAAGTATCAATTGACTTATATATAGGCTGCACTTACCGCAACAGCTTGACATTCGTGCGAGAATGCTGCTCCTTTGTCAGGGGGTAATCCATATAGCCACTCAAAGGGCCCATTTTGCGTTTACCAAGCACAACTGGTTCTGAACTGCCTTGTATGGTAGGAGAAGCATTAATATTATCAGAATTAATGAATTCTACGGCATGTTCTCCACCAGCCTTGTCCATAACAAACATGTGTGCCTCTTTTCATATTTCTGCTGGACATTTTTTACACTTGTGAATATGGTGGTTTGGGAGTTGGTTGTCATGACCTTGGATGTGGACAGCATCTGGACAGTGTTTGCAGGACCAGTAGTAGCGTCCAGATTTGTTGTCGACCTTCTCGCCACGGTTGAAATTGTCGGTTATGAAAGATGGGACAGGGCGTCCAGTGCCGAGTGCAGTGGCAGGCATTGTATGATTGCAAACGATTGTCTATGTAGTACAGGCTGTATTACTGGAAAATTTTCTACTCTACAGGTAAGGAAGTACAGTTACTCTGAGTTGATTGAGAATTTCAGGTTACTATGGCCATATAAGGTGAAGACTGGTGAAGAGGGTTATTAGAATACCCTTTCACTGTGATTCCCTGTAGTTTGACATTCTGCTGGATTCTGGCTGGCAGAATGGCAGATTTCTGCCCACAACACTACCTGTGGGGAGAAGTCCTTGTCGTCCTAGAGCCACAATACAAATAAAGCCATACATTAGTCATCATACTATAGCTGAAATTTTGGAGGACAACTCCCCACAGAGCGACTGGTAAAATTTGTAGTGGCACGATAGTTAGGCCTTGTTTGTCCCACCTAAAAAATTCAAACACTTGCTGCCTATCTCAGCATGAGTCAGCTTGTATCCCGCCCTCCTGCCCCGCCACTTCCATATAGACCTGAACAGGTACCTTTTTTCTCCCTTGACTCTTGCATAAGATGTTCTGGTCGTAATAATCTTTCCCGCACTTTGGGCACTTGTCATGGTCTCACCAGGGCCCACACAATGCTATGCACATGTCTATGCACATGTCATGCACGATAGGCTGAATCCCACTGAGTAAAGCAACACAACAGCGAATCTGATAATGAGATAGGATTTTGGAGTCAGGAAAGCGCTCCATGATAGCCTGGCAAATGGAATTGTAAGCAGCTTCGGTGGTGTTGGCAAGGAATAGCTTCAATGACAAGAGTACATCAGGATCATCAATAGCCAGAATCTCTTGAGGTGGGTTGCAAAGGCATTCAAGAGCATCTGGATCAAAACTGATTACTCCATCATCCAATGTTGCACTACAAAGGGCTTCAATGAAGACCAAGGCATGTTTGATGTCATTGAGTCTTGTAAGACGAGAGAGCTCCGCAAGGTCCGCATCATTAAGTCCAACAGTATGATCTTGTTGGGGGGTCTGCACCATTAGTTTAGGCTTGCCTGGTGGCATAAATTGGATACATACTGTGATCTAGCTGATGAATATCAACATCAGGTCCATGGAAATTGCCTTTGTCATCCTGATTTGCGATGTTGTGTCCCTCATCACAATCCTCATTGGCATGGCCCTGGGTACCACCATCACAAGTTTCAAATGTGTTCTCAGGAGCAGGGGTGTTATCACATCCATGAACTGTGTTATCATGGTCCTGGATCCCATCATCACCGTGAGGTACAAAGTCTGGTATGTCCTCCTGTATAGGTTGTGCTATGTCAGAATATCGAAACCCTTGAGAATATTGATCCATCTTACCTTGAAGTGCAAAGAACCATCGACTGATCTGTCTGCAGCCTCTTCAACACATCTGCACTTGACAGGAGTAGGGTTGTGCATGAGCTGGACATCTGTGTCATTGAGCTGGACACTGATGGAAGTAGTGCTAGAATTCAATTGGATCAATGTGGTGAGGGATTTGTTGAAAATGGCCCTGGGAGCATGATATTTAGCATGACAGAAGTATGTAGCTTGAGATACATACTGGGGAAGTCCTGCACATTTTGTAGTACAATCGCAGAGGAATTGCTGCTCCATGTGATCACAATTCTCGACTCACGATACTGCAGATTACCCAAAGTGGAGTGTGCACAAAGTGTAGGAAATACAGGACCATGAAAAAACTCGACCATTGTGTATAGGATTGCACAGGAAATGCAGGAAATGCAGGCTGTATGTGCTGATGGTCACTGTAGAAAGTTAAAACTGATCTTATCTGCAGAGTGTAGGATTGTTTGTACCAATACATATCATCGCTGTTCAATTTATATCTATTGTATCTACCCTATTCGATTTATATCCACCTCCACCTTGCTTGTTTTCACTGGGGGTTAACACCAGCCCCAGTCTGCCTGAAGTACTGCAATGCATTTTGTATTTAGTCCTAAGACTGATATCCAGTGGTTAGTCAATGCATATGAGAGGGGGAAAGGGGCACACTAGGAAAGGTGGTTGCCCACTGCCTGCATGAATTTATTCTTCTCCTCAGTGTACATACTCCCACATGTCGGAAATCTCGAAAATCCATTTTAAGCCATCATAATGGATTAAAATAGACAAATTCAGTGGCACTATTTTAATCCTGATGTAATAAGAGAGTTGTATTACAATGCAATTATTATTACCATTATAATTTTATTTGTAACGATGCTGGCAATAGAAATTCTAACCAATAGTGACAGTTGTAATACACTTTGCAATTCCCATTTAGAGCTTATTTGAACATTGCAGATTATCACAATATCCGCTATAATAACCATTAAATTACCAATGGAAATTGAGCTTGCAGGTCCCACGAGGTTTGTTGTAATACTCCGAATGTAATTGCAACCAGTCTGGAACATATTGTAACTTGACCGGCAGTGTTATTTGTATAAATTTTATCATTAGATCCACACGATGTAGTCAAATGCGTGTCAATCACTATGAAGTAACTAATTAAATGGCATAATAATACCTGGACCCCAACCAGGCAATGGACATCAGTTGAATGTTTGTTCACAAAGACAATAGACATGACATTACCTTCAACCAGTATTAAGAACGATTCAGATCTCTCGAGGCCAAGCACTAATACAGGGGGCGGACATCGAGCCACTCATCACATTGACAAGCCTTGATATCAAGCTGATGGTCTGATGTCCTGGACTTCTAAAGCAGCCAATGCTGAACCCATGGTGATGGGGGTTACAGTGTTTTCAAAGTTGCAAGTCAACAACGACGATACGGCGTAGGTGGGTGCTTGAAGGTAGCAATAGTTTGTCAATCTGAGTCGGTACCACATGCTGGGAAGTCCTTCACAAGGTGGTCTCGCAGAAATACAAAGTCCTGGAATCATCGACAAGAGGAAGGATTAGAAGTAGAGAATATTTGAAGATTGGTCTGCAAATGCTTCAAAACTATGCACAAGAGCTTGGTATATCACAACACACCTTTGCCGAGACTAGGTAGGAGACATATGCGTCTTTAGTTTCTGCAAGCTCCTTTACAGGATCTTTGACAGTAACAATGAGATACCCCTCCCACTTTGGATTGTGTGGACTCCGTTCATCCTCTGTCCCTGCCATACTCTGCTTGAAGCCTGGGCCAGACGGTTGGATGGTGTGATTGGCGTCATAGGGTGCCGAAGGGGACTCCAAAGTAACACTGTCAAACATGTCCTCTTCATCGCCGAGCATGTCAGGATCTGCTATTAACTTTCGGGCTCACCGCTGGTATTGAGAAAGCGTTCATCAGGCTTGCGTATGCATGCAAATGCATTGAGGAGGGTGTCTGAGATGTTATCGATGAGTCCTGGTGTGGGTTCTGGCCCTGGAGGGTGTGCGAGATGTTGATGCATATGAACGTGCTGGAAGGTGTCTGAATCAGGGGCATTTGGACTGCGCTAAATTGACGTACTCATTCTGTTGACTCGAAGAACGCATGGACAAGAGTGCTACGTTGTAGGGTGGGATGTCGGGATATCCATTCAAGGAAATGGTGGAGGCTGTCAAAAATGAGACACTGACGAGTCCACACGCCACAAATATGTACTCTAGTCTGCGGCGCTCCATAAACTCTGGGCTAAAGTGATCGCCTGTCAGGTACTCTATGCGTGGTTAGACAATATTGAGATTACGAGGGAAACATATACAGCTGCCAGATGTGACATACCTTGAGATCAAATATGATGGGGAAGCCAGACATGGCAGAGGCTGGATTCAGTTAGACCAGTTGGGCTGGGAGTGGGTGAAGTTCGAAGCAGAGATGAATCATGAGCAGAATGACGAGTTTGAGACACCAGAAGGGAGAACTTCATATTGGAATGACGCAGAGCTCACCAATATGTAGGCACCCAAATCCTAAGTAGCATACATCAGACGCCCCATAATTGACTGCAAAAATGAAACAACACACTTGTTCCTGATACTAAGAGTCATGGTGAAATATGCGGAACACCATAGGAGCCATGCTACACATCCAGTCCCCTTAGTCTTGATGGTATCAGCACTCGACCAATCATAGATTGCTTTCATGTAGAGCCAAATCAGAATTGTTGACCTTCTGATGGATCACCACAAATCAGTCTCCCAGGTAAGCTAAGCTCCCCTGGTTTTGGAATCCAAAGGGCTTTGTGTGCTCCTGATCTTTGATAATTTTGTTAAGCTTCTGCACCAGGTATTTGCCTTGCTGATTTGCGACTGTAAATAGACATTGTCAAGATGGGAAACTCGCACCCCATTATGAGTGCCAAATAGGGTCATGGGCAGACAGACCTTGTGCAGTGGCAGGATGGAGCTGTCCTTTGATGTTTGCAGTGTCACCAATAGCCCATTGACAGATTCAGACATCTGGGTGTCTATGCAAGTAACAAGTTGATTATAGAGTGTCAATAAACCTTGAAGACAATTCAGAGCTTTAAGAGGTCGACAAATGCAATAATAAACAGGATGACGTACTTTGAAACTGAATGGTCCAGGTGCAGTGTTGTAATGTGGGGGGTGATGGCAGTAATAAGGCATTGTCAGAGGTGCAACGAGGATTCAGAGACTTAATGATGGTGTAATAGCAGACCAACATTGATTCAGAGTCTCTGAATCAGTAATAATATGGTAAAGGTCAGAGTGAAAAATTCAGAGCAGTGTTACAATGCTGATGTAATCAATTGCAAGTGAGTCAACACTGTTTAACTGTTTAAGCTGGCCATTGGCATGTGGTTTCAAAACTGTAGCAAGTACATTATAATATGGCAAGCCTCGTTATACAGTAGAACTGTACTGTGCTAACTATTAGAATATCCCTCCTTGACAAATTTAGATCACTTTTTCTTGCGACAATCAGACTTGCGAGCTGCAGCTTGATCTAAAGCATCCTGGACCTTCTTTGACTTTTTCCTTGATCTACGTTTATTACCCTGGATTACCTCTGAATCATCAACCAGTTCAACAGTTGAACTATTGGTATTCACAGGCAGTTCCTCAGTCATGTGAGCCTGAGGCTCAGTATGGATGGGCACATGCAAATCATCTTCTGGGGCAAGTGGCAAAGCTGGGGGAGTGCTGGAAGCTACATCCAAAGGTGCAGATGGTGGAGGAATAGATGGGTTGACTTGGACGGCAGTGACAGTGACAGGAACGGCGCTGATCTCTGGGGCAGAGTCCAAGTCTGAGTCTTCAGCATCATTAGCTTTTAGACCGGCCATTGTGAGAGCGATCTGCGCCGTAAAATCTTCACCGTTGGGCATATTTACAGGCAACTTTGCAGTTCCGAAAATGTGCCCTTCGATGTGCTGCCTGTTTTTTGTGAGATACAGAGTCCCCCAGCAACAAACCAATATTTTCTTGAAGCTGTAGAATAAGTTCTTGTATTGAATTCCCAAGTTCTTCCCTTGTCCATCCTGAGAGAACGTAGTGTCGGGTGAAAGGAGGAAAATAGCCTGTTGATAGATCATGCTCGATGATGACACAAACACCAAGATAAGCCACTTACCATTGTCGCGCTCCATGCTATTGCTCCTGGAGTGATCGTTGATATTCCCCAAAGCTTGAAATTCCTGGGTGGCCCGCCCTTCTTCCCAGAGGTGAGAGATGCTTCACCCATCAAAACAGCTTTCAAGATCTGTGAATAAACAGTCAGTTATGTACTAACAAAGATGTCAACTACACACTTGCACCAGTGGTCTCCAGTTGCCGAAAATGGTTGAATTAGTAGCGTCAGGGTGTGCATCAGGGAAGAGGATGGGCGGAAAGGGTGGATATGAATGGTTTCCAGGTGTGGTGCCCAGCAGATCACAAAGCTCTTTGATCGTGTCCCACTTCGTGGATGTGACTAAGTAATCAGAATCCAGGTTGAAGATGCAACTTCCGACACGTCTCAACTTGATGAGCTCGGATGACTGGCCTGCTTTGAGTGATTGTTGCAGTTGGACAAGAGTCAGCACATAGAAGTTTATTTGATAGTATAATAAACACGTACAATCTTATGGAAATGGTTCGAGGCAACAAGGTGATGCAGGTGTTGATGAAGCATACTATAAAGCTCGGACAATAGTGCGTCTTCTTCAGCAGTGGAGTTCGCATATCAAGCAGCTTGTTCAAATGGCAGAGCAGACACCAGCAAAGCCTTCTTGAGCAGTTCAGCATTCAGCAGGAACATCTCATACATAACACCATATTTCTTTGCAAATGTCTTCACTTCTTCATCGAATGCGACAAGATCCGAGGGTGCCTTGGAGGATTTGCGAGTGGGCTGGTTAGCCTCTAAAATCATGTTTTGTTCTTCCAAAATTCAGTTGCACTGCTTGATAGCATCTAACTGGAGCTGCACCTGCCTAAGAGTCTATTGGAACAGATCAGGAACTCCTCAACATGATGGTACAGTTATTAACTTACCACACTAACATGGGCTTCTTCGCGGGAGCGGTGTCATGCATGGTATGTGACACATACCATGACATATACATAGCAGGAGTAATAAGGAAGGTATAATACACCGGACTGTATCCTATCATCAAGTTACCCCATCATTTTTCCCTTAGTTATTAGCTAGTATTTTCACTTTCAAAACTTCACTTCCATTTTTCCATGTATTTCTATTTTGTTCCATGGGATTCTATCTCTTTCCATTTTTCTAGGCATATTTATCCATCAGACTTCCTCTCCAGCCACAAAGCATGTTTGTAAGCTTGTCATGTGACTGGTTAATAATCTGATTTGTAAGGATTCAACTTGACTCATCATGTTTTTGTCATGATTTGTCATGCTTTGTAAGACTTGCAAGTGTATTTATAAGCTATTTAGTAAGAAGGCTGATTCAGCTCACTCAAAAGATTGGTTTGTAAGCATGTTCTTACCAATCCTTGGGATGACTCATGTCTTTTATTCATCTTTCTTTGTAATATTACATTGTATTAATAAGCTAGTTATTAAACAAGCTGACTCAACACACCAAAAGGATTGATTTGTAAGAATGTTCTTACCAATCCATGTGCTGAATCATGCTTAGTAAGATGGCCTCCAAAAAGGTATAAAAGGAGCCCATTTTGCCACTGTCAATCTAAGCTTCCCACTTTAAACCCTGTTCTCAAATCAAGTGAAATTACCTAAGAAATAAAGTGCAGGCAAAACCAGTGCCTTGAAGTAAGACTAAGAAACGTCTATCTGAGTTATATACTACCTTACAGGGGTTGACTATATAACAAACTAACCTACTAAACTTAAACTAAACTTCATACATATAAATAATCTCTCTCTTTCACAGGAAGGGAGAATCAAGCTAAGAGAACTACTTCACACTGAGGCAAACTTTCATAGGGTGAAATAAACCTATTTAATTGACAAAGACCTCAAAGCAAACCTACAGAGAGAAAGCAAGAAGGGGACATTTTTAAGTAAACCCTCCCAAGAACTCACATATTATCTACCACGAAAACTAGAAAAGTCGTAGACCGTGTACTTAAGGACTGGCAAGAAGTCTTATCCTATATAGTTGTGCTGTCACTATATACGTGTTGTATATAAGACCCTTAAGTAAGAGGACAGCGGCTCGTGTGGTTGGAACCTGCCATGTTAGCTCTGGGGTTTGGGTTAGAGATAGAGGGCTGAACAAGACCACATTGATGCAGGGGAGTGCTACTCTCAAAGTCAGAGTTGTTCGATCCATTGTGAGATGGTGTGCTCATGATGGCAGGATGAGAGATGGGAATGCAATGGAAATGTTCTGACACAGAAGAGTCATCAATGCTTCAAATTGTTGTTGATATTATATACCATTCACCTGTGGTGGATTTCAGATCAGAGAGTCATAATCAAGGTGCGCAATTATGATGATGTCTCAGAATGGGGCAGCGTGATGAGGTCAAAGGTTGAACTGAGTTGTATTGATGAACTGTTGTCAATAAACACAGTCATTACATTGTTTTTGGGTCCTAATATAATAACACGATGCATCAGCATATTGATCAAACTACAGGTGGCGCATACACATCACTTTTGCAATCCTATCTGCAAAAAGCACAGCACCTTGAACTCATACCTTGACAGTGCAGAGCTCTATGAAGGAATGGAAAAGTCAAACACACCTCTAAGATTACAGTATACATAGGATGCCATGGTAATTTTGAGTTCCTCGTCGGTGTGAAAGAGTAATAGCGACTAGGCTGGTTAGAAACTAGCGCTACTTATCCAAATAGGCGCGAGGTAATATTCAACCCAAGAGGACTGCTATTGAAGCAACTCCCTTCAAATATGCAAGGGTAGTGATGATGCAAAGGACTAATAACCTATAGCGACCTAAGACCAAAAACCAATGAGTAGCGCTGTAGTGATCAGCGACTAGCGACAAGTGAGTTCCGACAGAGAAATGTGCGTATAAGTAAGTAGCATTATGCAAGTTGTCCTATGCGACGTCCGACTAGCAACAGCGAGAAGAAATCAAAAGAAGGTAAGGCGAGGGATAAGGTATGATAGTGCAGGTGGAATGCCTGATAGCAACTAGATTATAGCTCAACTACCGACAGCAATCCCGACGTTGCGAAGATCAAACTTATGAAGGAACTTTAGCGACGTGCACTTGAAGCAAGTCAAGCGACACGCGATCAGAGAGATTGGCAAGAGCGGAATCAATTGCACCAAAACTAGGATATAGCGACTAAAGTGACTCCGACACCAGCAAAGGTCCAGGGAAGGGAAGTAATGTACTGTATGTGCGACGGGTCATTTTATCATACTGCGTAAAAGTTCGGAATTGCGTAGGCGAGAATAGTAGCGACACTGATGGAGACACGATGTAGCGACAGGTAATAAGACATGCAGCGCAGCAGAACATGAGGATGCATGTAATAAGACCTGCAACTGATGAGTAGCGACGTTTAAGGAAAAATAACGCACCAGCGGAGGTAGGTGGACATAGGCAGGACATGGGAGGACAGGATACCTAGGCGTCGGGCCGGGCAGCGCGCTATGGGAGAAAGCGGTTCCAAAGCGGATAGCTTGGGAGCTGAATAGTGCTGGTGACTAGCGTCTTACTCTTTTCTTCTAGGCAAGTCAAAATATGCCTATGGCATTCATACGCGCCTAGTGCCGGTATGATTGTCATATCAGAAAAAAAGTAATACCTCTGGCCACCGCGCAAAGTAATAAATGGTTGCACTGATTTTTGGATCTCTTGTGACTTGGGATCCGAAGACCCCCGCCAAAGCCTCCTTCTGGAGAGCAACGGCAGCTTGCCAGACAGTCCCTATATTATGCTCTGGACGTGGACTTTGATTCATGGTGCTTAAGTTGTCTTGCAGAATGTGAAAACTGGCGTGTGAAGCTTGTGTTGCCGTATGAGATGCAGAAAGGGGAGGGGAGGGGAGGCCATGGTCTGCCATATGAGACGCAGAAAGGTAAGGGGAGGTGAGGCCATGGTCTGCCATATGAGATGCAGAAAGGTAAGGGGAGGTGAGGCCATGGTCTGCCATATGAGACGCAGAAAGGTAAAGGGAGGTGAGGCCATGATCTGCCGTATGAGATGCAGAAAGGTAAGGGGAGGTGAGGTCATGGTCTGCCATATTAGACGCAGAAAGGTAAGGGGAGGTGAGGTCATGGTCTGCTGTATTAGATGCAGAAAGGTAAGGGGAGGTGAGGTCATGGTCTGCTGTATTAGATGCAGAAAGGTAAGGGGAGGTGAGGTCATGGTCTGCCGTATGAGATGCAGAAATGTAAGGGGAGGTGAGGTCATGGTTTGCGTGGATTCAGAAGATTTGAATTCAGAACTCCAGAGTATTGTTTGAGGAAATCGTTGTGGATCCATCAGAGGTATGTCAATGTAATGGCGGCCCTGGACCTTGCATTCATATTATTACTTTAATAAAGCACAAATAGACATCTGAATTGTCTCCTGATAATCAGACAAGGCTATTTGCATTGTTAGTCTTCAAAAGTTGATAGTCCTCCACAGCATCCCGCTTGCTTTGAAAAGACTTAAAGTTCCCTCTGCTGAAACCCTGTACTAAATGATGAGCCGCGAGCCTGACACAATTTGCGTCAATTATCAGAAACATAGTTATGCTGACAAGCTCTGAAATTGCCCTACCTTGATGTGAATACTCCTGTGAACCAGCCACGTCGCACAGAATAGAATTTCGGGGAAGCATCGGACTCTGTGCTGGTAACCAATGACATGCTACTAAGTGATTCCGAAGACCGATGTGCTGCATGTAGCTGGGCCATCGAGAATTGAGTGGACATAATGATATGATATGGCTCAGAGCACCCCTTCATTTCGACACCACTGGTAGGAATACTCTGCTCCATTTGGTTGTCAGTAGTGAGAGATTCATGCTATTATTATTTGGTTAATTGTTTGAATGAGACAACATCTTATAATAAAGTGAATTGACATACCTGCACACAGCTGCTTGCCTGACCATCGGTGTGCTGATTCGGACACGTCTCAGATTCAGAGGAGGATGTATCAACCTCAACACAAATGCCCCCTATACTAGGACCAGACAACACTCTGTGGCGTCTTGGCTGTGACTTGGTAGAGTTTGCTGAGTCCCTGTAAGGATAATGAAATGGGGTGCTGTTAGAGATTGAATTGGGACAGAACCATCAACGGAATATTGTGTATGATTCAGATCATTTGTCAATGTCAGAACCTGTCCGATGACACCAGGATGCTGCACAAGTTCTAATAGTGTTAATAATAGAGGCCATTGATTGGAGAATGTTAATAATTACCTGGACCAATGTCATTCCCATTTACATCCACCAATCCCTGGGCCATCCACATGTCATTCCTTTCGAGAGCCATTGTTGCACGTTCTGAATCTGTCATGACTATTAGAGGACCTGGTATTCAAACAGTACCGTTAAAAGTGGGAAAATCAAGACAGTCATTGGAACAGCATCGCTATTATTAAAATTAAATAAATGCAAACATAATGATAATCACACCACCCCCCACACATGTAATAACATCCGGTTTGATTCAATTTCAGATCCTGTGGAAGCAATTCACATCTGAATCTTCCACCGTGTACACAACACCATAGCCGGGAGTGATATCAACAATGTGGACACTTTGGTGGGGAGTCCGGTTCAATGTTAGCATGACGAGCTGGTCTGTCACATGATTGCTATTATTAGTGTGTATAGAGGTATTGGATGAATATGAGGTTGGATGGGGAGATTGTTGGGCCTGGTACTGCATAATATCAAACTTCAGATATGTGATAGTTGAATAAATGAACAGGTCTTACCTGATGAAGACCCTTTGAGTTAAACACAAATCTTGAATGACATGAATCTGCAGGCACCCTACAGGTGAGATTCAGAGCCATGCATTACCACCTCTGCCATGTCCTTCCAATTGTACTGCGGTGAGGGAGATGATAGGAGAGGGGAGTGCACGGAGGAAAGATGTAGCGTGGTCGTCTAGCTGAGTGAGTTTGACTAGGGATGGCATCCCCAGCGTCATAGTGACTGATTTCGCTTTAGATGCTGATTTAGGTGCTTCAACAGTGATGCACGCACTGAGCTTTTTGAAGAATAGCAGTCTGATGTATAATACCTGTAGCCAAACAAACATCAGAAATAAAAAAGTGAATCACCACCAAATAAAACCACGCACCTCAAGAAGTCTCAAACTTAACTCGGGGGGGGAGGGGGGAGGGGGGAGGGGGGAGGGGTGGCTGCTGGAGCTTGGATAGGTCAGTGGGTTATCTGTCTTTTGGGAGTCAGGGAGTCACCTTGGAGGGAGCTTTGGGTGCGGTGGAGACAGTGTCCTGTTCATTGGCCTTACACTTGCATTTTTGAGGGACAGAGGGTTCAATGAGAGGTTGGGGGTCTGTGCGATGGCGGACAGGCTTGCCATCTAGGGACGTGTTTAAGCGCGTGTGGCATCTGAATCCTGTTGGGGCAGTGAGATAGCTTTCTTCTGCTTCGTCAAACAGAGCCTGGCTCTTCTCAGGCATAAAAATCCTAAAGTCAGCATGCAATTTGGGATCGTCTTTGAAAAGACGGGCAATTTCAGCTGACACTTTGCACTGTGAAACGTGCATCAGGGTTTAATTGGAATATGAAAGGCAGAAGGCTCACTTCATTGACGGCGTCAGTAGTGTTATGGTGCTTAGACTTGTTGAGATTTTCTAGAAATTGGCAATACATGGCCTCGTCGCAGTGTTGCTTTATCTTTTGGACATACTGAACGGCTGGTTCTATAGCAGAGCTGTCGAGACTGCTATACATGTTTGCGTCAGGTTCAGCCAATACGGTAGCTGGAGGGGCTGGAGGAGCAGAAGGCCAAGAATCGTCACAGATGGACTGGAGCATTGTTCCTGTAGGTGTGGTGACAGTGATAAAAGAGGACTGTTGAGGGTCAGAGGAGCACTCGATGTGGTAACCAACAGGGAGGAAAGTGTTGAAACCCTGGATAAGGAAAGGGTGACCATTAAAAAGGTGCGAGACGAGTTTTACAATGCCTGGTGTATTGATACTGTAGAGATATGAGGAATGAATTTAGGAACAAGATATCAAATGCACAGTCCACTCTTAAAGTTCTTCATAATGTCAAGGAAGTGATTGTAAACATCTGGCTGGTCATGGAACTGTACAAGTTTGACGGCATCAAGGTAGCCCAAAGCATCTGTGATTGAGAGGGTGTCATTGATCAGTATATCTGCGCTTGTTCCGGTACATAGCAGTTGAGAAGGAGATGTAGAGGGACACATTTTCATCAGCAACTCTGAATAGAGTCGTCTCCTTCACCATGCCCAGACCACAGATAGCAATCCAAAGCCATGGCTCGGACCAAATAGATGATGCCAACCAATATCCTATTACCTCTGGACTTGATATATTCACGGACAGCTGGATGATCTGTTGGAGGACAGAGGAGTAATAGGGAGAGAGCACAAGCAGTGCATCATGGATATTCCTACTAGAATAAGTAGTACATGTACTGTCATCAACGAGAATTGTAGTGAAGCTTCTGCATGCGAAGAAACATATCGGTGTCAACGGAATCAACAAGAAGAAAATCGCCAGGTCGAGAGCCATCTTCAATCAATAGCACTCCCCTGATGATTGAATCAACAAAAATGAACTCACTCTTATGCCGAGGTTGCGCTTCAACCCACCAGAAACCCAGGTGCCTATCCTTCAAGGGTCTATTTTGTACTGCAACATCACAAGCTTGAATGAGTGCAATGGGGTGATTTGTGTCTCCTACAACGCATGTGAATATGAAGATCAAGCGAGCAAACATAGTGCTGTCTCATGTCTTGATCATAAGGGAATCGTATTGCAGAGCATTATGGAACATGGGGGAGCAGCGAATGTAGTCGATTGATGTGCAAAAATCAACCATGGACTCGAAGTTTACTTTCAAATGACGATATTCTGTGACCTATCAGTGCCACACCATTCAGTACAAAGTAGGTCTAGGACTCAGAACAAAAAGCTTACTATATTGGAAGTCAATTCGAGTGCAACATTCCTGCTCTGCATGATTGCAGGTATTGTGTTGAAAAAGCAGTTGAGTTTCATATGAAAATTATTGAATGCTACATCGTCTATACAGTGGCTCAAAAAAGTGTCTCAATGTTTGTGGCTTTTCATGTAATTGCTTTCTTATGAGTCAGGATGTGAAAATATGACTAAGCCATAGAGAGGGGTGTAAAAGCTCTGCTTCTTCGCTTTAATTCTGTTTCCTACAGTGTGGGAAGCTGATGTCATCAAGTGAAGATATGGTTATTTTAATTTGGTGACTCATTGAGACACTTTTTAACTTTGTATTTTACCAATGCTATTGTATGATTCTAGTACTTTGTGTTACCCCCCCCTTGGCTTTAATAACTGCTGCTACCCTCCTAGGCATACTTTCTATCAATTTCTGACACTCCTCCTTAGTAATCTTTCTCCACTCTACTACAACTCTCTCCCATAGTTCAAATAGCCCCTTTGGAGGATCTTGATAGGCAGCAAGTAGTCTTTTGAGTAATTCCCAAAGATGTTCAATGGGATTGAGGTCTGGAGACTGTGCTGGCCATGATAGAACATTGATATTATGGTCTTCAAACCATTTTGTAGCCAGTCTTGAGGTATGCTTTGAATCATTGTCCTGCTGGAAGATGATGTCCTCTTCATCAATACCTGACTCCTTCATGCTTCTAAGCAGACACTCCTCTAGAATGGAGACATACTGCTCTGCATTCATCCTCCCCTCCACCTCACACAGAATCCCCACTCCATTCCATCCCATGCAGCCCCACACCATCAAGTTTCCTCCTCCAAACTTGAGCGTGCCTTTCACTTCTCTGTCTCCTAGTGGATCACCTGCCTTTTTCCACACATATTCCTGACTATCTGACCCCAGTCTATTGATTTTGGTCTCATCTGACTAAATAACTCTTTTCCAGTCCTCAACAGTCTAGTGTTGGTGCTTCAGAGCAAAGACTAGTCTCTTCTTCCTATGAGTTGGTAAAAGAAGAGGTTTCTTCTTCTTGGTTATAGCTTTCAGGTTAGCTGCCTTGAGAGTGTTTCTGACTGTTTGGGTGGAGACAGTGGAGGGGATGATGGAATTAATGAATTTGGTGGCTTGAACAACATTTGAAGCTTCTCCAGATAGAATACAGTGAACAATAGCCCTCTTATCATGGGGGGTGAGCTTGGAAGGATGGCCCATATTGATATTTTCTTTATTTGGATTAGATTTCTTGATGACCCTAGCAATAGTAGCCCAACTTAAACCAGTTTTGGAAGCAATCTGCCTAGTAGATAGACCAGAGAAGCTGAGAACAAGGATATTATCCTGTTGAGTAGAGGAGATAGACTTCATGAGGATTATGGAGAATTTCATGCTCTAGCTTGCACTTATATAGATGTAAGATATTACAGTCAGACCATATTATTGACATAACACCATTTTTTTAGATATTTAGTCATAACATTTTGTCTAGGTGACCTGATTTTGCTAAATTTTTATAAAGTCAAAAAAGTGTCTCAATGAATCACCAAATTAAAATGACCATATCTTCACTTGATGACATCAGCTTCCCACGCTGTAGGAAACGGAATTGAAGCGAAGAAGCAGGGCTTTTCCACCCCTCCCTATGGCTTAGTTATATTTCCACGTCCTGACTCACAAGAAAGCAATTACATGAAAAGCCACAAACATTGAGACACTTTGTTGAGCCAATGTATGTGCTTGCTGGATAGCATGTATCGATGAGGCGCATTGTCGTGAGCCAAGCTTAATATGAAAGCTGTCAGATGTGCATGGTAACGATGCGATTCTGTGATCTGGACCAACATCTTCTATATCCAAGTCCAATGTGACAATCATACCAGCGCTAGGCGCATATGAGTGTCATAGGCATATTTTGCCTTGCCCAGAGGAAAAGAGTAAGGCGCTAGTCACCAGCGCTACTCAGCTCCCAAGCTATCCACTTTGGAACCACTTTTCTCCCATAGCACGCTACCCGGTCCGACGCCTAGGTATTCCGTCCTCCCATGTCCTGCCTATGTCCACCTACCTCCGCTGGTGCGTTATTTTTCCTTAAATGTTGCTACTCATCAGTCGCAGGTCTTATTACATGTATCCTCGTGTTCTGCAGCGCAGCATGTTTTATTACCTGTTGCTACATCGTGCCCTTGCAAGTGTCACTACTATTCTTGCCTACGCTTTCCTGAACTTTTACGCAGTATGATAAAATGACCCGTCGCACATACAGTACAGTACTTCCCTTCCCTGGACCTTTGCTGGTGTCGGAGTCACTTTAGTCGCTATATCCTAGTCTTGGTGCAATCAATTCTGCTCTTCCAAATCTCTTTGATCACGTGTCACTTGACTTGCTTTAAGTGCGCGTCACTAAAGTTTCCCTTTTAAAGTTTGACTTTCACAATGTCGGGATCGCTATCGGTAGTCGAGCTATAATCTAGTCGCTATTGGGCATTTCACTTGCACTGTCTTACCTTACTCCTCACTTTCGCTCCTGTTGATTTCTTCTCACTGTCGCTAGTCGGATGTCGTATAGCGCTATCGCATAAAACAACTTGCATAGTGCTTCTCACTTATACGCACGTTTCTCTGTCAGAACTCACTTGTCGCTAGTCGCTGATCACTATAGCGCTACTCATCAGTTTTTTGGTCTTAGGTCGCTATAGGTTATTAGTCCTTCGCGCTATCGCTACCCCTTGCATATTAGAAGGGAGTTGCTTCAATAGCAGTCCTCTTGGGTCGAATACTACACTTGCGCCTATTTGGATAAGTAGCGCTAGTTTCTAACCAGCCTAGTCGCTATTTCTCTTTCACACCGATTCATCTAATGCGCTGACTTCTCTGTTTCTTACATTGTAATCGTCAAGGTTGTTTAGTCGATAACAAACCCAGGTAGACACCAGGCTCCAATGGTCTGCACGTAAGATCTAATATGGCTCCCAACAATCAACATACTAAACTCAATTCAAAGATGATAGCAGACCCAACCTGTTCTGCGACATCCTTGAAATTCGTCTGAAGTTGATAGGATTTCTTCAGTGGTCGATGTGCTTTCTCGTTTGGCTTCGTATTAAAATTTTGGGTAACACCTTTGCGCCTGATGTCATCAAAAAGGTGAGTAGCCAGGTGAATCTTTGGGAAATTCCAATTCTTCAGTTCGGATTTGGACTTCGAAATATATGTCTATAGTACAACATCAGCACTTGTCAGCACTAATAAGAGCGTGAAGTACAGCGTAAACTTGCCTTCATGACCTGTGAAAATTCATCTAGAGCTGCTCGGCCAGCAGCAAGAGTCTCTGTGGTATGCACCTCAAGAGCTGCAAACATATTGACATTCAAATATGCTCGAATACATCATAGTAGAAGATATCCAAGCTCGTGTGATTCATCATCGAGCACTTCGTGAGCGATGAAAACAACCAACTGCAGAACAAGCAAAGGGTGGACATCATTCTAATTGGCATCTCGAGAGCCTCTCACCTTTAATATATCTTTGTACTTTGTTCCATCGGCGAAGCTGATTCCCATGACTTCTTTGAAGTGATTGAGGTTTCGCCATCTTGGTGCGTCTGCAAACTTGAGAAACGCATAATGAATGTCCGAGATAAGTAACAAAGCGAAAAAAACATTAACAAACCCTTTATCTAGCTTGCTTGCAGCATCTCAACCGACGTCATTGATAATTCTTTGTAGCTCACTCCACAGATGCTTTCCCCCCAATCCTTCATGGTTGGTATGCAGACAGTCAAATGAAAGGGCACAAAAGACATCCACAAGTTTTGACTTGAGGAGAGCATTCTGTTGAGGTCAATATGTTTCGAATGCAATTCAGAATCAGCAAATCACTTACATTGACATCTCGCAAAGACTGAGACTGAGACTTCTGTTCTCATTTTGCCTTTGTAGGCTTCTTTCTTGCCTTCCTAAGTAGGTGAACTGCACCATGACATGTACGAAAAATCGCTTCTTGGACCTGTACCAAGAAAGACCGTCACACGACGACAAAGCATATCTTAAATACAACAACCCAAACTAACCTTCATCTTTATTACACCCAACCCCCCCCCCCCCAGATCAACACCCAAACCATCTTAGAAAAGATGGCTCCCAGTGGTGCCAACAACCCAACACCACCCCCGGCTACTGCTCCTGCTACACGTGGCTCCCATCATCGAACAACGGCCAAGGCACTTTTCACGCCTAGCAAGACAATAGAGGAACACTTAGCGGGAACAGACACCTGAACAGACATAATCACCATAGCATCCACAAGGAAGCAACTGAGCACAAACAGTATGATTATATCAACTGCCGGAGGAACAGTAAAACACTTGATTGAAGCAATTTTTGAAATGAGTCTAGTACCCACCCTCAGAGCAACACACTCCAAATCACTAAGGGCCATCGCTATAATCCTCAATGAAGTTGAACAAACAATCGACACCAACAACATCATAAACAAATTAGCTGCATTACTAGGAGGCCTGGTGGCGACTTTAGACGAGAAGATGGACACTTTCACCACCTCAGTCGACAAACAAATAGAAGCATTGGAGAAAACAGTACAAGAGGTAAGCAAACAGTTAGAAAACTCAGTAACGGGACTAGGGGAAGCGGTAGAACAAGTAACCCTACTACCCAAACAAGCACAACAGAACACAGAGGAAAATGGCGAGTCTCAAGGACCACGTTCATATGCTGCTGCAATGAAAATGGGCATCCCCACCCCACTAACAAAGTTACTATCCTGCAGCGAAGCACAAGCAAGACAAATACTCATCAACAGAAGATCCATCCAATCCAACAATGACCTAAAGGAACTAACAGAAGTCCAACTAGTAACAAAGGCTGAACTCGCACTAGAACTCATGAACAAAGCAGGCACCAAGCTCCCGGAAAACATATCAATCCTATCGGCAAGAAAACTCCCACACGGAGGAATCCTGTATGAGTTCAACACACCAACGTCCACTGAATGGATTAACATCCCAGCAAACAGAAGTAATATCCTCAATCATTTCGGCACTGACATCATTATAAAGGAGCACGCATACCACCTACTCCTGGAGAACGTCCCCATTTCCTTCGACCCCAACTCAAAGATCATCCTAGCAGAGATGGAATGGAAAGGAGGACTAGAACAGGACGACATTATGAAAGCTCAATACATCAAACCTGTTGCGAGACGCAGCATCAACCAGAGAACAGCCCATGTCGCCATCACACTAAAAACAAAGAAAGCAGCCAACCAAATCATTCGACACAGAATATCCATGGAAGGTAAGAAAGTATATGGCCGAAAAGCTCCTCCCGGAACCAACAAGATGCCTCAAATGTCAATCATTCGACGGAGGACACATCGCAGCAGACTGTCCCCAAAAGCATGACACCTGTGGGACTTGTGGAGCCGACCACAGAACATCCAGCTGCTCAGCAGACATACAGGAACTCTACCACTGCGCAAACTGCAACACGGATGGCCATGCTTCATGGAGCCAAGAATGCCCTATCTTCATAACAAGGTGGCAAGTACACAAAGCAAAGAACGAAGAAGCAAGATACAAATACTTCCCAATGGAAGACCCTCTCACATGGGACACGGTCGAAGGTGAGCCCGACAACAACTATGAAACTAACGCACCTCCCCCCCAGCAACACCACCACCAACCACCCAACAACGATTGGAAAACAGTCCACCAGCGCCGACGTCCCCGACACAACGCCGGTGGATACGACAACATCAACACAATCCCATTAGGAACACAAACAAGACTAACTGACAGATGGAGCACCATGCAAAACCAACCCGTCCTCCTGGCCCCCCCAATGACACAGCAACTAGAAAGACCACAAAGCCCATCGTCAAGCTGGACATCCACCCCTGACCACCACACAGTACCACTACCAGGAAGTGCCGACGACCAAACAGGCTGGGATTAATGTTGAACGACCCTAATGAACCAAACGACAGAAACGACTTCAAAATCTGGCAACAGAACCTTCGGAAATCCCTCAACACATGGGAACACATGTTACATAATCTCAACCCAAACGTATACGACCTAGCCTGCATCCAAGAACCCTACCTCAACGCGGTCAACCTTGCAAATGCATCCACCCTCAGTCGATACTGGGATGTAATATACCTGTCCAATCACAAGGCCAAAGCCGAACGTTCACAAACGATAATGCTAGTCAACAAACGCATCTCCAAAAACAACTGGCATATAATACCAATCAACTCCCTGAACATAATGGCCATAGAACTCACAGGACTATTTGGCAAGGTACACATATATAATATTTATAACCCCTGCGAAAGCGACCACATCCTCCACTTTTTGGAGCGGCACATGCACTCAGAACAGGCAACACGTCGACAACGCAACGAAAGGGTCGCTCAAGGCGATAATGAACATATTGTATGGATGGGGGACTTAAACCGCCACCACCCCATGTGGGAATTAGAACATAACACACACTTATTCACTGCAGTGAATCTAGACGCTGCAGGTGTACTAATCAACCTCCTCTCCCTGTACAATCTAACTCAGATACTTCCAGCCGGAATAGCTACCCTAGAGGCGTCTAACACGAAAAATCACACCAGACCAGACAACATTTTCTGCTCTGAGGGCCTAGAACAAGCCTTCATGCAATGCGACATTAAGCACCACCTACACCCTGTCATAACTGACCATTTTTCTATCATTAGCACCCTTGACCTGAGCCCCGAACGCACCAACCCCTCCCCGAGACTCAACTACCACGACATCGACTAGGATGAATTCAATGAAGTTTTGGCCAACAAACTCAACACAATCAGCCAACCAACTGAGATCACCAGCCCAGAACAATTCGAGACTGCCCTGACAGCTCTAACGCAAGCAATAGAACACACTGTCGCAGAGAAAGTCCCAAGAGTCAAACCATCACCGTACACCAAGAGATGGTGGACCAAGGAACTAGGGCAGGAATGGAAAGCAGTACAAAAACTGGGAAGGAAGGCTCATAACAAGACTGCACGACGAAATCACCCAGTACACGAGGAGTATCGGACGGCATGCAACAAGCTCTCAGAAAGGATCAAGAAGGCTAAAGAAGATCATTGGACAGAATGGCTAGACACGCTAACATCTACTGGTGTCTGGAATTTTCACAGATACGCCACCAGCAACCCAGAAAAACAAATTCATATGCACATCAAAACACTCAAAGACCTGCAAAACGAACAAAACAACAATGCAACGCAAGACAATACCCGAAAAAGCGAAATACTATACAACACCTTCTTCCGCCCTCCTCCTGAAAACAATTTTGTAGACCCTAACTATATTTATCAACCACCCATATGCAAATTCAAACTAATTACTGACCAACAGATATGCCAATCGATAGTGAAGCTCGCCCCGCACAAAGCTCCCGGACCGAACGAAATCAGCAACATCATCTTAATGAAAAGTGCCACCCTCCTCATCCCTTTCATAGGCCCAATCTTCTGCGCAATGTTCACGCTAGAAATCTACCCTGAACAATGGAAGAGATCATCCACCATAGTACTCAGGAAACCAGGACAACTGGACTACAGCTTGCCAAAAGCATATAGACCCATCACCCTTCTAGACACCATGGCTAAGCTCTTATCTTCATGCATAGCAGACGATCTGACCTATATTGCAGAAAAACATAACCTCCTCCCAACAACACACTTCGGAGGATGCCCCGGACGTTCAACAACAGACTCACTGCACCTACTAACAAAGTTCATTACAGACGCATGGGCCTCAACAGACCACTATGTATCTGTCCTCTTCCTCGATGTAAAGGCTGCCTTCCCAAGTGTAATAGTCAAACGACTATTACACAACCTTCGAAAAGCCAGAATCCCCATGGAATATATCAACTGGTACGAGAGAAGACTGTCAGATAGGACCACCACACTATCATTCGACAACTTCCAATCTGCCATATTCAATGTACATGACAATCTTGACCAAGGATGCCCCCTGTCCCCTTTAGCCTTCATATTTTACAACACTGATGTCCTAAGAATTGCAGATCCAAGGCCAAGTAAAGGCAAACTAAGCCTAGGTTTCATCGACGACATAGCAATAGCTGCCAAGGCCAACTCATACGAACGAGCTAATGAGAAACTCAGAGGAATGATGGAAAACCCGGGGGAGCACTTGAATGGAGCCGAAAACACAACACCGAATTTGAACTAGGCAAAACAGCCCTTGTGTGCCTATCAAGAAAGCGCATACCATGCACAGAGAACCCCCAGAAAACGGTCCCAGTACACCGACTGGCCATCACGATAAGTGAACACACAATCCAACCCTTGAGCTCACATAAGTTTCTAGGCGTGATCATTGACCAAGAATTAAGATTCAAAGAACAGGCCACAAGCGCCCTGGCCAAGGGCATGAAGTACATGCAGCGTATGATCAGAATGACCAAGGGAATCAAAGGACGATGGATGAGACACCTATACGAAGGAGTAATAGTCCCCAAGATGTTATACACCACTGATGTTTGGTGCGCAGGACTAGTTTCAAATTCGGAGGAAGAGGAGCGAGAAGCTTCTCATCACAGATGGCCAGGGTACAAAGAATGGCAGCTCTTTCAATCACAGGCGCGATGCGCTCAACTCCCAATGACCTCCTTCTAGCACACGCTGACCTACCTCCCTTACAGCAAACTCTCCATAGTATCTGCCACAACTCCACCCTCCAAATGGCCATGCTCCATAGCTCCCACCCACTCCAGAAGGAAATCAGTAGCACATTCAACTTCCATGCAAACCACAACTTTGAAAGATCAAAATGGCACCTGTCCCCAATACACAATCTCCTCAAAGAATTCAAGATCAACCCGGCAACGACGGAAATGATAGAACCAGTATGCCACTACCCAAAGTGGAACCCAGACGTCAACATAAGAATTGCAAGGAATCCAGAGGAAGCTTACCTGGAGGATACCCTAGCGGAGGAAGAGTTAAGAGTCTACTCAGATGGATCAACGATTGAAGGAGGAGTAGGTGGAGCAGCAGTACTAATGGAAGGAGACAAAATGGTGGACGAGAGGAGATTCTATCTGGGAAGAGTTGAAGAACACATGGTCTATGAAGGGGAGATCGTAGGGATGATCCTGGCGGTGGAACTACTCAGGAACAGAGTCAGAAGAGGACGGGGAGAAAAACCCTCCATGGCATTAGGAGTAGACAACCAAGCGGCAATCAAGGCAACGGGAGCATACCAATCAAAGCCAGGACACCACCTAATTGACAAATTTCACGATGACCTCCGCCGTCTGCTACCCAATGACAATGACCAGAAGCTAATCATTAGATGGTCCACCGGCCACATAGGCATCCCAGGCAATGAAGAAGCAGATGAACAGGTGAAATGAGCAGCTCATGGTGAGAGCTCAGAACAGAGGAAGCTACCCTCCTCACTGCGCAACACGAATGACAACCCCCTCATACTCCCACACAGCAAGTCAGCAATCAAACATGTGTTCCAGGCGACTATCAAATGTGAATCAGAAGCAATCGCTCAGAACTCACCCAGATACACCAGATTCAAAGAGATAGACCCCACGTACCCCTCCAAACGCTTTGCAAAGATAGCCGACAAACTTCCAAGATGCCACGCAGCCCTGCTGACCCAACTATGAACTGGACACATCCCCCTGAACAAGCACCTGCACCACATCTCAAAAGCCCCATCCCCGCTATGCCCATCATGCCATGAACACCCAGAATCAGTCCACCACTATCTCCTGAGTTGCCCAGTGTACACAAGGCAATGAAACACCATGAAAACGGAAATAGGACCCAAAGCGCAGCAGATGAAATACCTCCTCAATGATGAGAAAGGAATCAAATCCCTGTTCAAGTACATCACACGCACCCACCGATTCATCAACACGTTTGGAGACATCTTCCCAGTAGAGAAAGAGAATGAGCGCAGACCAGCGAAGTGGCTAACCAGGAAGCCACGCCACCCATAACCCAATGCCCTGAGAAGGCAATCATCGTCCTCGCGCAAGCCCGGACCAATAATACAGTCACATAGCAAACACCACACATAAGCAGAACAAACAAAGTACATACAGTAGGTACTCTCCAGCATAGGGCTTCGCCCCACTGGACAATAAACAATGATTCAAAAGAAAAAAAAAATTGTACGAAGTGGCCAAATCTTTAACAAGTCAAACAACTCATCCTGAGGAACCAAACAAATGGGGCATGTAAATTTGCCCATAACTCCACGGATGAGCGACATAACACATCTGGGAATGTGTAAAGGTTGTGTGGAGTATTGAATCAGTAAGAATATACAATGTTCGATGGTTGAACACACTGCTCCTCGTAATCTGCAGACAAGATTGGCACAATGGGAAACAAATGGCATTGAAGTTTGTCCCAACATTCAATCCATCCACCATGCTTCCTTTTCGATCTAAGACATTTCAGTATTGTCTTGAAGGATGCGTGCCGAGCGGCTGCCTTGAAGTCCGCGAACTTCTGTTTTCCCGACTTTGCAGGATCATCTTTGACCTAGAAAATCAGTGTTAGTTCGATGTTAGTTGCATCGTATATAATTAAGATAGTACAATTGGGAGTCATCCCACAACTCGACCACCGCCAACTCCTTTGCCATTTCGGACTGAAACTGGGAGGTTCGTGATCCGAGCAATAACAGGGTAACCTTTGGCATGGCCAAAGGACAACAACTTCACTTTGTCTGCATATAGTATGAATCCAAGAGGCTTCCCATCTGCAGGCATGGCTGACTAGATGTATTACATTTCAGTGCATCGCTCCAACTGATCATATTGATACTTACCTGAGCATCCCAAAAAGTGTTGCAGTCCAGGGCTCATCGATAAATCGCACGAAGTTCTGCCCATCAAATTTCAACAGGCGTTGAGCATTGAAAGTAAACTGTGGGCCAACGTAAGGGTCTTGAAGGTCACATGCCCAGTCCCACAAGTCCTGGTAGTGAAATGTGAATTCTTGATCAACTCCGTCATATGGTACTCTGATGGTTTGTTTTTGAAACTAAGATCCATACATTAGAACAATGAAACTAAATTCACAAGATCCTCACTGGTGTTAGACGATGAGACATAGCATTCCATGTCTTATGAATATCATTGTGGTTGTGCAGTGTGAAGGACTCTTGCTTCAAGCGATGCAGGAGGTTGATCAGTCGTTCAATTTGAGGTTTTCTGAGGGCAGTTTTGTGAGCAAGCTCAGCGACATCAAAGTCCAGGCGGCTTTGAAATGGCTCCCAGGGTTGTTTGTTGGGAATTGGTGGGTCCTGTGAGATGTCGCATTGAAATGTCGAGAATGTTTGTGTCTGCATTGGGATTTCAGAGTGGGGGTGAAATTCTGTTCGGATGTCGTCGATGTTCAATGTGATTTCTTCATCTGCAGATAATTCATGTGCCGGAATCACTCCATGAATACCTAATATCACGCCGTAAGTTGTAGTGTCAAATTTAAAGGTATAGATTATCTACACACCATCTGAATCATCAATATCCATCCACTCGTCGATGTCTATGAAGTTCGGCTCGTCGAAAATCTGAGCATCATGTACCTCACGTTGATCATTAACTTGATTGGCGCAATATGTATTGACTTGGATGTCGACTGTTGTGGCTGAGTGGAAATTTGGTGACTGATTCAGATGCTTCAAAACAGACAAGAAACATACCTGAATGTTGGTTGTGAGTGTTCACAACATGAAGCAAATCCTCCTGCAAGTGCCTCGCATTTTTTGCGCAGGCGGTGCTGTGCGTCTTGAAACCACACGGTGTGAAAAACACAACCTGACTAGGCACTTGTAAAGGTACTTAGCCAGTATATGTATAAGCTCTGCCTATGCTGCTATACTTGCAAACAATAAAGCAAGAACGTTTGACCTGAGGGAAAAGCTACTAAGGACAACTCAAGATCAAAAGACCCGAAAGAGCGCTAATGCGCAGGAAAGAGCGGAAGTCAAGAAAGCGGACACTGAGTCAAAGGAGGGTGCTGGATAGCGAGTGAGACCAAGGGTATTGATTGCAAGGGTAAGGGAAAGTCAAATAGGGGCCATAGAGCGCAACTAAAGGGTGACTACTTCTAAGTAAAACCTAAGGGAAGGAAATACAGTTGAAGGGAAGTAATGTTGAAGCAGTCACCATAGGCTTCTTATACTAGTAAACTATACCATCTCAGACTCGGAAGGGATAGGAAATACATGTAATAAGACTGTAGCACTTGTTACAAACTCGAGGCAAGGCAAATTACATACCAATGAGGTAGGATGGACAATGGATGGATTCCGATGTTTTGGGTGGTTTCCTAGAGCGCGAGAACAGCGCGCTGGATAAGCGCTAAGTGTGGGAACAAGCGCTAGATAGAGCGGACATGCACTAATGCTCCTATAGACACATTGCTGGTAGTTCTGATAGCGCTATAAGCGCGGGAATAGCATCGGATAAGTCGCGGGAGCATGAATAGCGCTGTGGGAATGTGCGCGCATAGTGCGGGAAAGTGCAGAATAGCGTCAGACAAGGGTTATGGCTGGGACAAGTGAAGACTGCTGATAGGGGAGTAGTGAATGATATGAGGGATAACTTTGGTCCACCTATTGAAGGCTTATGCAGGTATACATGCCTAGCACCAATATGATTGTCACAACGGTTTGAATGTTCTATCGCAGTAGTCGCAAGTTAGTTCTGTCGATGAATCTGGCATGTTGTTGGATGAAACTCCTGAGCACGGCAGTCAATGATAGAAAGGGCTGACTGGATAATAAACGAAAGAATGGCAATGTCGGACATGCATGTGCAACACCTTGCAATGACTAATGCGCTAAACAGATTCAAATGTCTGATTCAGAATCAACCTTTATTAATATTACATACTGATGCTAGCTTGAGCATGGTCCAGGATCAGTCAGGGCATCATTAAGTCTTTCTCATCTTTTTTATTTTTTATTTTTTTATATCCAATTTCTGTCCTTTGCAGAGTGATACTCTATGTAGGACATTACAATCTATACTAGAGACCCCCGGTGTCTCGGGTGCATCTTGGGCTCGCGAATGCCCTAATGTGAGGCGTGCCTCCATCAGTCCGCCGTTCCTGCCAGCCGTTTTAGACGCGCTGCCTTTTGTTGAGATGACTGTGTATGAGCTATCGTTGTGTGGTGCTACGTCTATGTTCATATACTTAACGCATACTCGGCTGCCTTAGGCAACTGGTACAGGAGTCGGGAGGGATGCAAACAAAGTAGGTAAATGTTCAACCGGGTCATTGGTTGATCGAGGACCGTGTCGTTTGGCTGATTCCGCTTCTTTGGCGTGTGATTCCATGTAGGTGAGTATACTTAGTATGTGGTGGTACAGATGGTGGTGGTACAGGGAGGTTGGTTCTCTTGGCTGGGTATTGATTCATTGAATAATACATGGCAGTAGGCAGGGTGGGTGTCAAGGAATTAGACAAGGGTAGTAGTATGCCCAGAGTCCCATCTATTCATGACCCTGGAAGTAGGGGCGTCATCATGGATAGCAGTAGAGGTAGGGGTGGGTTGGAGGGTATTAGGTAGATCAGCCCTCTCTCATCCTCTCATACTGCAATTTACAGACCCCCTCCCTCTACTACCATTTGGAGGTCTCTCAGTTGACATCAGTGAATTGTATGTAGTCTTGGTGTGTGCTTTGACTCATTGTGAACACCATAGTTGTGGATGTTCTGCAGGCATCTTGTACACTTAACATCAAAGTTGGACTTCAGACTCCAATTGGGTCTGCTGAACATTCCATAGAGTCTGAAAGAATTAACAACATTTTCACAGCCTTACAAATCTTACTTCGAACACCACTAATTAAATAATTATTTAAATAGACTACTTGCAAAGCAGGAGGTTTTTTGTTCAATGCAAACTCAGTGGACTCAGGTGTTGCAGGAAAGGGGATCACGCATGGTATCTACCCTTACCAGTTCAATGCAAACTCAGTGGACTCAGGTGTTGCAGGAAAGGGGATCACGCGTGGTATCTACCCTTACCAATCGAGAAGATATGAATTCTTTATCTAAAAATCATTGGTCTAGTATTCTCCAGGATGAGGAGACGAAAGACCTCTACAATCAGGTTGCATGATGCATCTCTGACGAAGCTGGTGCGAAAACAAGAGGAAGGGACACATTCCCCGTGGAAGTCTCTTCAGTGTGATGAGCTGTGTCGTACAGTTCGCGGTGCATGCGTGTCGCTAGTATTCCGTGTATCGCAAACTGTAAACTACGAGACAGTCAATCAATATGTCCAGTCCAAGAAACAGCCCCTTACACTAATACTGCATCTGAGTACGATGCCTGCGATTAGATATTGAGTTGGATGTTGGATTCATATCATTATGAACACGCACAGGAAGAGTAACCACAACGACCACGGTCATGGTGGAAAATACTGATCCACCACAAATGTTAGTGTCAATTTGTAAAGAATGATGTTTCAACTCACAAAGCCCACAGGCAAAGTAAAACATGTTATGTCTGACCAGGACCCGTACAAGAGGCAAATCGGTTTCATGTTCTCTGTAAAGCCTCCACAAGTGATATAACATGAAACTGAGGATTTCTATGAAATATTTAACGTGACAACATAAAAATACCATGAAACCCACCTATTTCTACGATGACGAGCACAATGTAGGCTACAATGACAATGCGACGCTGCTTGCTGCTGTAGCAACCTGCGACTATTGGAATAGGTGACTGCGTGACTATATCACATCGCTGTGAACCACCAAATCAGCGAGCAGGAGGAGACTCACTTGCACTTGTGGAAGAAGAGTTGAATAATATAAGCGTCACCACCACTGGGACCAGGAAGAGCTGTACATTCGGCTATTGAGAAAACATCTTACATACAAAAGACTGACTTACCACAACGTTGCAACACGTTATCAGCCATCTGCGACCCATTACCGCCAAAACCCTCCCCATAAAGAGTGCTGCAGGATGTTGGAACCAGGGTCAGCCACAGAAATAATGAATAGCAAAGGATACTAACATTCTGCACAAACCAGTACGATTCCTCCGACATCTGATAGGAGCGTCAGTTCCGGAAGTATTCCTTTCACAAGTGGATCAAACTCACATACGCTGAACTCAAACAAAGTTGTGCAGGACTGAGATTTATTGAGCATTAAGAGCAACATGCAAGGACAACAATATACCTTGAGGGAAAGTCCAAACTGTGAAATTTCTGCAAACAGGTGAGATTCCACTCGCTTTAAGTGGCATATTTTTGAACATACGAAGCATGTCGGTAACGACCAATGCAAACGGCAAGTACCGGCAGGTAAGATACGTTAGTTTGGGTATTCGCCATGGAGCGTCCAGTATGAATGCGACCTTTGTATGTCACATGTCAGGCTCTGGGCGCTATCATGATGTTGGCTGGATGAAAACCTACATCTTTATCGAGGGTGAGAGCAAAGTCGTAAACCTAATAGCGAAATAATCAACTTCCTTGGTCGACTTGACAGGTTGCCACCTAAGTTGATACCTACCCAAAGACATGCTATAGCGACTAAGACGGAAGTTCAGCAAAAACGCTGCTGCATAACAATTGTTGGTAGCACGCACTGAAAGCATACTATATAGAGCACGTGAACAGTCAGTTTGTTGAATGCCATACTACCGATTCTGGATCGGATCATCACTCACGTTGGCGTGCTGCAATGTGACGCCGATATTGATGTCAGCTTGGTCAAACAACAGGACCATCATGATGGCGGATAACTGACCAGGTCTATTGCAGTTATGCAATATATGGTCCAGTCTAAGAAGCCGTGCATGTCTGATATGATCTGTACTGCTTGAGTGAAAGGTTCTATATTTACAGTGTGTTGCATATGAAACTGCAGCTCGAGTTTTTGAAACACTCGACCTCGCTGCCTTGACCGGGATTGTTCACATGCAGCACAATGTAACTAGAATGCAATGCTGTGTCTACAGAAGGCTCAGACAGCGCCTTATCAGGGTCGGAGTTTGCGGAGGAGCTAGGGCCCCGTGAAAAACTACCCAAGGAGTTGAGTTTTTGACGAGTTTTTAACTCACCCCCGATATATTTGAGTTTTTGACGAGTTTTTGACAGAGCCTTAGAGGAGGCCCGGGCCTGTTTGCAATCCGACATCCTTCGCACAGCGAGGTGGCGTGGGACAAGTTATCGAAATCCCGACTTCTGTCAGATTGTCAGCTGGAATGTAGCAACGACATACTAGCCCGCAAATGGACTCGTCCTGACATCTTCAATATGTACCTACTACTTCCGCGGAGCAGGAAAACCTCCTTTCCGTACCTTCGACTTTTTCACTTTTTGGTCCAAAAATTTTCCCCTCTACCTTAGCAGTACTTATCCTAGGCCAGGGAGACCCTCCATCTTCTTCAACACGATACCTATCTTCAAGTCCCACAGACATGTTCGGGCTAGCGATGATTGATCATCCGTCATTTATCGGGGAAAACTGCGACTGCCCTTACGCATTCTTCATGGCCTTTGAACTCTCGCAGGGGTGTAGTGATTGGAATGAGCTTCGACATTTTACTGCGGGTTGATGCCGTTGCGTGCCGTCGAGGTGGACTTTGGAGGGATTTCTAAGTGTCTTGCTCTAAGCTGCAGAGGTGCGTGTATCATGTGCTTCACTGCGTCAACATGCCTCGTTTCCATAGATGCCCAAGACATGAGGCTGTTTGCCTCAGTGCATTCATGCATTCGACTCTTGTCTCCACAGCTTCCAGAATGTATCCCGTCGCATCCAACCATGCAGTTGGTGCTTCCCGGCCCTCAAATCCCACTATCTATCCTATATGACCGCATGAATGGCATTATTTTTTGTGTCGAGCAACTACTCCAGCACATCACCATGTTACGAGGACTCTGGTAAGAGCGTCGTTTGAACATCTCTCTCTTGCCTGTCATCTGGCCAGTATGACAATGTTTCTATGGGTTTAAAACAATATGGCGTCCAATCCTGGTTACACTGCCCTCAATCACCATTATGTACAGTCTCCTCCGGCACTGACGGGGACATGTCACATGTACTAATGCCACTGGAGCAGGCGAAGAAGAATGTATTGGGTCGGACGCAGAGGAGCGGCGGATGGGTGACGGCTGCAGCAAGGTCAGGAGGATTTTTTTCATCGTGTCTCGTTCTGTATCAGTGTATATTCATGTGTAACGATACCTATAACTCAATTGACATATTTCAATAACTTATCTACGGTGCCTCTAGGGATCCGAGCTCCATATGGTGCGCCATCCTAGGTAATTGATCCCTTCCCTTCTTCACCTCCTTCCAGCGCTCAATTTTTGCTAACCAAGTCTCTCAACACCGCCCCAGTGGTGCGATAGTGAATCCAGACGAAAGCAGAAGGGAGAAACACAAATAATGGAAAGTACGCACTCACACTTAACAGCTACCCAGCAGTTCGACCCAGTACTGGTGTGACTATATGCGCTGCTCGAGGGCTGGCACTGGCTTTGTTTGTATTCAAGGCTACCATTCAAAATGACATGCAACGCCAATTATATGCTACCTCATCTCCATTTCGCTTGACTTCCTTTTTATTTTCATTCAATTGAGGTTGCATTCATGAAGCTGCGTTCTTTGAATTTGCCCGAATTTCCCTCCATGGATCATACGTTTCTGATGGACTACTTGCAATTGGGAGGTTTTGTGTTCAATGCAAACAACTCAGTGGGTTTATGGGTTGTAGGAAAGGGGATCACGTCTAAAAATTATTGGTCTAATATTCTCTAGGGTAAAAATGAGAAGGACCTCTATAATCCCGACGAAGCTGGTGCAAAAACAAGAGGAAGGGACATATTCCTGGTGGAAGTCTCTTCAGTGTGATGAGCTGTGTTGTACAGCTCGCGGTGCATGCGTGTCGCTAGTATTCCGTGTATTACGATCTGGAAACTACGAGACAGTCAGTCAATATGTCCAGTCCAAGAAACAGCCCTTACACTGATGCCACATCTCCGTACGATGCCTGCGATCAGATCTTGAGTTAGACGTTGGATTCGTAATGTTATGAACACGCACGGGAAGAGTAACCACGACGATCACGACCGTGGTGGAAAATACTGATCCACCACAGATGTCAGTGTCAATTTGTGGAGAATGATGTTTCGACTCACAAAGCCCACAGGCAAAGTAAAACATGTTGTGTCTGACCAGGACCCGTACAAGAGGCATATCGTTTCCGTGTTCTCTATAAAGCTTCCATGAATGGTATAACATGAAACTGAGGATTTCTATGAAATATTTAACGGGACAACATAAAGATACCGTGAAACCCACCTATTTCTGTGATGACAAGCAAAACGTAGGCTACAATGACAATGCGACTCTGCTTGCTGTCATAGCAACTTGCAAATTTTGGAATAGGTGACTGCGTGACTATATCACATAACTGTGAACTACCAAATCAACAAGTAGGAGGAGACTCACTTATGGCAGAAGAGTGGGTTAGTGTAAATGTCACCGCCACTGGGACCAGGAAGAGCTATACATTCGACTATTGACAAAACATCTCACATATAAAAGACTGACTTACCAAAACGTTGCAACACGTTATCAGCCATCTGCGACCCATTACCGCACAAACCCTCTGCATAAAAAGTGCTGGGGAATGTTGCAATCAGGGTCAGCCACACAAATAACGAATAAAAAAGTATACTAACCTTCTGCACAAACCATTACAATTCCTCCAACATCTGATAGGGGCGTCAGTTCCGGAAGTATTCCTTTCACAAGGGGATCAAACTCACATACGCTGAACGCAAACAAAGTTGTGCAGGACTGAAATTCATTGAGCTTTAAGAGGAACATACAAGGATAACGATAAACCTTAAGGGAAAGTCCAGGCTCTGAAATTCCTGAAAACAGGTGAGATTCCACTCGGGTTATGTGGCATATTTTTGGACATACGAATCATATGGGCAATGATCAACGCAAATGGTAAGTATCGGCAAGTAAGATAGGTTAGTTTGGGTATTCGCCATGGAGCGTCCAGTACGAACGCGACCTTTGTATGTCACATGTCAGGCTCTGGGCGCTGTCATGACGTTGGCTGGACGAAAACCTACATCTTTATCGAGGGTGAGAGCGAAGTCATAAACCTAATGGCGAAATAATCAATTTCCTTGGTCGACTTAACAGGTCGCCAACTGAGTTGGTACCTACCCAAAGACATGCTATAGCGACTAAGATGAAAGTTCAGCACAAACACTGCTGCACAATAATCGTTGGTAGCACGCACAGAAAGCATACTATATAGTGCAAGTAAATAGTCAGTTTGTTGAATGTCATGCTACTGATTCTGAACATCACTCACGTTGTCGAACTGCAGTGTGATGCTGATATTGATATCAGCTTGGTCAAACAACGGAACCATGATAACGGACGACTGACCGGGTCTATTGCAGTGATGTATTATATGGCCCAGTCTAAGACGCCACGTGCTGGTCTCGGTGATACAATATGATCCGTTACTCCAAGCTCAGCACTGCTTAGGTGGAATGCGGTGAAAGGTTCTATATTTACAGTGTGTTGCATATGAAACTGCAGTACGAGTTTTTGAAAAACTCGGCCCCGCTGCCTTTACCAAGACTTTTCATATGTAACACACTGTATGCAGCAACTTTGATGGGACGCAAGGTGCTAGTTAGTCTCCTTTAAGCAATCTGAACTGCAGTCTTTTGAAAACGCAGTCTTTTGTCTACAGAAGATCAGACAGCGCCTTATCAGGGTCGGAGTCCGGGCGTATTTACAATCCGTCAAATGCCAAGCCATTATCAACATCCTTCACACAGCGAGGTGGCTAGTGGGAAAATCTTAATTGGTCGCCTGCAAATGTTCTGTCAGATCGTCAGCTGGAACGTAGCAACGACACTAGTAGAGCCGGCAAATGGACTCATCCCGAAATCTTACATCAGGGTGTACTTATACTATAGAGTATACAGCATCAATTCAGTGTATAACAGCGTGATTTGAGCTACTTTAAACTCTCTACAATGGCTACTAAGTCTGGAGGCCGGCCTTGGTCGCATACCAAATGCTGTGGGTATATTTCGCGCTAACCTTCACTAGTATCATATCCACCTTAAGACGGCAAGCCTGATGCCGCCACGCTCACATGCCTACGACCAAACTTCCGCGCATCAATACAGAGGTTGCCAAGCAGACTGGGATGTGGATGGGAAGGAGGTTGTAGAAGGGAGAGCATTCGGCTTTACAGAACTGCAGCGCGTTAACCGTTAGGGATTGGTGGCTGCAGCAATAGATGGCTGGTACCAATTGTGTTTGTATTCAAGGTTACCATTCAAAATGACATGCAATGCCAATTATATACTACTTCATCTCCATTTCGCTTGACTTCCTTTTTACTTCCTTTTTATTTTCATTCAATTGAGGTTGCATTCATGAAGCTGCGTTCTTCCCGAATTGTCCTCTATGGATTGTACGTTCTGATAGACTACTTGCGAATTGGGAGGTTTTTTGTTCAATGCAAACAACTCAGTGGGTTTATGGGTTATAGGAAAGGGGATCACGCGCAGTATCTACTCTCACCAACCAGATACGAATTCTCCATCTAAAAATCATTGGTCTAGTATTTTCTAGGATAAAGAGGAGGACCTAGGTTGCATCTCCGACGAAGCTGGTGCAAAAACGAGAGGTAGGGACACATTCCCGGTGGAAGTCTCTTCAATGTGATTAGCTGTGTTGTACAGTTCGCGGTGCATGCATGTCGCCAGTATTCCGTGCATCACGAACTGTAAACTACGAGAGAGTCGGTCAATATGGTCAGTCCAAGAAATGGCCCTTACGTTGATGACACATCTCCGTACGATGCCTGCGATCAGATCATGAATTAGATGTTGGATTCATATTGTTATGAACACGCACGGGAAGAGTGACCACGACGACCACGACTGTGGTGGAAAATACTGGTCCGCCACGAATGTTAGTGTCAATTTGTGAAGAATGGTGTTTCACTCACCAAGCCCACAGGCAAAGTAAAATATGTTATGTCTGACCAGGACCCGCACAAGAGGTATATCGTTTCCATGTTGTCTACTATAAAGCTTCCACGAGTGGTATAACATTAAACTAAGGGTTTCTATGAAATATTCAACGCGACAATGTAAAAATACCGTGAAACCTACCTATTTCTGCGACGACGAGCAAAACGTAGGCTAAGATGACAATGCGACCCTGCTTGCTGCCGTAGCAACTTGTGACTTTTGGAATAGGTGACTGTATGACTATACCCCATCGCTGTGAACCACCAAATCAGCGAGCAGGAAGAGACTCACTTGTGGAGGAAGAGTTGGATAATGTAAGAGTCACCATCACTGGGACCAGGAAGAGCTATACGTTGGGCAATTGACAAAACATTTCACTTGCAAAAGACTGACATACCACAAGGTTGCAACACATTGTTAGCAATCCGCGTCCCATTACTGCCCAAACCCTCCGCATGAAGAGTGCTGCAGGATGTTGGAACCAGGGTCAGCCACCGAAATAATGGATAGCAAAGAATACTAACATTCTGCACAGAACAGTATGATTCCTCCAACATCTGATAGGGGTGTCAGTTCCAGAAGTATTCGTTTCACAAGGGGATCAACTCACATGAGTTAAATGCAAACAAGGCTGTGCAGGACTGAGATTTTTGAATTGAACTTTAAGAGCGACATGAAAAGACATCAATGTACCTTAAGGGAAAGTCCAGGCTGTAAAATTCCTGAAAACAAATAAGATTCCACTCGCTTCAAGTGGCATGTTTTTGAACATACGAATCATATCGGTAACGACCAATGCAAATGGTAAGTACCGGCAGGTAAGATAGGTCAATGTGGGTATTCGCCATGGAGCGTCCAATATGAACGCGACCTTTGTATGTCACTTGTCAGGCTCTGGGCACTGTCATGACGTTGGCTGGGTGAAAACATACATCTTTATCGAGGGTGAGAGCAAAGTCGTAAACCTAATAGCAAAATAATCAATTTCCATGGTTGACTTGACAGGTTGCCACCTGAGTTGATACCTACCCAAAGACATGCTATAGAGACTAAGACGGAAGTTCAGCACGAACGCGGCTGCATAATAACTGTTGGTAGCACGCACTGGAAGCATACTATATAGTGCACGTAAACAGTTAGTTCGTTGAATGTCATGCTACTGATTCTGATCATCACTCACGTCGGTGTCCTGCAGTATAATGCCGATACTAATATCAGCTTGGTCAAACAACGGGACCATGATAGTGGACGACTGACCGGGTCTATTGTAGTTATGCATTACTATATGGCCCAGTCTAAGAATCCACGCGCCGGTCTCAGTGATCTAATATAATCCATTGCTCCAAGCTCGGTACTACTTGGGTGAAAGGCTCTATATTTACAGTGTGTTGCATATGAAACTGCAGTACAAGTTTTTGAAAAACTCGGCCTTTACCGGACTTTTCATATGCAACACACTGTATGCAGCAACCTCGATGGGATGCGAGGTGTTAGTTAGTAAGTAATCTGAACTGCAGTCTGGATTTGAAACGCAATATTTGCTGTTGAGAGATCGCAGTCAGCGGAGGCCTCGGGCATCCGTCGAATGCGGAACCATTATTAACTACCAAGGGGGCCGTTGCCGACTATTTACCTTTCTCCAGGCTCAGCGACTCTCGTGCTTCAGCCAAATTTTCTCATCCCCAATTTTATTCCGGAATACAAGGCTGTCGAATACTGCTGCAGTCCTAAAAAAACACGCTAGAAAAATAGGAAATACGACACGCTTCGAGATACAAGTACAATTATGAGTGCAGTAGAAGGCACTGCACCTCTTTTTAGGCTTTCGAACCACTCGCGTCAGTCTCTCGGGAATTTTGTTTATCTTCCGGCCCATCGTTGTCGTCGTTGACGTGCGGGGTTTGTAGTTAGTATTGTGGTGGACCGCACCGAGCCTCAGAGTGGTTACGTTTTCTGCGGTTGCTTGGAAAGTATCATGATCTTGGATTTTCCAACGACGCACGGTGAACTCAATCTCCACGATGCAACCATTGAGAACAGTATTGGTGTGGATGGGTTGAATAAGGTTGCCTTCATAGAAGACAGGGAGGGGTGTTGCTTGGAGATTGAATTTGATGCTATCGACGTGCAGTGCAAATTCGTCCGGGATGGGCCAGTTTGCCGTTTCGTAGTCCATCTGCGAAGCTTCTTCGACAGCTGGTCCATGAGGGGAGTCAGGTACGGCGTTATCCTTTCTGTTTTAAGTTGTCATGTATGTTGATAAACGTATGCACGTACCCTTAAGGTGAATATGTTCCTTACAGAACGTACCATTCTCCCTGTAACGTCATCGACAATCATACTCATATATCATTCTGTGGTGGCGACTTGGTCTCCAGGGTGGTGATTGCTTGGTAGTCCATTGCAAGATCAGGATGGGCGGGTCGAGAGATATGGAACTGATATTTGGTTTTTTCTAGAGGGCTCATGCCATTGGCAATATGATTTCCTGCAGGTCCACATTTCAGACTATAGGCGGATACACGATATACTATGACGAGTTTGGCTGGGAGCTCGCTACTTTCGTTGACGAGTTCCAGTCCACTGCTGGAATATGTTGCCAGATGGTAGAATTTAGGTTGCTGGGCAGTGGGCGTTGAATGAGTGTCCTGAAATCACGTGATTTGGCAAGACTATTGCTTACGTTAGCACATATGAACATGACCTTGCTTCGCAAGGTAACACACCATATCCTTCACTTGAGAGAGAGCCGAGCTGCGCCGGCAGTCACCTTGTTTATCGGTCTGACACAAATAATGGAAAGCACACACTCGCACTTGACAGCTACCTAGCAGTTCGGCTCAGTGGTATGACTATGTGCGCTGCTCAGTGGCTGGTACTAGCTTTGCTTGTATTCAAGGTTGCCATTCAAAATGACATACAACGCTGATTGTATGCCTGCATCTCCATTTTGCTTTTGATTTCCATTTTATTTTCACTCAATCGAGGTTGCATTCGTGAAGCTGCGTTCTTCGACTCGTTCATCTGTGCTCATGGGTAACAGGGAAGGGGATCTCGTGCCGCGTCTATTCTTACCAACCGAGAAGATACAAATTCTCTATCTAAATGCATTGGTCTAGTATTTTCTAGGGTAAAGAGAAGAAGGACCTTTATAACCAAGTCACACCTCCGACGAAGCTGGTGCAAAAACAAGAGGAAGGGGTATAGTCCCGGTAGAAGTCCCTTCAGTGTAGTGGGCTGTGTTGTACAGCTCACGGTGCATGCGTGTCACCAGTATTCCGTGTATCACGAACTGTAAACTACGAGACAGTCAGTCAATATGTTCAGTCCGAGAAACAACCCCTTACTCTGATGCCGCGTCTGCGTACGATGCCTGCGATCAGAATCATTAGATCTTAAGTTGGACGTCGGATTCATAATGTTAATAAATACGCACGGGAAGAGCGACCACGGCGACCACGGTCGCGGTGGAAAATACTGTTCCGCCACAAATGTTAATGTCAATTTGTGAAGAATGATGTTCCGCTCACCAAGCCCACAAGCAAAGTAAAATATGTTATGTCTGACCAGGACCCGCACAAGAGGCATATCGTTTCCATGTTCTCTATAAAGCTTCCACGAATGGTATAACATGAAACTAAGGATTTCTATGAAATATTTAACGCAACAACATCAAAATACCGTGAAACCCACCTATTTCTATGATGACGAGTAAAACGTAGGCTACGATGATAATGCGACTCTGCTTGCTGTCGTAGCAACTTGCGACTTTTGGAATAGGTGACTGCATGACTATACAACATCGTTGTGAGCTACAAAATCAGCGAGCAGGAGGTGACTCGCCTGTGGAAGAAGAGTCGGATAATGTAAGTGTCACCACCAGTGGGACCAGCAAGAACTGTACATTCGGCTATTGACAAAACATTTCACTTGCAAAAGACTGGCTTACCACAACATTACAACACGTTACCAACCATCTGCGATCCGTTACCGCCCAAACCCTCTGCATAAAGAGTGCTGGAAAATGTTGCAATCAGGGTCAGCCACAGAAATAATGAATAGAAAAGGATACTGACATTCTGCACAAACCAGTACGATTCCTCTGACATCTGATACAGTTCCGGAAGTATTCGTTTCACAAGGGGATCAACTCACATGAGTTAAATGCAAACAAAGTTGTGCAGGACTGAGATTTTTGAATTGAACTTTAAGAGTGACATGCAAGGACAACAATGTACCTTAAGGGAAAGTCCAGGCTGGAAAATTCCTGAAAACAGGTGAGATTCCACTCGCTTTAAATGGCACATTTTTGGACATACGAAACATACCGGTAACGACCAATGCAAATGGTAAGTACCGGCAGATAAGATACGTTAGTTTGGGCATTCGCCATGGAGCATCCAGTATGAACGCGGCCTTTGTATGTCACTTGTCAGGCTCTATGTGCTGTGATGATGTTGGCTGGATAAAAACTTACATCTTGATCGAGGGTGAGAGCAAAGTCGTAAACCTAATAGCGAAATAATCAACCTCCTTGGTCGACTTGACAGGTCGCCAACTGAGTTGGTACCTACCCAAAGACATGCTATAGCGACTGAGATGAAAGGTCAGCACAAACGCTGTTGCATAACAACTGTTGGTAGCACGCACTGAAAGCATACTATATAGTGCACGTAAACAGTCAGTTTGTTGAATGTCATGCTACTGATTCTGATCATCACTCACGTCGGTATGCTGCAGTGTGATGCCAATACTAATATCAGCTTGGTCAAACAATGGGACCATGATAGTGGATGACTGACTGGATCTATTGCAGATATGCGTTATATAGCCCAGCCGCGCATCGGTCTCGAGATGTAAAGTGCTGGTTAGTCTCGCTTAAGCAAACTGGACAGCAGTCTGCATCTGAAATGCAATGCTGTGTCCGCAGAATGATCAAACAGCGCCATATCAGGACCGGAGCGGGCATGTTTGCAATCCGTTAAATGCTAGACCATTGTTAACACACCACATCCTTCACACAGCGAGGTTGGGTGGGACAAGTTGTCGAAATCTTGATTGGTAGCCTGCGAATGTTCTGTCAGGTCGTCAGCTGGAACGTAGCAACGACATACTAGTAGAGCCCGCAAATAGACTCGTCCCGAAATCTTACACAGCCTCAGTGTGTGCCAAGACCTATTACTTCCGCAAAGCAGGGAAACCTAGACCATTTTCTGCTCAACACTGCCAGTTACTGCGGAATTGGTAAAATATTTTCGTGCCTCATGCGAGACTTACGATAGGCTGGTTGTTCGATGATTGCAGGGCAGGTTGAGGACAAAAATTGCCCCAGGCGTGCCAATAAGGCACAATCTTCGAAGTGAAAAGGTCAGGGACATACAAGAAGTGCTCTGACAACGTCCATGTTAGGACACATAGTATGATGTCTTACCTCATAAGCTATGACAGAACAGGGGCGCTGCAGGCTCAGGCACCTTCCTATTAATATTGCGATGCACAATAGTTTCTTCCGTTTCTGGCGAGAATGTGCGGGAATAGTGAAGTTGCATGGGATGAACATTCTCGAGAGTCACGCAGGCACCACATATGCAGGCGGGGGCTTGACACCAAAGTGCGCGCTTCCGTTACCTGAGTCTTGAGTACTAGTGAGTCTTGAGACTAGTGTGCCAAAGCCCATGACCACAAGTTCAAGTATCCTATCATAAGGAAATGGAATGCTCACAAGTGTCCGATATTGTAAATGCTCCGGGGACATGTTGAAAATCTGAGAAAGGCGGTCTTCAGCCAACCGGTTCCCTCATTCGTGGGTGTTAGTGTGATGGTAACAATTCGAATCTCAGGAGGCAGGAGCAATTAAATACTGAAAGGTCGCCCCCGACGACGCACGATGTCGGTTCGTGAACTGAGGTGACTCGGAATGAATGGACTATGTCGCATTGCGGGAAATTAGGAAACAACACTGATATATGATACTACCAGTTAAGAACGGTCTATTCGTGGTGGACCTCTATTTTGTGAGCCACTTTTTGGCGTGAAAACCTCTGCGAATACCACGTGAAAGAGAAAGGGAGACCATAGGAAGACAGATCTGTAAGGCTTATCTAGGATCCGGCTCACCCGCTCAGCCGGGATGAAGGTGAGAGAGTAGGTAAAGATAAGTCCCTGACTCGCATGCCAAGTATAAAGGGGGCTGTGGAAAGCCGAAGTAGTCCTCTGCTGTCGAGATTGTCAGGTTCGAGGCGACAAAAGCTGACTGACCATTGATAAGCGTTATAGGTAGGTTGAAGAGAGCCCGGTAGTGACTTGCAATTGCTCGTCGTAGACTGTTATCGACCTCTCACAAGGATTGCCCTGTGGTCGTCCGACGTCTGGACAATAATTTCCACGATTATTTTCGGCAACGTGGTGTAATTCTTGTGTAATTCAATCCAAGCCATAAATTCGGCTAAACCCCCTCTGCCACAACTCTGTCTTTCGCTTCAAGTTTAGGTACCCCACAACTAGTACAACAAGTTCGCCGTTCTTCACTTCTTTTCTGCTCGGTTCACTCCTTTCTTTCAAACCATCACCATGGCTCCCACTCTCAATCACCCAGCCGGTGTCACCTTCGTCGATGATGGCCATGGACCAGTCCACGTAGATGCTGCTACATACTATGGCGGCGGCGAGGCATTCACTCGTTCGAGAACCTACAGTCATGTAAGAGATCTTGCCCTGTTCGGCAAGCATCTTGCCAATTTCTCATGCCACGTCTACAGTCACATATTCATGGGTATAACCCCAAGCGTACTCCGCTCTTCGAGGAGGATACGCACATGAGGGCTCGGCGCATGTCGCATGACGAGAAGAGCGTCACCGGTCCCCGTCGCTTCCTCATCGATGTCGAAGAGACCATTCGTGTTGTCCTTGAGCAGGAGGACACAGATGGTGATTTCCAAATTAGTATCACTGATGCGGGCCCGAAGATGATGGCCCTCGGTACGGCCACGAGCAATGGCTTCAAGACTTTTGATGTCCGAGTCAGTGTCCATGTTCATGATATTGTACCACTCTCAGTATAACTACGTTCCAGGGAACCTACATGTTGTCCAACTTGTTGCAGGAACTTGCCCTGGCCCGGGATCATGGACGCAAACGTATCGTCCTCGATGAGTCTCGTCTCTCAGAGAACCCAGTCGATCGTCTCTCTCGCATGATCAAAAACTCATTCTGGCACTCACTGACTCGCCGCATTGATGGCGATGGTCTCGAGATCATCACTGCCGACCCTAAGAACCGTACGGGCCGAGTCCAACCTCGAATCTACGTCCCTCACGGCGAACCTGCAATGGCTGAATACTACAGAAAAGTGGCACGCGAGAAACCACACATGAACCTTGATGTACAGGTCCTACCTCCAAAGCCTGATGATGCCATATTTGTCAAAAGCTTGAACTCGAAGCCAGGTATTTTAGCGCTCGCTATGAATGAGGTTGATGACGGCAAGGGTGGTCGGACCCTTAAAGGAATTCCTTTCATCGTTCCTGGCGCTCGCTTTAATGAGGTGCCTTGCTCGATCCACTCCATTGTTATCACTAACTAACATCATTCAATGACAGCTCTACAACTGGGATTCCTACTTCATTTCCCTGGGCCTCCTTGTGGATGGTCAAGTGACCATGGCGAAAGGCATGGTTGACCACTTTATATTTGAAATCAAGCATTACGGCAAGATTTTGAACGGAAGCCGGAGCTACTATTTGTGTAGGACGCAGCCTCCGTTCTTGACGGACATGGCGCTGCAAATCTACAATCAGCTAGATCGCTCAGACGTGGAGTCTAATCGGCAATGGCTGAAACGCGCAATCCAAGCCGCCATCAAAGAGTACCATACCATCTGGGTTGCGGAGCCCCGCATTGATCCCAAGACGGGGTTGTCCAGGTACCGCCCCGACGGTCTTGGAATTCCTCCTGAAACTGAGGCGACGCACTTCACGCATATCCTTGAGCCTTATGCTGAGAAGCATGGCATCTCGGTACTCGAGTTTAGCGAGAAGTACAATAATGGAGTTCTCAAGGAGCCTGAGCTGGACGAGTACTTCTTGCATGACAGAGCTGTGCGCGAGTCGGGTCATGATACGACGTATAGGTTTGAGAAGCGGTGTGCGAACCTTGGGACGATCGATCTGCAGGCGTTGCTGTACAAGTATGAAGTCGACATCGGTACGGCCATCCGGGAGGTGTTTGATGATGAGCTCGAGCTCGAGGAGGAATTCGACTTGGCACCCTTCCCACCATCTGTTGAGGCATACCGCAACCCCTACCGCGAATGCTCGACCAGTCGGTCGCAAAATAGCGATGAGTGGTTTGAGAGAGCCGATCACAGGAGAGAGATTATTGACAAGTACCTCTGGAATGAAAACAAGAAGCTGTACTTCGACTACGATACAGTCCTAGAGAAGCAGAGTTTGTATGAAAGTGTTACTGCGTTCTGGGCGCTCTGGGCTGGTTGCGCGAGCGAGGAGCAGTGCTGGAAACTTGTGTAAGTCCAGTTGTCTTCCTTCTAAACATATCTAACTTTGCGTAGTTCGCAGTCGTTGAAGAAGTTTGAAGTACTCGGGGGTCTTGTTTCTGGGACTGACGAGTCTAGGGGTAAGATTTCCTTGGACAGGCCTAACCGACAGTGGGATTACCCGTGCGTTGATGTCTCCTTTGTTGCGTATGCAGTAAATCTAATAATTTCTAGTTATGCATGGCCTCCTCACCAAATCATGACTTGGGTCGGGCTAGAGCGCTACGGTTACCTGGAAGATGCTCAGCGATTGTCGTACAGGTTCCTTTACATGTGCGTGACCTTGCTTCGTCTAATTTGTACTGAGATTGACTCGATTACTGTAGGATGACCACAGCGTTTGTTGACTTTAATGGAGTTGTACCCGAGAAGGTATGTGATACTAGCGGTGACTTTTGTATGCTACTAATGTGAATGTTCGCCAGTTTGACGCAGTGAAGCTTTCACACTTGGTGGATGCTGAGTACGGCAACCAAGGTTTAGATTTTAAGATGGTTCCTCGTGAGGGCTTTGGTTGGATGAACTGTGCGTTTCGTTCCATCCCCATGTTTGCCAGCTAATCGATGATCACAGCCGCCTACCAGGTGGGCCTGTCCTTCTTAACGACGCACATGCGTCGCGCAGTCGCGACGTGCACCAGCCCAGAAGTCCTCTTTGGTTCATCAGCAAACCTTGAAAATGCCGTCGCTCAAGCGGCACACGCTGCCACCGATCCTCTTGGCCTTGCGATGGAGTCATTAAACATTGCCAGTGTACCTGCTTAAGCGTTAAGCACGACGTCTGTTTGGTCTTGCCTTGGTATTATAATGTGGCGTCTAATGTAATGTGCCCTGTGGGTGGCGACAGTATTCATGTCTAATACATCTTGGATCAGATTTAGAGTTCCCAATTCATTTTCGATGTCCTCTTTGCATCTTCACTTGTGTATTCTTACTCATAGTCATAGTCTCTTAAGAAACAATCTAGATTTCGTTACAATGAAGTTAAGTAGTTGGCCCGCGAGGAATCTCTTGATGAGTCAGCAAGACTGAGGCTTTTCTGCAACGTTTATGGCTCACTGTGATGTCCGATGCTCCCAACAGCCTTGACGGCCCTCCTCGCCATCCTTGATTTTTTCCTTGACCATGGCCAGCGGCCGCAAAGTTCTCATTTTCAGAAGTCCCTGCGATTTGAACTGCGACACGAACATGCTGTCTCTCACGATGCACGTGTGGTGTTCTCCGACGTGCCATCGACCGTGCCAGTGAGCCTTGTCTACGGCAATGAATCAACCTACTCGTTAGATGCACAATATGTGACTTCATATCGTCCATCAAGTTTTAGTGCCTACAACGATGCGAGGATACGTTCCATGCGGCACGCACAAAGTGCGAATTTGCCCTGGCACGAAACCGAAATATTGGGACCAAATGTCGAGAAACGCGAAACACTGTTGGAACTCGCAAAAATGACAAACAATGCCTATATAACCCCCGACGATAGCCAGTGGTACGAACTTGGCGAGAAATGGTCTACTGTTCGTACGTTTCCTTAAATTCTGCAGGCACATTATCGCTGAGGAGCCTTCCAAAGCGTTATCCATTTGGATGGGAACCAGATGATGATGGGTTCCGAGGTTATGTGTTTGCGACGCCCGACAATTCCACTGTCATTCTATCCATCAAAGGCACTTCCGCGGCCATATGGGGAGGCGCAGGTCCGACTGACAAGAAGGATAAATTGAACGATAACCTACTGTTTAGTTGTTGTTGTGCCAGAATTGATTGGAGTTGGACAACCGTGTGTGGGTGCTATCGTGGAGGGTGGAAATGCGACCAAGATTGCCTAGAGGAGGCTCTGGTAGAAGATAGTTTATTTTACCCCATTGGAACGGTAGGCCTATCATTGACGTGCGGTTCCCTTGCTCATTTAAATCAGAACTTGTATAATAACTTAACATATATGTACCCGACGTCGGATATCTGGATCATAGGGCACTCGCTAGGTGAGTATCTTTTGCTGAGGCTAGCGATGTGTTCGCTCACCTGGGAGAGAAGGTGGTACGGTGGCTTCCCTTCTTGGAGTCACGTTTGGTACCCCTGTTGTTGCCTTTGAGTCACCGGGGGAGCGACTGGCTGCAAGGCGGTTGCATCTGCCATCGCCGGTGTGTAGTTCCAATGCGCATATCATCCTATTAGTAATGAATCAGTCTTAGCCATCAACCCATCATGTCACGCATGTATATCACACTGCAGATCCCATTGCGATGGGAACCTGCAATGGAATTTTGTCTTCTTGCGCCTTAGGCGGGTTCGCAATGGAAACTAGGTATGTCTTCTGACATTTGTGCTGTCCACGCATCTGAGGCAGCCTAGGTGTCATCAAGGCAAAACTATTGTCTACGACACTGTATCGAACCTTTCTTGGTCTGTAGACATACGCAAACATGGGATCATCAATGTTATAGAAGAAATACTGGGGAAACCCTGGCAGCCCAGCGAAGATGTTGGTCGGGAGGTTCCACCCGCTACAGCTGAAGAAGATTGTGTGGTGAGTGGTCATAATTTTGTTCCCTATGGTGCTCGGCTGACATGGAACTTGCAGGAATGTTATAGCTGGGAGTTTGGCAATTTCCCCCCGTAGATGCCGTAGCAGTCGTGGACCAGAACATACCCTGCTTTGTCATACATACCAGAAAATTATCACACAACTTGACAAACTTGGGATGGGTCACTGTAATCCGTAAGCAGAAAGCGCTCTGGAGGAGGAATGTGGCGCACTTAGATTATGTGTGGAGCTGTGTGCTTTGAGGTACTCTGTTTTAGGAATAGGTGATTCATCTGTTTGCTGCCTTTCAACCTTTTCTATTTCATCTGACTTTTCCAGTATCAATCACGGATCGTGAGCCAGGATGTATCTGGCAGTGAGATATACTAGTGATTACCATCGCATCAAGTCCATAATGCATTTGATATAGTGTGCCTGTATCGGATTCCTTCTATGGTTAGTTTGTCGTTTTTGATACCATAGCACAATGATCGAGGCGTACAAGGCAACGGATAGTAAGGTTAGTCATATTTGCTCCGCCTCGGCCTACTATGTGTTTGATTTCTCTGGTGCCATGTCACAGAATGGGACCTTGTTAAGAGTCATCGGTGAAGCTGTTACACCTCAGGCTCGGCAAGCAAGGCCAAGAGAGTGCCATATCAGAATATACTTTGATTCAATCGAGGGCTTCCACTTTTTACTACTTCAACCGATCAAGGGTATTGATGCTGGAACAAATATCCATCACCGTCATGCCGATAAAGCACTGGACGGTGGTATATCTACCACGAACGCTAGATCATCATACATCAACATCCCCCACTCGCTCACACCCATCCTTCGAATATGACCATAGTCTCAAATGATCCCCGTTTGTGGCCAATACTGACTTCGGATTTATTCAGAAGCTATTGGACAGGTTCGTAGCATCAAGATGTTTCGATCTAACATTGACCTGCGGTTTCGCAGTCGCCGCCGCCGCCATAGTGGTATACGATTGGGGTGAGCAGGGTAGTGTTCGAAAACCGCTGATATTCTTATGATATTTCTAGTACTAACTCTCGGACAAGAGGTAGGTCGACGTTATCGCCGGAGCAGCCAACTTGCTAAGAATGGTGTCATAGATTGAACTGATCTGGGTGAGTGATAGAGTTCCACATCAGAAGAAAACAGGAGAATACAATGAATTCGCAACAGACGCAACGCTGGTCTCTCATGACTGTGCTGCACCTGGTTGTTCGTACCTCATGTTATACTATAACGTGGTTAGCAAGTTGTGCTGACCCCAAAGTGTTCTAGATACGCCATATTGGAATACCATATTCTGTGTATGTTCTTGAGGCCAACAAGTTAGTGCTGTACTAATAGCCCATCTCTGACAATTAGTGTCACTGCTTTGTGTATGTCTCACATGCACTGTGTTCGATTCTTCTGACCGGCGGTACACAGCAAATATGCCATTTGTTTCGCTAACAGATGCAGTGAGTATTCCGCAACCATCTCATTCCCATCCAATGAATACACTCATATGTAGGGGTGAGTGAGATTCTGAACATTGAATGTGGCTCAAAATATTGACTCAATAGGTGTGAGTCAGAGCGTTTGATCCTAGTACGAGGGTGATCACTAATTGAGTATCTCAGGCGATATTGTGAACTACGCAATAAATGGGACAAGTCTGGTCGTAATTGCTATGCTGGACGGTGAGCTGCAATACATCAGCGATATTAACTCGACTGAAATACGATGCGAGTCATCATGATTGCTCGGTTACATGCGATGTATCAGAGATCTAGAACCATGCTTATCTTCATTGTTATTATCTTCCTGGCTGTTAACATCACCTGCGGAGTAATCATTTCAATAACATACAAGCACACCACAGCGGGTAAGCTTTACTTGTTGACTTGAAGAACACAGCTCATTGGACAACCACCAGAGGAGCTGATACTCTCTGGCACATATATTTGCGAATATAGATACGGGGGGGATGACCCGCTTCTGATTTCAATGACTTGGGTGCTCATCACTGTTTGGGAGGTCCTTGCACTGTGTCTTTCAGTCTGGATTGCTGTGAGACACTTCCGTGACCTGCGACGACTCGGCCCATCGACAGGATCGACCATCGGGGACTGTTTCAAGGTGCTGATAAAATATCACGTGCTTTATTTTGTAAGGTGAGCTTGTAATGTGAATGTAGTTATATCTTTCTGCTCAAGTTCCACACGTGCTAGCTTTATTTGTATCTCTTGCCTCCAGCTTGGTAATATCTCTCCAGAGATCTTGGTGCGCCGACCTGTAGCTGACATCTGCTTGTAATCGCTCATAATTTCTGTAGGATTCACATTCTTTGGAAGCTCAGATATTCGGAGATGTTATTCAAATTTATTGATCGTGCAGATGTTTGTGCTGGGACCGCGCCTCATCCTTAGCGTTCGAGAATATCACGCAAAGCTTGTGGCTGAATCCGATGCAGAAACTAGCATGAGTTCGATTGTTTTCCAGGAGCGTGTACATGTGCCAACTAGCAGTACTGTGTAGGGAAATTTTGTCGAGAATCCATCATAGTATTTATTTAAGTTATGGCGTTTCACAGTATAAAAGTTTAAGATCAAGTTTATGCGGACAAGCTCGTTTCTTGTTGTATCACTACTGAACCGCCCACACTTGCACCAAGTGGCAAGCTGAAATTATTCGGAATGTCTAGCAACCAACCCAGTCCTTGATACCCAATACTGAACTATATCGAGAATCAGTATAAGTTGCCTAGACAGCTGATTCTACACGTATGCAGAATTCCGTTGTCTAAGCACATAAATGATCATGAAGTGACCGCGAAGAGTGAAGCCCAGACGGCTGATAACTCATTGTGCTCAAATGTATGTTCATCCATCCAGGGCCACTGACAAAGAAAAGGAATGAATCATGCGAACTCATGGCTCGACTGTATGCCTTGAGTATCGCAAGGAGATGAGGTGTGCTGAGCGGGGAGTGGATAATTAGAGAATCCGGACTTCAAGTCAGAAGGCCTCTAGCGTACCTGTCAATCTATTAAGAGAATCAACCACGATATTCTGAAATTGTATGCATACATACGTTGATCGCTCATGCAACTGTAAATTGTGTGTCGGGTTTGCGACCTTGCAATAATGATTTGGAGCCCATCCTGCTAAGCATGATAGTCAGAGTAAAGTACCGAACGAGATACACACATGCATATATCTATCAGTGGCACCGACCCTAAATCCAACAGACGATCACTCGAAGGACTATGCATCGCTTCACGTGATTATCTGCTGGCCTGGTAGATACGTGAGTAGTAGCGTGTCTAAGACTCTAAGCCCAGACAACTGATAGACCAGAAAATCCATGAGCCCGCGAAATATTTTGGAATCATCTGTCTAAGGAAATGTGAGGAAAAGCGAGAGCGATTGTACAAGGACAGATGACTGATAATACCATGGCCTCGCTGAAACTTCAGAGACCATGGTGTCAACAGTTGTCTAAACCGAACGAATGGAAGAGAGGGGAATGGAAAGTAGAAGTAGTGTCTGAGCTGATGGCACAAGGGTCCCGCAGCATAACAACTCTGGCCTTCTCCTGAACTAGCGTCTGTTTGAACACAAGGAAGAAGGAATAAGTGACTCACATGTGAGCAGGCGAGAATCTTGCAATGAATACTACCATCGTGATCATGATACAGTGACCGTTAAGCAGGCCTAAAAGAGCGGCGATTCTATATTTGGTGGCCAGAGAGTATAGTCGTGGTTCTGGATGCAGAAGTGAAAATGAAGAACAAGATGGCAACTCATTCGAAGATAATTTGCAGGAGCCGTTGGAACGACCAATACATAATAGCCTCGCGTAGACCTAATATATAGCGAAAATACGTCAATAATGATCAACGTCAACCTTAGCCACAGTTTCTGGGGTCTTGGGCGTGATGCGTTGACTCGCGCTGTTCGACTACATACTTGCATTGTGCACTAATTATGCTGATCGATGTATCTGTTTCGCTGTCCAACGCCTTTATAATCCGAAATTTCCGTCATGCGTCGCCAAGCTCGGTCACGACGAGCTTGTTCTCATAGAACTACAAGGCACGCTCGATATCGAGTGCGATGGAGACAGCACTAGAGACGGGCAGTTCGTTGGCAAATTGAACCTCAAGGACGCCGTAAGTAGAGTTCTCTACAGCCACTGATCTGGCAGTACCTGATAGATCTTTAAGAACAAACCCACGTTGATCATCGGGCATCATCTACTCGAGGGCAAGGTCGTAACCTTGCCCAAGCCGTTGGGCGTGATGCATCGCAAGGAAAGCTCCAAGAGACATGGCTATCCTGGTGATGAAGATAGTTCTAGATCGGTGGAAGACACTTGGAACCCCGGCGTTAGCTGGGGCATCATCGCCGTGGTGAAGAAAAAGATTGTGTTCTCCAAACGACCCATGCCGATCGTGAACTCGGGCGGTAGTGCTCAGAGTGGCAAGGTTTGAATTGGATTAAGATGTACGATCCCTGATGCGACTTTCGTCGTGTGACCGCGATGGAGCATGGTTGGTATGCTCCAATCAATGTACAGGAGTCATCACTCAATGAAGCTACCAGAACAGCTTTTGCGATCGCTAGCCTATCGCCGACAAAGGCCACGACCTGTTTTCTATAGACGATGATATCGAGCATTGTGCTGTCACAGGCTCGGCTTCGGGAAACCATCCTAGTGCATCCTCTTTGAATGATGTTCACGATGCGTTTTTAGATACTTATAGGTCAGACACGGCCAATATACAAGTCAGGTCTACCAATCTCTTGAGGCGCAGCCACTGTTTCAATGGATACCACAGCATGTAGTCGTGACGGGTGATGGACATGTCATTTCATTTCTCGAAAAGGACGAAGAGAAAAGGGTGAAAGGCAGAATTTCACGCCCGAGGTAACGTTTCAGGTGAAAAGGTATGTAAGGATTCTAATAAAGCACGCTGCTTGTCTACTCTCCAGAGTCCACGAGACATCCTTGTCACAAGAAAGGCATGAATAGTTACTTGCCAGATGCGTACAAACTTCACAATCATGAAACCATAATATTCCTGCCGAGTTTTACTTGTCAACACACATGACTCTATCCATCTTTCACGCCACTGACCTTTACAAGCGCTGTCGTTAATATGGTTGTGAGTGAGAAGACTTTGGATCATAATTCAGAAAAGTTGCACATGTACTTGAAAATCTGTTAATGTGAAGGCAACTCACTGAGTCCGCAGGTCATGTAAATTATATTGTGGAGAACCAGTCGTCCCAACAGACGATTATGGGTTCCCTCTCGCCAGTAGCTTGCCACGGCCTTGTATAGCGTGAACATCAATGTTTCTGGGGGACCCTTGATTACCATAGGAAACGAATGAGGTTGTGAAGCTGTACTCACGTATCTCCACCATAGCCAGTATCACGTAGGACGATTATGATAGTACTGCCATCGCCAGTCTCAAAACAGCTCGTGATACCGATGGGAGACTTGATGACTGCAGGAATGTTTCACCGCAAGTCACTTTTAGATTTCCAAAGGAACACACTGTTTGGTGCAGATTTGCTGATCGAGAGCACCACACCGCCAGCAATAATGTATAGCTGACAGTTGCAATTCAACTGACATGAAGGGAATCCAGTAAGGCTTGTGACTGACCAGCCCGCTGATCACGAACATGACTATCATGCGCCTCCTACATTCCCAAATTGCCCAAGTGCGGGCTAAGAAGATACCTTGCAGGTCTTTGTCAATGAATCTACAGATGTGAGATTATGAAAGAACAAACCCTCGGCACACACTATAATCACACCTCCCATATCTGTGGAAAATCTCTATCAGAGATGACTTCGCTTCAATGATTTATAAAATCGCACATGTATTTATAAAGTACATTATGCGGCACGTCTGTCATAACACCTGAGTTGAGGTGTGACTTGAGGATCTTTAAAATACTCACTTGAGTCGACATCGTGAGTTGCGATGCCACTGCGAGTGTCATGAACAAAAATGATTGATGGCATCAAGGGATGTGCTTGCCAAGCATCACCGATGCCAAGTAACCGGAGGTAAGATATCGGCAGACAATGTAAAGCAGCTTCGCCCATTTCCATTGTGACTGCATCAAAAATGCAACCTGTCATCGATCGATTATGTCTCTCAGTATCGACTCGGACAGGTAGAACAAAAGTACCTCATCGTCCAAGGTGAGGAAGTAGTCGTATACCTGCGGTGACAAAGATCACTAATATAAGTGGGAATGATTCATGCGAATTTACCCAGAACGAAGTTACAGCCACTGAATCAAAGATGTCGTAGACGAGATCATGTCAGTCACAGCAAACACAATTTGAACTAGAGTGCCGACCATTGGCATACTTGAGAAATCATCATAAGTAGCTAGAACCAAACAAAGAATTGCTTACATTGAGGCTCCAAAGCACCCGTCCGAGCTGAAGCACGTCGTCAGTAGAGTTCATCGCTAGCCTATGGACAGTTGTTCACAGTGCAGAAGTGGGGATTCTTCTCATGACTCAGGCACTTATGTGTGTTGGAAACCTCGGGTAGCGCGTTTAAGCTTAAAGAAAATTATGGCTACATATACTGGGACCGTCGGCTCATGTGTGGATTTCTGTAGATTCCTGTATCACTGTCACCGTAACAGGGTTAAAATCAAATGACATGATACAAGCAAATACGATGACATACTAGCAAATACTTGAGTTGCCTTATATAAAACACACAAGCTGTCCCAAGGCAGCGTTGAATATGGCACAGGGGTACTAATTACAAATGGACACTCAATATGACTTGGGGCATACTCACCTGCAAGCGACGACCCATTTTAACTTGTAGTGTAGTCAGCCAATTGGAATCGTTCTGTTTCCTATGCTTCCCTAATATGCCGTATTGTGTAGAGACCCGACATGATAAGTACCATGACACAGAATGGCATTTCAGGGCTAAAGTGACGTTGTGACGATGAACAAGACATACAGGGGATCTGCTGATAATATTGATTAATTGTTCACCACACTCGATCTATGTATAGCAAACATCATGGGAGTTACAACGCCGGTCCGATTCCCATAGATCGAGATGCATCTTTGTCACCAGGAGCGCGTGGAACACGACTTGAGCACTAGAGAATGCTTGAACTTAGTTAACCGAAGCTGATGAATGAGATGTACCTAGCCATCAGATTACGATGCGATGGCTTGGGATGTCCCGTCAACACAGATTTCCAGTAAAGAGGAAGCGCTGACCTGCAACAGGGCCGTTGTCGGGATAGTAACAACAACAGAAGAACCTAAAAGTTTTTTCAGTAACCAATCTTTACGTTCTCAACAGACCATTCCTCACACAATCCACAAGTAAAGTAGAATATGTTGTACTGGATGAGGATCTCGAGTAATCGATTATTGCGACCCCAATTTCTGAAGCTTTCTGTGGCTTTGTATAGTGAAAAGAACACGATTTCTGTACGACGTCAAAAGATACTTGTCATGATTGACAGGATGAGAGCTCACGCAATTCTGCTAGAACAATGACGTCGCTCTCTTCGGAATCAAAGCAGCTCGCAAAGGGTATCGGTGATTTGATGACTAGATATATATAATAATCGATGATGATGATCTGGTTCAACGTCAGCAGGTGAATAAATCACTTACCTCTCGTCGACGACGTATGCATCTTCAAGATTACGATACCTGAGACGAAATAGAGCTAAAAGAACTGGAGTGAGTACAAAAGTACGAAAATTTAGGCACATACTGTCGTGCTGATCATGAAAAAACAAACAATCGATCGTTTGTATCCCCAAAGTACACACGTACGTGCGACGAATAGACCTGGAAAAGAGCGTAATTGCAGACATGGAACGTATTCAAAGCATACACTCCGCGCAGAACAATATCACACCACCAATGTCTAGGAGGGCACAGGTGTTAATATCTCAACTGAACGATCAGCTACAAATACTGACAAGCGGTAAAAGTATAATATGTCTGGCACAGCTGATCTCTCGGAAATTTAGCCTCGGGAGCAGCAAGAAGTATGCTGAACTCACAGACATGGTCTGTGATAAAGCAGGTTGTACCCACACTAGCGAACCCAAAGTTCACTAATTAAGCAGCGAAGGCACTGCACATTCGACGCACTGAGCATCCCCAAAGTCACGAAGACGAATGGGAGATAACGACAGACCAAGTATAGAAATCTGATCATGCTCCATCGTCCATGAAACAGAAAAATGACCTAAGGGTTGAAACGAACGCTCAGACAGTCGATTGACATACGGACTCTTAGCAACGTACCTCACTCGAGATCATGGTCAAGTAGTCGTACACCTATGCCAAAGAAAGTTATTTGACCCCAACAGAAAAATTAGAGCACTAGTATTCACCAAGAGACACGCTATGGCCACTTATTTGGACGATCAATCGATCAATTGCGATCCATACCAAATGTACATAGGGTCAGTTACCATTAGCATGCTGACCAGGTTGATGAGCGACATCACTAACTTATGCTGAAAGTACTTACATTCAGGCGTAACAGCACAATTCCCAACTCGATAAATTCGCGTGAGGAGTAGTCTGAGGGTGAGTGTGAGCTCATCACGACTATCACTAGTAGTCGTAGGCAGGAGAGCTAGAAAGTGTGGGCTGCAAGATCGCTCGCTCTGAAGCAGCTGATAACTCTTAAGCAAGTCTGTGCGCTTCCATTATACCAGTGTCTAAAAACCGTATGGGCCACGGAACGTATAAACGACACGTCTCATGGGGAACGTTGGATTTGTCTACGTTCCATTATATGATTAGCCAAGTGAAAGTTTAATGTTTCCAACCTTCACTAACAGATACTTTGATGCCTTCCAGGCCCTAGTTTTCCGGATGGAAAGCCTGCGTCTGTGAAGCCTATATTCAGTTATCCACAACGAATTTTGACTTTGCCACCATCTGAATCATTTTGAACATTCTCCGGCGATGCGTAAGCCATCGTGGCTGCACCACCATTCCCTTGAAAATGTGTTGTAGACACGTTCCTGCAGTTGGTATGATTAAACAAAGTTTTCAATGCTTTCACATGTTAACTTGAATCGTCTCTAGCCGTTTCATGACATGTGACATGTGACATCGTGACTGTACATTATGTGACTGATCAACTTACTTCATTGACTTATCGTCGATCGACGCCTTCCGTCCAAAGATTCACATTGTTTGGAGGCAGTCAGACAAACAAGCCATTCACCGATTCATTCATACGACAACTTCTACGTCGGGCTCAATATTACCTGCTATGCATCTTCCAAAGGCCTGTCCCCAGTCACTGCTACCCATGCCTTGATCCTGTTCAAGAATCAGGTACACCTTGGTGTCACAATATATCGGAGTTCGCAAGCCAGCTGCCACAGTAATCTCGAAAGCTCTTGCACCGCTGCGATGCGGTACATGGGTAATTGTATTCCCAAACCGCCATCCATCCAGTCTTGTCATTCCATCAGCGCGCATTGGACAAAACTAGTGATCGGAGGGAAGGACATAGCACACCTTCGGAAGTTTGAGCTGCTAGTCATATTCCTATGACTGGGTTTCGCATATTGGGGCAGAAATCAATTTCATTTTGGAAAAAAAAAACTCCGTGGGAAGGTCGACCAGGTCCGGTATGGTTGAAATCTCCTGAGAGTTGCTCGTACGTCACGGTCAATTCCACATTCCCTGCGCTTGATGGTCATACCATGAGCGTCGTGTTTTAAAGTGGCTTAAGGAGCATCTTAGCCTGGGAGAGACCTTTACCATCGGGTAACTCGTTCAAAGTTCGTTTGTATCTGGCCTAGCAGAAAACGAAATGGTGAGGAATTCAAACCCGCAGTCATGCAGTCTTGTGAATCGAAGATATCACTGAAGCACCTGCTTACTAGTACGATGATGCAGCCACACACCTGCCAAGAAGAACTTCGGGAATGACATCCAATTGCAAGCTTTGGATGAGTCTCACACAGCGCGCAACGAATAACGTTGGTAAATATATCGTCGTAATCCTCTATAGCGGTAGAGCGCTTAGAATATTGACTAGAAGGTGATGACATCATAGTTATGACGTAATCAGCAATAATGGGTGATTAAGTAAGCTAGGCGAAAGTGAAGCAGTACTGCATTTGCTAACGCCTCTTCCCTTCTTCATCTTGATCTATACCTCATCATCCTCCTCAATTATCTTATCTTATTCTCTTTAATAATGTCTACCTTCCCTATCTTTCATAACCTTAACAGTGGAGCTGGCTTCCCTGGATTGTCCTCTTACTCTGCTGAGCAGATATCATTAACCCCTATGGAACAACCCCTGTACGACCACCAAAAAGCTGCCGACCTTGCTGCGCTGGATGTAATACCGGAACACGATTTGCTCGCCATTTTGGGGCTCCAATCTTCGTCTGTGCCTTGTGCGCATTCGTTCCATGCCGACTCTTCCATTATGGAGGAGTCACTCTCAGACGTTCGAAATGATTTCACTGCCGCCATTCGAACTAAGGTTCCCCATCCTCGGGTAGCTCATGCCTGCGATTACTGCAGGCGCCGAAAAACAAAGGTGAGCACTCAATGTTTCTTTGTTTCACTTTGGCTAACGTTAGGGGACAGTGTTCGGGGGAACAGCCAGTGTGTACGAGCTGTAAAAAAAGGGGCAAGGTGTGCCAGTGGACTCCTCTCAAAACCACTAAAGAGCGGCGAACTCGAAAGCCCTACGACGTTGGTCTTGAATATAACCCTCGACCTCGTGTACCTGCACCATCTGCCCCGTATATTGCGGCACCTAGGGCGACCTATCCGAGCGTTATGCTCCCGAATCCGATGTCCATTTGGTCTATCGAGGATGCTATGTCTGCATCGCAGGCCAGCACGACTTCGAATGCGCCCACTGTGATACCTACTATACAAACACCCACTAGTTGGAGTACTCCTGCGCAGTATGATTGGCAAGATGTCGACATCCCATCCCCTCTTTCCTCCTGCCCTTCATTAGGGAGCGACATCTCATCTCGCGAATCATCGCCTGTGAACACACCAACGCGCGCCGACTCAATACCTACCTCGTCTAGCCCATTATATTTTCCCGTGGAAGAGGCGGAACAAAATTTCGAAGACATTGATGTTTTCTTCAAAGATCTGTATCAGGATCTATCTCCCGATTGGTCTTCGGTCTTACAAAGCTGGCCGGATGAAACTGAGACGTTTTTTGCTCAGTAAGCACCAGTACCACGTAATTTTTTTCCCTGGGCGGTGGTCATTGGAAATTCGTTCCTGTGGGTTTACAGTATGAACGCTTTAGCGACACCTGTAGGCCTATATATATAGTGATGTGTTTATAGTGTAGTGAAAATAAAACACTATTTCATAACCTGAGTGATCTAGTCTTACTTGAAGTGGACATCGTGAGAACTCAGTCTGCGGCTTTAAATTCCACGTACGTTTCTTCAGCGGATTTGACCATTGGCTAAACTCCCGAAGCAGTGCATCGTTAATCTTCATGACAGCGCCAAGCGACTGCGGAGCAGAAGCACTTACAGCAGAGCACAAGCTCCGATCACGTCTTGGAAACAGTCATCACCTCAAAAGCTTGACTCAAACAGTGCCCAAGCTGGGCCTACTATGAGATTTTATTCGTCGTGAGACGTTGTGGTAGTACATATACAATCGAAAACGAAACTGCACTAAGCGAATATAGAAGCGAGACACATTACAAGTTGCGTACTAAAGAACAGAGAGAGAGATGAGACGCGAAAAAAACAGTCCGGAGTGTGGTGTATATGGTGATCTAACCGAGTAAATCAGTTATTGACCTCGCTACTTCGAACTGCGGTCCTCACCGAATGGGATGCCTCAATGCAAATGTGGCAAGTGACAGCGGCGGTGATACAAGTTGGAAGTGAGTTTGAACAGAGTGATATGAGCCGACCAATAGATATAAGAGCGCATTAGGGTTGTTGAAGCGGCAGCTACTTTGTCAGATAACCGAGAACTTGTTGATACTCCAGTCATTATTGGTGGTACAGTTTGAGAACATGTTCGCGCGAGAGTCCGAGGGGTATTTGGTGGGAAGTGAGGCGAAGAAATGATAGTGGGCATATCGCCTGTTAATTGAAGCCGTCGAAATGACCCTTCAGGATCCTCTCGCCCATGGGAGAAGGCGCGCGACGTGGACGTCCAGTGTCAATGCTCACCGTTGCTGAGCGCCTTGCCTTACGAGTAGTAAATGCAGGTAAAGTTGTCAAGGTAGGGGAGACTGCGGAGTTTGGTGGAGCAGTAGGGCTCGGGGGACTTCGAGAACGAGTATTATCCACGTTGGGGGGCTGAAGAATGGAGAAAGTTAATGGCGCATCACACGATACTTTTAGAGATATACCTTTGCAAGTGCACTTCCGAGTGATAGACGCCTTAACAACCCAGCTCCACGGTCGTGCTGGGCTTCAGGGGCAGGTGGGATGGGCGCAAACCGCCCAGTCGTGCCAGCGCGACGGGAATGAACAGTTGCTGGAAGTTCGTCGAGGGCGTCTTCTGTGGGGATAAATAAGAGTTAGTGAGAGTAAGAGGGCAAACGACTAAGGAACCGACCATCATAGGAAGGTTGACCGCCAAAGCCGCGGTAAGGCACAGAAGATGGAGATTTTGAGGTTGGGGACTGAGACAGGAACGAAAGGATAGGAGAACTGGATGGAGAAGCAACTGGAACGCGTGGAGAGTTTAGGCTCAACGGTGTCTGCACTTGCGGGGGTGAGCCAGGTAAAGTGGATGATTCCGAGGAAACGGACATCGAACGATGTCTCCAGTGATGTGTAGCCATCGGAATTGGTTGAGAATGCTTCACTGAATCGTCCTTGTCAATATTATCTCGATTCATGTTGATTTGGCTGGTATATATACGACTGAGTGAGTAGAAGAAAGGAGAGCAAGAGTTTACATTCTCAGATCAGTCATACGACCTTTATAATTGGCGATGGCAATCCCCGAATGTGTCATCCCACGTGGTCATCGCCTTACAATTTAGCCTGCCCGTAATTGGTCCTTGATCACATTCGATCATTTCTCCTTTCGCTACCCACTGTTGAACTCCTCTCTTGAGTCTACAGTCCATGATACAAGTCGATACTGCAAGATATCCGATGGTAATGAACTCGGCAATGAGATGAATATTTGTGGGGTATGTAGTTAATGCGGGGAAATGATCGATCACAACGAGATAATAATTTAATGCAACCGCAGACTCAGAATAAGACATCCACATGTCAGAACTCAATTCGCCTGATACCGACAGCTCATAGCGAGAACTTGCACTGAACATTCTCACAGAATTTTTGTTCTCTCCAACGAAATGTACACATCGTTGGAAAGACGGTAGCGGCCTCATGATAGCTTCAACCATTGTTCCGGAGCCAAATTGCAGAATCGGGTCATTTGTCCAACTGGGCGTAAATACTTGCCATACTGGTATCGCGTCTTTGAAATAGATCCGGAGAACTGCAGTTCATGCAAGACTGGGCTCACATACGCGTTGTCATATCTGTCACTTCTAGTGAGCAACGTTCTCAAGATTTTCTTTGTTCGAGAAACTTGGTTTCAAAGCACCCTCACACCGGTCAAAAATGACATGTCCGAGTGCATCCATCATGTACACGGTCGTTTGTCTAACCAACGTTTGTTCAAATGACGATATCATGACATGTATCTCTTATCCGTTATCTTTGCCTCATTGCATATGAACTTCGCAGCTAAAACTTTAATACAGAGGTGTAGAACTAACTGTGTAAGGCGTTTTACAACGCCCAACACACTATCCATATTTCAAATATCTGAGGTATTTCAGTACTGTACTCCATCATCATTCATTTCCTCCGAATTTGGAGCTTGCGATCAATCACCCTTTGTTAAAACGCTCACTACAACGGTTTAGCTCGATCATCCTACAAGCTGCGACCCTGTTCATATTCTTCATGCGGTATGCAGGGTTGCCATCCCACATGCGACTCCTTGTTTGTTCAAACTTTGTGGGCACGAGTATTTGGCAGTCGTCTTGTTGCAATGCCGTTAACTTCTCTGTCGACGTGTACTGACAAGACTCTAGAAACACTCGTTACTACCCTGGTAGAGGAATTCAGGGCGCCGTAGCCTAGGCTGCTCTACATCCTGAATTTAGAACTAGGTTTGCGGTATATATATATGCATCAATTGCCTATCCCAGGATTAACTCGATGCCGCGGAACAGGTGCAGAAGAACCACGTGCAAGTAAGTACCCTCTGCTACTACTGTCATATACGCCAACCGGGCCGCAGTCAGTTCACGATTATCAGAATATCGAAACCAGCGCCTCACTCAAAAAATGGTCAGCTGCCCGCCTGGTTGAGACTTGCGCCGCAACTTGGTGCGAGTCTACTTATCACGACTGCGCGTCGCTCTAGCCCTGCCATACTGAGCAACTGGGTGCCAAGTGATCGTGTAGACGCGCCAAGACAAGTCGGACAAACCATTAACGAGTTGTCTCGTGAGCAGCAAGACCCGGAGGCGGACGGCGTCTCCTTAGCGGATCACATCCTATCTGGAGTATGTCTTTGCTAGAAGCGTGTCATGCAGAGCAGCCAGTTCACTTGAAGTGCGTTAGCAGGAGTTGTATGTTCTTTTTGGACGTTCTTGGCCAAAGTGGAGATCAGGGGTAGCACCCTCTTATCCAAACAAGACATTAGAAGACTACATAAATTGCAGGGGGTTGCAAATTGCCACCAATTTCCGACCGTTGCTCTTATCTCCACTCCATTGACAAAAGCTTTATCAACAAAGCGACATGTGTGGTGGAGACCAAGCTCACGATATTCGTTACCGGACCGTCTTTGCCCCTACCGGTACGTGTCGTAAATATTTAGTGTAACGGCATTAGAACTTCAACTCTCCACAACAGAACCGTCTCATTGTACTCGGGGCCGCGGTGGTTTGGACTTGATGGTAACAAGCGGCGCCCGTATTTGGCCTTCAGATCCCCAGAACTGGCAACCACTCAAACGATGGTGCTCGGTAGCAAGGATAGAGGAATGCAACAAGGAAGGCGTGGACCAACCAACTGAGCGGTTTTAGTGCTAGAAGTATCGTTGCTTTCTCAAGTTCTCGGCCCCTGGATGGCGCTTTGTCATCGGCTCCGAAATGACCGTGACTATCCTTCTGTCTCCCTTATCTCAAACCTATTCGCTCGATGGAGGAACCGCAAATCAACAGCAATGGCACTGACAACGGGGACATTGACCTTTCGCACCACCTATCAGATGAGGCTAGGAATCGAGTTGCCAACCCGCTGAAAGATATCATACGGGTGATCAGCGAATGCCCAGTCATTGATCTAATCAGTATGGCAAACGGTAATCTCGCTGTCATACATAGTGGTGAAATATAGCCAAACGAATGCCTTCAGGTGATCCTCATCATTCGCTCTATCCTTTTCGGCAAATTATGTACGAAGTGCCATCTGTACAGGACGCACCTGATCCAGTCACCTCATGGCGGAACAACTCCGGGCTCGCGCAGATCATACGTTCCTACAAAGATAAGGAGTGCGCACTATCTATTCGCGATGCCTTCCCGTATTCCCGGGCTGCTGGACTTCAACAGTGCATAGATGTACTCACTGACTTCACGAAGCTGATGTTCGCTCCGCCGAATCATCATGTGATGTTGACATTGGGGAACTCTGATGGTATCACGAAGGTTTTTCGCCTATTCGGGGAGAAGGGAGATCATTTCTTGACTGATGAGTTTTCTTTTCCCAGTCAGTGAGAGTAGGCTATTCGATATTTTCTCTGGGTTAATTTCGTTGTGCTATAGGTATGACAAACTCTCCTCTCGCATACGGCGTCAAGTGGGTTGGTGTTAAGATGGATCCTGGTGGCATCATTCCTGAGGAGCTGGAAAGAATCCTCGCCAAATGGGACGAGGTGAAATCAGGGCGACGACCTCGCGTTCTCTATATTGTCCCGTAAGCTTCCAAACTTCAATCTGATTGCGCATCACATAGTTGGATGTATCATCAGGGTTGGCCAGAACCCTACTGGATCAACGTTGACCGTGGATCGTCGCAAGAAGATCTATGCCATTGCACAAAGATGGGATTTAATTATCATGGAAGACGGTAAGTCGACTCAGCGGTATCATCGCACGTCGTCTGACTCGGAATATTCTTCTCGCAGATCCTTACTATTTCCTGCAATATGATATCCCTCAAACAAACTGCGCGTCAACAGATCCTGATGAATTTATTAAGAATTTTCGAAGCACCTTGATACCTACATTCTTGTCAATGGATGTTGACGGCCGTGTGCTTCGTATCGATACGTCAGTACGCCCGTTAATTGAGCTTATAAGCTACCTTTTTGATCGTCGTATCCACTTGTTTACAGGTTCAGCAAAGTGCTTGCCCCAGGAATGCGATTGGGTTGGATCACAAGCAATAAACTTTTCCACCAAAAGTTGGCAGATTATACCGATTCATCGACCCAGCCGCCACACGCCTTCGGGCAGATGTTCGTCACCGAGATGCTTAGCGAACATGGCTGGAAAGTCGAAGGTTTCTGTCGCTGGTTGAAAAGCTTACGCATGGACTACCAAAGCCGCCGTGATTTCCTCCTCGACGTTTTTTCGGCGCGAAGTAGAATCCACCGGTTATGCCAGTATAAATCGTCCCGAAGCAGGGATGTTTGTGTGGATAGAAGTTTTTTTCGAAAGACATCCTCGTTTCGTTCGCGAACAGTATTCTGGTGGCTCGCCTGTTGTTGCACGGACTAATACGGAACAGCTCCTGAAGGAGCTTTTTGAGAGGTTGATGAATACACAGGGCGTTGTATTCATACCGTCTTCTACGTTCGCTATTCCAGAAAATCCCTTATGGGTGGAAAGCGACGGGCATGTGCCATTGAGCGATGTGAGTGTTAGCTGAATCATGGATTCAGTAGTACTTTGTTTGACTCCGCGACAGCGCAACAGGTTTCTACGCGCAACGTTCGCTGGTACTGAGGATATCATCGAGAAGGGCATGATACGCCTTGGTAACGGTTTGCGAGAATTCTTTCAAGATTAGCAGTTGCTTCAAGTATGGCTATGTGTAAACAAGAACATTACAAGTACATGGATGTATGAAAAATCGTGATGGAAGAGTGATTCGTGATCACAAAGGTATAGGATCTTCGAGTGTCAACGTCTTGTCAGTGACACGCTTCATGAATTCATCCGCCCTATCCAAATTCTCTTGTATTTTCTGATCTCTGCCACTCAATGCCAGCTCAGAAATCGCCCATATTTTCTGCATCTTAGGCATAGTTTCCCGTAAACCGAAAGCCACCATCAGGAAGTTGTCAACAGGGGCACCGGCACTTCGCAGGCAATCCAGCGTGCAATTGAAGTACCCTGGAAAATGGTTATGAAATGTGTGCATCTTGCAAAGGAACACTCACATGCACGTGATTCGTCATCCTCGGCGTATTTGCTGGATGCCCTCGTGTACTCCCCTGCCGCTTTCACAAAGCTAAACATCCTTTCCACAGGATCACTGGAGTATCGGGCCGATTGCACGTGATAGAATCCGAGCAGCCTGCCAAGGCAATGATAAGCAGAGGAACGGAAATGTAGAGAGGTAGAGGGCATACGCATGAGCAAGTCCACGGGGGTAAACGATAAACGATGATATGAAGCCGGGATCAACCGGCTCACTGTTATCGCGTGTCTGTACGGCTATGTCGGTCTCTTTGATAAGGTCCTCAGCTTCTTCCTTCAGCTGTTCAAGAGGGAACTTGGAGTTCAAACCAGGGTCGTCTGTGTAAGCCTGCCATGCGGTTTAATTCGCGTCCAAGAAATATAACGAGTCACGACCCACGTTCATGAACATCTTGAGGTACAAACTACGGACACCTATCAAGAACGAATGCTCGAAAACCACTCCCCTGTCGGACTTGGGAACATCCTTCCAAATGGTTCTTCCCCATTCGACCAAGTCGAGAGCTCGTCTGTAATACTCGACACCAGCTTGGGGTTGTTGTCTTAAACCGCCGTCGAGTGCAGCTCTCATTATCCATCCACTGCAGTGAATGATCAACAAGTCTTAAAAGACAGAATTGGTCATTGCGTACCGAACAGTCACGGCCAATGCGGGGCGTACATCATCCCAGCCATTCTCCTTCAAGCGTTTCTGCTGCAAGTTCCTTGACGGTCTCGAGTCCTTCAGAATCCCAAGCCTTGCGAGCCGTAACTTCGAAAAAGACTGTACCTTGGTCAGCATAATTTCAATAAGCGATGCTAGAATAAGATCACCTTGTTGATTATACATATCAATCCACTTAGGTTGATTGATATGAAAGACGCGATCGTCACGCATGAAACCATTGCTCAAGAGCGTCAACCCCTGCGCCGTGTAAACATCAAAATGTAACATGTGCGTAAAACAACACCTCTAGGTTTCCGTGGTGCACAAAGCCATCTGGCGTTCCAGGCTGAGGAGTTATTTTCATCCCCTTCATCATTTCTACTCCCTCGTTGAATTCCTAGTAAACACTTCACTGTTAGCATACCGCTACCTATTGAAAATTCGCAAAGATCACCTCATATGCAAGTGCGATGACCCAAGCCTGCACACACCAACAACACGAGTCAGTGAGAGCACGCAAGACTACGACTCAAGCTCACACTGCTAGACGCTTTTTCCTGACCCGCTCTCCGGAGCTCAGGAAGCATATCCGTCGCAACCTGCCAAGGAAACTTGCCCAGTTTTTCATTTATTGAAAAAGGGACGATAGGCTGATTTGAACGCGCATTCGCTGCTTTCAGACAAGCAGTATACTGGTCTTTCTGTTGTCGCTCTGCAGGGCTGAGCTTAGTTTTAGGCAGTGCATCCAGTGCTTTCTGCCAAGCATGGGCGCTTCTCCCCCAGTCTGCAAGCGCCTATGTCACATACGGCAGGTGAGCTCAGCCTAATCGGCAGAACGAAGGAACTTACGTCTCTCGATGCTGCCAGTCGTGACCACCCTTTTGCATAGCTCGGATCAATCTCTGTAGCCTAACATAAGCATTAGCAGAGAAGCCCACGCAGGACTAATATGGACTGTAGTAGCTTACCCTGTGCGCATCATCTACAGCATCCAGATATCTATTTATAGAATCGAAGTCAGTACCCGACGACAGCTTAAAATAAATACACAAAGTCACTTGTTCAGAGCATGATTACAAGCAGCGCGATTCGCATACAGAACAGCGTTCTTATCGTCCAAAGCGATAGCTTCGGTGTACTTTATTATCGCCCCGACGTAGTCTTGCTTCTTGAATAGCTCGTTACCCTCGTCCTTGAGCTGTGCTGCTGTTGGTTCGGACATGATTGAAAACCAGGAAGGAAGCTTCAACGTTGCAACCTTCGAGCACTTAATGTGTGGCGTCGCTGTTGATGCAGATCAAATGATGAAAACGCTAGAAGGACGGAAGGTGATGGAAGCTAACGCTACTGACAGCCTGAGATTTGGGCAGACTTTGAGGCGGGGGCAGTTGGTCTACACGAGGCCAGAGCGTCTGATCTGGTGCATTTGTTACGTGTCGGGAAGAGTCCGGAAGACCAACTCGGCTTGGCATATTACAGTACTGCGCGCCATAATACGTGATGCATAGACAAGTCGAGTAGCGTACTCGTTATGCGGCGCTCTCGCTCAAGCTGTATATGTTCCAACGTTGCAATAATAACATATCTCGACATCTCAAACGTAGTAGTAGTCAGGAGTCTCATCCATTTAGTCATTGAAGGTGTATTCAAGTCATTCAAAACGTAATCGATTACTAGTATAAACTACGAATAAGTATCAAAGGAGAGGATGCAAGTAGGTAGTAACACATGGGTTGTACTTACCACTAACCCAAGGAATTAACGGACCACCGAAATGTAATGAGCGGGGACGATCGCAAAAGTGGTTCGATCGATGATGAGTTTAAAAATACATGCGAAAAGTATGCAACGAGCGTGGATGGATGAATAGGCGCCATGTCTATAGGCCTTTAATAGCATTGAATGAATGTGAGCGGTGACGCGTGCGAGTATTCGAAAAAGAAGTGCGAAGATTTATGCGTGACCCGTAAAAGAATGGAGGACGTTTGGGAGATATTGTTCAACAATATCCATGGGAGTATCAACCCTTGAATCCGAAGATCCGCGTGATCAATCCAAGAATGCAAGCTCACTCAGTCGGCGACTCTCCGCATCTCGAATACCCTTGGTCTCGAGCAGTATGCTTCCGCGGTTATGCATCGTTGGCATAATAGATACCCGTGGAGAGGAATATTGACTGGAAGTACTGGATAGATCCGCACTAGACCCTGAATGTCTTGTGCTCCCGGTCACTGAGCGCCGCAAATTGGTGAGCGAGTTGGTGCCAAATTTGGACAAATGTATTCCGACTGATGAACGTCTGCGAGCATTTGAATCCATCGTACGCCGCCGGGATGGAGAAGCCGGAAATGGAGAATATGAGTTCTCCTTGTCCGGTATGACCGGAGGGGATGTGTGCGGCTGAGATGGTGATCCTGGAGGTGCAAGATAGGTAGAGAAGTTACAAGAAATCGGGCTTTCGACAAGACCAGCGTGACCTGGGGCAAAAGAATCCTCCACTGGGGTGGATATAATTATGGGCGGCTGGACATGGTGCGGTGGCGGTGGCGGTGGTGTTGGAGGCACATGCTCTGCAGGCTCTTCCTCTAGTACTTCTAAGGGTGAAGATGGGGAAAGGGGCGGGACGCTACTGGAAGTCGAGGACCTTGTTCTAAATGGCGTCTCGGCAATAAGGTCCGCGCCAGTGCAATCGGAATCACATGCTGAGGACTGGGGTAGTGATGAAGATGCCGAATATGACAATGAGGATGCCCCTAATGCCAGCGCACTAAGGCTGGGCAGCTGTCTTGGGAAGATAGAATCCGGGGCACGCGTTTCAGAGGGACGATTTATGGACAACCATTCTTCTTTAATCTTTGCTGCCGCACTGAAGCCATTCTGGTCTTTGTCAGGGGCAGGCATGGAAGCTAGGCGCTCATCAGCCTCACGCTCCTGTTGGCTGAGATCTTTCTTGGGCGGGAGTAAACCACGCTCACGCAGCGCAGCCTCACGATTCTCACGGGAGACGAATGAATTAGGAAGTGTGGGAGAACGAGCAAGAGTGGCACGAGGTGATCGAGGAAGTCGTGAAGAGCGTTTTACATTAGCTGGGGTATGTGTTGGACATGGGGGGTGACGACTCAAGTTGTGAAGATGGGGGAGTTACAGGGACGGTGATGTGTAACCTAGACGTTACGCGACGAATCAACGAGGGTTTCATGTTAGGTTGTGATTTCGTCGTTCGTGGTGATGATTTATGAATATTGGTATTTGACCTGGAAAAGAAAGGTCAATAAGATGGTAGATGAACCCTCGGAACATAATCCGAGATGAAAAGCGAATAACAGAGAAGAGAAGTTAGAGTTCCAAGAACATCCGTTACGGGGACCACCTCCGCACAAGTGCCATGAAAAGAGATGCCCGAAACTCACCTTAGGAGAGGGACAAGCTTCTCGGTTTCCTTCGCTGGTTTCTCGAGAAAATGATCACTGGACTTTTCGTGCACGACTTCATCGTGAAAGAGTTTGGCGGTGCTCCCTGTAGGTATTCGGGGCAGTGGCTTTTGAACATCTCGGGGTCGGTCTGGGGGTGGGCGGGTGTTCTTTGAAGGGCTAATGTGGAAGCTAATACGACGCTTGACACCTTCGGGGTCACTGCGGTCCTCACTGGGAGGTAGAAGTGGTTTGGCAGTAGACTTCGACCACCAGCGGAAGCGAAAAGCGTCGAAGCTGATGACGGAAGGCATGGTTTTGGTCTCGCCGTCGTGTTGAACGATGAGCTATAACCGGGTGTGGGGAAAGGCGAACAAGTTAGATGCCAGCCCTTTTAAGTGAAACCGGAATAACACTTACACGGTATATGGAGTTGTGGGGAGGAGGAGCTGCGTGACCCGAGTTTGACTGAAATTCAACTGTAACCGAGGTTTAACGGAACGTCACAAGGTTAAGGGGTGGAACATACATAAACATATTCGGAATTCTTACCTAGCGGGTTTGCGAAATACTTGTTCGGTTGAAAGGCGACAATCGCACACCTAATAGCATGTTTCCCTGCAACTGTTAATATTTTGTTTCTTACATGATTCCCGCAACAAAAAGGACTTCTACGGGGGGTATGAATGGCATGATCCGATAAAATTTTTGATGGTGAAGACAGGCCATATATGCATGACGTTTGGGGGTCAACCTCACGTGTAAGCGCCCATATGTAAAGCTTTATTTTTTAAAAATTCCGATCTGAGCTGTTAGAGCGGCACATTGCATCTCCTCCTACTTTGTGCATAATCTCGCATTTATTTCGCCTCAAAAATGTTTCAATCGAATGAATGAAATTCTAGCCATAAATTGCCAATTTATTATGTACAATTTACTTTATATTTTAACTCAAGGTAAAAATTGAGCATCGGCGAGAAGCAGCCCTATAGTATCATGGACCGCTGCAAGGCCGCTGAGAACCCTAACAAACAAGCTCCAGATCAAAGGAGTCGAACCCCGTAGCTTCCATCATTGATCATCACTGTCTACGTGCTTCGGTAACCACGTTCTAAAAAGTTCACCGTTGAACGAGGTGGGGCGCGAGGCTTTGCGGTGGCTTTGGATGCTTTTACCATGTGTCCGACGTTCAGCAATACTGTCGTGATTGGCCAGTTATTACTTATTCGCCAAATTTGTCGCTTATCGTCAACTGACGGCGTGAACTCATACCGTGGAGCACCGTGGAACTGAAATTTATTACCCTGTACTCCTTGTATTGCCCGTTTCCCAACTATTAGGCAGACTTACTAGGCAGACCTGTTTTCCCTAACGAATTCTCAGTGCTCCACCGCAATGTTTAACTCCTTTTGCTTGTTGAGTACGGTGTACCCAAATGACGGGTTACCTCGGCGTTTTGCGTTTGACCCTGCTTCATTGAGTTGTTCCCCAGTTGCTAAGGCCTCAAGCGTCGTGCACTCATGGTACAGAAGCGGACGATCATTAATGTCCCTCAAGTTGCTTCCGGGTCACGGTGCCTGAAGTAGGAAAGACTTTTGGTGTCCTAGACAAGTATAACATGAAGAGCGCTAAGTTCGATGTCAATAGTAGATGAGATACTGGACATGATTCGCAGATCTCCAGCAGGCCTGTGAAGTCCAAGTGAGTGAAAGTCTTGTTGCCTGGTGCCTCCTGACACTCGTGGTATCGCAGTGCGAGAATGAAAATGTGAATTGATCGGGGAACTATGCTCAACTGTATTCACGCAGATAGGTCTCTTTACTCCGGTAGTCTAATTCAATAGGACCAGATCGCACAGATTTGATTGCCTGGGTATCACACCGCGCATTTGGCAGTTGGAATCGCGGCTCCGTCTGGCCATGTAGGCGAAATCGATACCGACCGGTAATAGTAAAAAGCGAACAAGTCAACATATCTCAGAGAGCAGCATCGTTGCAAAAGGAAGATTGAGAGACGGGCTCAGAAGCTGCTGCGCCATTTGAATATCCAATCTCCGTTCAAGGCCATGTTTGCTTGCAGGCACTTCATATCCGCGCAGTCATGGGAAATTCTAGCGCGAAGGAAGATAGATTCTCAGTTGAAGATTGAAGGATAACCTGGGCCACCAGCTGCTTGGTGATACGATGTAGGACCACTCTCGCTAAAAAAGGTAAATGGAGAACTTGGACCGTTGTCTTCGCGATGGATATCTTTGAGCTAAAGCGCCTTTTCTTTATATCCACTATATTGTAAATTGCTTTCTATGGCGAAGAGCATTTTCGAAGCCGAAGACCGGAGAAGCTCTAGTGTGGAAAATAGGTTTGGGCGCTTTACCCTCTCTTTCGTGCAGCATGCATGTGTCCACACTGCAACTCAGTGTAGACGTGGCAAGCCCCGATGTCCTTATCAAAATGAAGGTGTGTGTTTGCCTAGTGGCGATCTAGTAAATTGAATGTTTATGAACGTCGCAGTATGCTTACGGTATGTCTCGTCATGTTATCGCATGCCTGCATAGTGACCCTAAACCTGTCATGCAGTGGCTTTAGTGACGCTGTGGGTAGGTAATGCGGCCAAACTACTCCTTCTCCAGCTAAACTTTCCGAGGCTTATGACTACGTCATCACATTGGATGAAGAGGTGCGAGCTCCTCCGGTCTTGAGGCAATAGTGCCAGGCGATAACACTATCATCGTCTCGTTTCATTAGCTGCCATTTATTACCACCTCGACCTGGAGAATTGCCAAATATCTCTATCTCGTGTGTCGATATGTGCCTTTCCTTTATCTATCGGTAGTTTCAAGCCGTGAGTCTGTCTGAGCTGGTTTCTGTCTTGACATGCCCCATTTATCAATCTCATCCAGGGTCATTGGCGGGCTATCCATCGCTCAGCGTAAGTTCCGTATGGGCGCGCACCGGATGTCCCATTTAACGTCTCTCGCGTAGATGTGTCAAACGTTATACTCCGTGAATTCATGTCAGTGACCGAGTTTGGTTGTTGACCCTAGTTATCTGACCCGAGTCACGTTCCGCAGATGTCGGTATCCTGATCATCGTTTCAGCAGAAAGTATGCCTTATCTCCGTCATGTATAACAGACAAGACTGAGCATGTGTTTCAAGGCATATTTTTCGTACGCACATATGCCATTTGGGAGCGTTCCAAACGGGTATTATGGGCGTTCGTTGCCACTGTCATTGTAAGATTTGTCATGTCGCTGTCTCCGCGCTTTTCGTATCGGCTAATCGTGTCAGTTTATCGTCACGCCCGTAGTTGGCATTCTTGTGAAATATAATTCCTCGACAACCGGTAAGCGCTCCTCCCGATATTCCGTAAATTATACTGTGAATATTCACGCTTATTTAGTCACCAATTGGATCGCCACCGGGGTGCCGGGCTGTTCGAAGACGGGTGAAACTTCTGCTGTACTTTATGTGTATGTCCTCATGGTCATCGCCGAGTTAGGTGAGAGCCATGCGATATCGTTCCAATACTATCTAACCGATCGCAGAAATATTGTGCTTGACATTGTATCGAGCCATTGCTAAATACCGACGCGAACGGCGTGCCAACGTGCTCAGGGTCCTTGTACAGCATAACGTATTCTACTTCATCGGTGGGGTTGGTAGGTTTTTTAATCTTTTCTCTCAGGCATGAAGAGTAATGCGTTCGTAGGATCGTCTATTGTGCTCATCATTGCGATTGCGATATTCCCTGTCAGTACCTGATTTCAGAAGTTCACTCAAGTATTACTGATTTCATCCGCGTACAGCCATCATACTCTGATGTAGTGTCCAGGTCGGTGTTGAATTTTGTTCACGATTTACCGCGCTGATCGCCTGGGAAGCATGCAAATTACCGTCCATGCCGCGTTGGTCACGAGAATGCACCGAACACTATGGAGATACAATGAACACTATGCTCATTCAGATGAATTTACCCTGACCACATTCAGTGCTCCTCCACCATTACGGACTGTGCAAAGTGCAGTTGGTTATGTGAGTAATGCTGCGACTTCATGATTCATCCAGCTTGACAAGCAATTTAGTACATGGAGGAACCTTTTGGGAGATAAAGATCGGGATCAACCCCTATGAACAACATACGACCATTCCGACGTCAATGCATGATGATACTACCCTCTTTTCCGAATGGAGGTACAATGCCGTGTTTTTTCTTGACAAGGCCTCTCGCTTAGACATGGGAGCGTGCACGGCAGTGATCTTCGATTATCTCCAGCATTAGATTTGCTGTTTTAGTTAGAGCTCCATAGACCGCAAACCATCGGACGTGGACTCAGTTAACGTCAGATGATTTGATCTACATAGCCATTTCATTGTGTTCATCTTTCGGGTTTGTGGAGAGGATACGATGTAATGGATGGAAATCAAAGGTCATAACCGCGGAAATGGCTGCGCATATGGAAGTCTCAATGGGAGGATTTCCTGGCCTGATGAGGATCTTGTTAGTATGATTGCAGTGTCGGTACGCGTTCCGCTGACGCGCCATACGCTTCGGATAACTCATTAAGAGCTGATATGGTGGAAATGCCATCTGAGATAAAGTCGCAACAGGGTCCCAAACGCCGTCATATTCCTGGTCTAGGTAGAGCCCAAGATTTGGGGCTGCGCCTCTCAAGCACGGAAATAGGTATTCAACGTAATTGGTGGTGCGGGTGATGGTGTAAGAGCATACTGACTGACATACACCATTAGCATATTCTCGCGAGGAAATTCATGGTATTTGGTCAAGGCGATGAAAGGATACTCTCCGATGGTTTGCCTAATACACACGTATGGCAGGCGATATATCGTGATATAATAAAAGGACTTATGAACTGATTGCTCGTCAATGAAATGCATAGCAGCAATGAAGTAAACTTACCTATCTATGATTCTAGCCCAACCATCAATTACTCTACTCGTCCTCATAGCCTTGTACAGGCTTTCTCGGCCGTTTCGGTACTGAAGGGAAGAGTCGCATTTAGAACCACACGATGCGAACCAAAACAGTAGGGCCAACGACGTACCAGGATACGTAGTAGGTATAGGCTCCGCGGGAGTATATCCGAGCCAGTTCCTCCTGACTACGGGCACAGTCAGAGCAAGAACTGGACCCGCGAGCCCGATGGCGCAAGAGTAAAAGATGACTGGTTGTTCATGTGCGAGGTGTTGCTGGGGAGAGTTGGCCAAGGATATTAACGCTTCATGTCAAATAATACGTACCAAATGCCTGTAGCCCCTTCGGAAAGGAGACAAAATGGACGCCATGAGATTAGAACAATGCGGATACCAGATTTGTGGGCCTACTAGCACTTCGAGGTTCGGGAAAGGTTATATTTGTTTGCACTTATTGTGTAAAGGCTTTAGAAATAAATATGGATAAACAACCGTCCGTCCAGGTTGATAGTTCTCATGGCAATCAGGGAAATGTATTTGCAACTCACATCAAGATTATTGATCCCAGAGTTTGAATTTCTGGTCATAACTGATTCAACGCCACTGTTCACCGACTGACGAGTACTAGCTTGCTTATGTGGGAGTCACGGGCGAATATTTCAATCGTTCCACCCCAAATGACTAATAGACCTTGCCTCGCGGGGTAGATTTAGGTGGACATCACCTGGAATTGCAGATATAACATGTCCGAAAGGGGATTTCGGCGGATAGGTTACCGCCATGAAGAACGATATTCAGCCAGAGCATATAAAATAATAAAAGCCATTTGCCACAAGATGTAGCTTCCTACTGTCACTTTCAGATTTATTTGATCCCATATCACATCATCACAAACGATGCAATTCCCCTTTGTCTTCGATGGTGTTGCTACTTTGACAACATCAATATCGCTGACAGTGGAGTTTGCTCTCTCTTTTGCGTACGTGAATCAAATTGCGAACATTGCCCTGAAGGAAATTGCGTGAGTAAGAGTAGTTTGCGTCCTGGACTTAACCACATAACTCACCGGTATGGCAGGTCATCTTTATATGCTTCTGGTGTGACAGTGGGTCGTGTTTCTGCTTTCACGTCGGTGCGGTGTCTGAGATTCTTTTGCTGCCGCTCGAGCAATTAGGATCTTGGAATAGAGGACTCGCTTTTGAATGCTGCGTTTGTTACTTGCTAGCGCTGCTGGTCTGCGATCCATATTGCTTGGAATGGAGGACTCGCCTTTGAATACTGTGATTTGTTACTTAAGCGCTCAGCTGGTCCGCAAACCTTATTGTAAGCTTTGGCACAAATGTGCGTATCTTATACGCGAATGTATATTGGTCATACTAGACTCGGGCACGTTTTTCCCGCTACCTTGTGTAGTGGGTCTTGTAGCGTTAAATTTCCTGCGAGCGGTGGCAAAGTGCGACGGAGGACGTAGGCGATGAAGTGAGGTACCTTAGATCTGCCAGCAGTGAGAAACGGCTTCTGTCGGCTCTGGAGGACGAGGAGCCCAGCGAATTGTTCGGGTTACGAAACCAGTGATTCAGGCGAGTGATATTAATCCTGAGTGAGCATGGCCCCTGAATACAGGCGGGAATGCAAGATTTCAGGTACAGTGGATTATCAGTCGCACATTTTGCGGAACTCGCGACTTGCCGACGTCATCCCGTCAGGCCTGCACGAGAAGCATAGGACATGCTGCGTGAAAATTCAAAATGCCAACCATGAAAGCTTTAACCTTCTGATGGACCATTTTCTGCAGCTTTGTAGACGATGATGCCGCGGAAAGTGATTGTGGACCATCGAGAGTCTCCACCAGAGATCCAGTCAAAAATCTTTCTTATGCCGAGCGTTTGGGGCTCTTCCGTGATGACGGATGGTATAGCGGGAAGTGACTCCCTCTTCAGTTGCCTTGAGGACTGGGGTTTCCCCCTTCGAAGGTGTTGCCAATATAAACGATAAGTTGTATATTAATTGGGCTTCTGCTCATCAGCAACTCGCACTTCATGCTGCGCATTGGGATTCTTGATTGCACGGCCATTATTGTCATTTGGAACGCTCTACTCACCTTCCTTCAGCATAGCTTGGCCGAATTTGGCTAGGAGACCCTGAATCTTGCGATTTGTACATGCTGATGAGTTGATTCGCAAGAGTCCGTGGCACTTTGGAAGTTTGGATTACTCTTATCCCATCCCGCTAGGCTGGCGTCAAGAATCTTCTCTCAGTGATCGATGCCCGCGAGGATTGCTTTCTAATTCCATAATTGATGATCCTTCTGCCATGGAGTAAGCCATTCAGGTACTGACAGGCTACAGCACGAGAGTAAGGAAGTCTATTGATGAGGACCTGTTGGCGCAGCTGGAAAATTGCAGCGGATCAAAAAGAAGATAAAAGTTATTAGAAAGTGCCTGGTACAGGGGGAATAAGGTTCACGGATTCCGGACTGGCAGTTCTATAAGCTTGTCAGGAGCCCGGGATGATGATCAAGGAACAAGGCACTGCGTGACAATATTGATATTGCACGTGAACTCCGAGCGGAATGGATTATGAGGTACCTTGAGCGTGAGCACTGCTGCTACACCCACAAGGAAATACGGCATACACTTGTTCAGCGTCGTATATAGCTTGAATTTGGAATTTGTTCTGCTCGCTAATCGTTCAAAGAATTAGACGTGTTACGGAATCAGTAACAGCTCACATTTTCAGAGATATTGGGTACTCAGTGCGAGGCAGGAGATATATTCATTCTGCTCCCTATGGTCGAGCCTAACGCTGATTTTCAAACATTCACGTTAAACCAGGCGGGCAACATGATCTGGCAGGTGGGGATGACCGTCGCAGCACTGCATATCGAGCATGATGCTAAAAACGTGCGTGAGCCAGGTTGGAAAATCATAGACGTGACACTACAGGATGCGATATTAATGTCATTGAAGGAAGCCTCTTCACGGAGCCCGTTCATCATCTAGCGCATGATGGCAGGAGTTTGAGTGAACCCTGCCATGCGTCACGGTCATGGCGGTACTTTTTGCCGGCTGACTTGGTGGTTTCTGGGGTCCTATCACTTACTAGCCTGCCTGATCGATCAATCATCGACTCTCGAGTCTTGCGACTTTCAAAATGGGTCGAGCACGCGCGAAAACCAAGAAGTCTGTACCCATTGTGACAAACTCTTCACAATCATCGTCAAGCTCAGCAACTCCAGCCATTTCTGCTCTCCTTGACAAGGCTCAGGAGCTCATCGTACAGTGCGACTTTCCTTTGGCACGCAAGTTCATCGAACGTGCTCTTGTGAGGGGAGATGGGTCAGTGACCGAAAAAAAATCAAGCGAGGGAGATGATGGGTGTCGTGCTCCTCGAAACCGGGGAAGTGGACAAAGCAAGAGAGGCAAGTGGAAATTGTCTCTTGTGATTTGGGTTATGCACCTAATCATCTACTTGCCCTTAGTTGTTTTTAACATTGCTCCCACCACATCCAACAGCTGCTACACACCACCACCACCTTCAGCGCATCTTTATCTTGCACAACTCTCCGCGGATCCATACACTGCTTTGAAACACTACCAGGCAGCCGTCGACATCCTCCAGACACAACTTAAGGGTAAGGCACCTTCGCCCACCCAGGGAGATGAACAGGACGAAGGAGAGGATGAGGTGAGAAGTAATATTGTGAGGGCTTACGTTGGGATGGTCGAGGTATGGATGGACCCCGAGTATGATCTTTGGTGCGCCCTCAATTTACCAATCGGAAAGCCTTTGTTTGACGTATTTTGGACAAAAGCTTTGATCCTGCTGCATCGTCAACATGCGATTCCCTTCTGGCAGATGCTCTACAGATCGATCCACATAATCTTGAGGCTCTGCAATGTCTTGCCAGCGTCCGCCTCAGTCAAGAAAAAACGGAGGAGGCACTAGCTGCACTTCTCACTTTCCCACCTTCCTCTCCAGATGCGCCTCCTGCGCGCAATCAAGCCTTGGTTGCAGCACTTCCTCTTTCCGTGCGGCTTGCGCGCGCCAAGCTACTCCTGGAGTGTGGCGCTTACCATGTTGCTCTTGATGTTTTGGAAAATGTTCTTGCATCCGATGATTCCTCAGTAGAAGGCTGGTACCTTATGGGGTGGGGGTGGTGGCTGGTGGCCGAACGCCAGAAAGAGGGAGGTAAAGTAGAAGGAAGTGAAGGGCTGACCTGGGAGGATATGGCCAGAGACTCGAGGGACTGCTTAGAAACTTGCCAAATGGTAAGTCTGCCTCGTTTCTACGCATCTCGCAAATCCCGCTGTAATTTCCGCACAACCTCCTTTCATCCATTGCGGGTCAATATCTCAATACTGACTTTTTTTGGTTCAGTTGCACGAGTCACAGTCAGATCCAGACACATCCTATATTAGAACATGTTCAAGAACTTCTTGGAACCCTTAATGCACTAGGTATCATGTCCTCCCCAGTCCAAGATGATGAAGAGGGCGACGGCGATGGTTGGGAGGATGCCAGCGATGATGAAGACGTTGAAATGTCATAACACGATGACACAAATTGTGGCTCGTGTTCTACCCCAAAATTGTATCATATCAGTTTACCTGGCGCAAATACTCCAGTGTTCTTGCCATGAGGAACACATCTTGTCGACCATTTGCCTTCACTGGATTGAGCGGATGGTTTTAACAGCCACTCAGGTAGCCATCACGATCTGTTCAGTCCCACTAATGTGTGCCTCGTGAGTTCTTTTAGCATTCTCTGAACAGCTAGCAGTGCCAGTGATTTGCGAAACGTAAGAAATTGAATCCACTGCCAATGTAGAATGTGCCCACCGTCGCTACAGATAAACTATCCCTGCCAATGAACGGTCCTCTTTGCGGGCCTCGGGCCGCGCCTATTGCTGGTGAGTCACAACTATTATCACAATCAGAAACTACGTCTTGCTCATCCTGCGAAAAGCCCATCATATATGGCACGCAAATGCGGCAAATTCATCGAATATGTTCTTGCAATGGATGATGAGTTGTTGAGCGGAAAAAAATCATGCGAGGGAACAGCTTACTCTCACCACATCCAAATGCTCCTACGCCCCCACCACCTTCAGTGCATCTTAAGTTATGCGCCAATCCTTATACTGCTTCGCAACACTACCAGGCAGCTGTCGACATTCTTCAGACACAACTCAACTACCAAGGTTGCCATGGACAAGATGAGGGAGAATATTGTGAGGGCTTACATCGGCATGGTCGAGTATGGATGGACCCCTGATGCGTTTCAATTTACTCATGGTAAAACTTTCGTGAAAGAGTCGGCAGCTTTGTTCGCGCTGCCTGGCGATGTCTCCGAATATATCAGTGTGCCAATTGGAGTCTGTCAATGCATGTTAGCCAAGTGGTTACTACAACAGAATCAAAATCTGTTTCTCTTCGATTGCGCAGGTTCGGAACCTTGCTGACGATAAGGCTTTCTTTCGATCGGAACACGACATTGACTCATGGATGGTTTCCTCGGAGGCTCATCTCAACTGATCTTAACCAAGTGGTTGTCGTAACAGAATCAAAATCTGTTTCTCTTGGCCTGCTCAGGTGCGAAAACTGCCGACGATAAGGTTTTTTGTCTATCGGAACACGCCTTGACATCCATTGATGAATGTATCTTCAGAGGTTTTTCCTGGTCTTAGCCAAGTGGTTACCACAACAGAATCAAAATCTGTTTCTCTTGAATTGCACAGGTTTGAACTTTGAAACTTGCAGGCGACAAGGTCTTTTTGTCGGAACACACCTTGACATTGACTCATGGATATTTTCCTCAAATTTCTATCAAATTGGTCTCAGCTAAGTGGTTACCGTAACAGAGTCAGGATCTGTTTCTCTTGGAGTTGGTTTGAAACCTGCTAACAACATTTTTGCCGTGTATAGATACGAGGAGGTTCATCTTCGCTATCCCGAGATACTGATTCAAAAGACTCGAAGCGCCCGCTGCACCGCCCGTCACATGTCATATCACGGTGGTCAGGGGCTAGGTTGATTGATCTAAGAGCGGCGCTCAACTTCATTAGTTTGATCATTAGTACTATATTCAGTTTAGCAAGGCCATCAATCATAGTTTCTCGATATTTGCTAGTTACTACCGGGCGGCGATTCAAATTCTTGACTTTTAAAATGGTGCGTCTTCCTAAAATATTGGTTAGGTTTGATGCATCGATGACTGTCAACTCTTGCACAGCAGCAACTAGTGTGGGTGACTGCACTGGACGTAGCAATCACCTGTTTGATATCCATCTAATAGTACTGGTCACAGTAATGTCATCATGGCCTTTGCCGTGCCAGATTAATGTACAACTCGGAATGTGAGTTCAGCGTATTAATTCACACATGGTGTATAATAGCTCATCCATTTCTGATTAATAAAATGTCTAAAGTTTCCAAGCTTGTGACATCATCCGACGGTTGCGAAATCTTTGCTGAAGACGTCGGCAACCTCGAGGGTCCAACCGTTATCTTGGTTCATGGCTTAGGGTCATATACAGTCGTATTCAATAACCTTTTCAAAGACAATCAGCTACTTTCCAAAGTTTGTCTTGTAGGTGAACCATCCTGTTTTTCAAACCATCTTTTGAAATGTTGCAGATGAGATATGCAAAAGTATTTACTCGGCTGGTGAGTCGACAAACTGCACTCTTTCAGGGCACTGACGATGATTTGCAGGAGTTAGGGAGTAAGTCAGTCGTGTAGGGGAACATTCCCTCCTCTAACAACATTCGTTTAGGAACTGTTGCGACGGATGTCTGCACCCACTGTTCCGCAGGCTATCTGTCGGGAATCACCTACGTTTCCGTGCTCCCTTGCATCGGAGCAATCATGATGGACTTGGGAAAAGAGTGCCTTAAAAACCTTCATCCAAGGCTCCTTAAGCAGGACGTCGCTGATGCGCCCAAAGCGAGGATCGACTTTGTCGATTCCACGATCAATGATTGTAACGCTTCCCGGTTACTTTGGGTTGGAGCGTTCTGAGTCAGTCCTGAATGCCAACGACATGTCACGGTGGTAAGATCCGCAGCCCCTTTTGCTTGGCAAATTTTAAATTTATACTAGGTGCGAGATGAGATATCAAGATAATGAAATCTGCAAACGGCTGAAACACCATAGGCCGCCGCCTATTGTTGAGTTTACCGCAAGTCTCAGACACGTCCGTCGAAGTACGACCAACTCAGGTGTACAGGGAACCCGTAGATAACGCGTAATGTATATGAATTGTAAACTACTCTTATATACTGTAAAATATTAGTGCTTTTGGTCGGGTTTCTACATAGCCGAAATATTACAAAGCGCGCTGCGCGCTTTAATGTCAGTCTTGAGCGCTGAGCGCCGTACTCTCTAAATCCATTTTGATCCAACACCTAGTACGCTAACGGTGAATCGTACCTGTACCACAGTTACAATTATGACACCTAACGCCGCTTCTGACACGACACGACCAATTTCAACATAGGCCACATGTGCATGACTTGGCCATAGTAACTAACTTTTCTCAAAAGGCATGGTTTCACGCCGTTGTATTTTTTTGTGGCTGCCTCATACATCGATGGGCGGAAGTACAAACCTATATATGCTGTTTGACAGCCCTATCCACTTGCAACAGCGTGATGTCGTTCTCGGGCCCCACCATTGCTCAGACAGCAGGTAAGTCTAGTCGACTTGACTTGTTGCACCGCTGGAGTTGACACTCGTTCCGCTGGCAAGTCGTAAGCATGGTCTTGCATCTTGTAGCAATCATTGTCACATCATTCCGCTTGTATTGTCGTGTGCGGCAAGGACGTCTGTGGATTGATGACTTATGGGCATCCTTCGCCATGATATTCAGTCTCGCCCAATTAGTTGTCGATTGGTTGTATCTGCATGCTTATGGTGAGCTTTGTTTTGTTGTATATGATACGTACCATTTCCTAAAGATGCCCAGAAAAATTCCCTCAAGGCACAAGGGTAACACTGTATTACCTGTACGTTCTCTGATATCTTAATGCTTAAGAGGCATTAGTAAAACCGTTTCGGCACTAGGGTCTGCCTATTCTTTTCTGCAGTTGTTTGGTACGGCTCTGGCAGCATGTTAAGGCGATACAACTGACATGCACACCTATGATAGGTGTTCCAGGATATCAATTCTGTTTACAGTTGTACGACTCACGGTCCCAGGAACCCTCAGGAAGGTCCTCACATATACTACAACGATCTTCGTTATTGCATGGGCTGTACTTTCTGCACAAGTCTGGTGGACTTGTGAATCTGAGCCCAAGTGGAAAACACAACCACGCCCGCAATGCGATCTCGGCAGAAACGTTGCAATAGCGCAGATCATTAGTGAGGGTCAACAGCCCATGCAATGCAATGATTTTCTGATTGACATTTCAGCTGACGTTTTCGGAGACACTATTCTTATCCTGGCCCCATCTCGCCTCATTTATAAAGTCAGATTGACGAAGGCACAAAAAATCCGGATACTTGCCATCTTTTCGACGTCAGCAATCACTACCGTTGTTAGTCTTGTCCATGCATATTACATCTTGTCTGATGGAGGGCTAAAGGAGGCAGTGGCTGCTATAGTCGAGGTATAGTACTATCAGTGTTCAGACCGCAAGTATTACTGATCACCTTTTAGACTTCTGTGTCCTTGATTGTCGCGAACTTAAGCGTGGTCGTGGCATTCTTCTTGAGGATGGGCGCAGAAGATGATACATCCTCGCCAGCACCGTTGAAATTCACGCCCATCATAACCATCGGATCACAGCCAAGGAGGCGCCACTTTAGCGACCCTCTCGCCATGACTGTGATAAACGTTGAAACCACCACGATTAACTTGAAGTTGATCGATCTCCCCGAAACTCGCCCCAGTGTGCTGAAAAGTGGCAACACCGACGAAATTTCTTTAAATAGCATGGAGGGAAAGCAGACCTGCGGTGAATTGTGCATCAGCAAAAAAACCAAAACCGTGCAAACCACATAACAAGCCGCCAGTAATACAGTAATATTCAGAACAAGGTATACAATTGCTACATTCCCTACAAACAACTGACAGACTTGTGAGCTATGATACAAGTCCGACTAGGTTTTATCCATAGATTCCATACTCCTACAACGCTTTAGCATTCAGGTCGTGGAAGGTTTCTGCTGACTCAGGCGGTAATTCGAGCTGGGTATCCATTCGATGGGAAATGCACAATTTTCACTTATTGCTGAATAGCAACACAACAACAACACATATTCGTATCGGATCTACTGTATTGTATAACTTAGGTCTCTGCACATTAGGCCTGACATTTTTATTTTTATTTTGTTGCGAGCTTGTTGCAGCGGCAGCACTGGAAGTTGAGATGTCGAAAACACAATAGAAATGCACAATTTCGTCACGCTATGTCACACGCGGCGCCTCGGCCAAGACAAGGTGGTATCCAAAGTCCGACAGCGCTCCAAGCGAATGAGTTCCATACGCCACCGATTCTGTCGAATGCAACAAAGCGGAGACTCAACCAAGTGTGATTTCCTGATTTAGCCTGACTGTCACGCTGCACTCATGAATCGTGAATAGCACGCTGTGGTGCTGTTCTATTGACATTTAAACACCTGGAGTAGATTCAGAATGGTGTATTTTATATATGTTGAAGTTGATATGTCGATAGGTTAATGGGATCTGGGTGGATCGTGAATTTAGTGTCCAAAAATCACTCATTTTGGGTACACTTGCACAATGTTTCATCTCAGGAAGGCTCCACAGAGTGGATTTTAAATTTTAAATTTGGTAGGCTTATCGAGCATATGCTAATACTTGTTCTCCAGCTGTTCCGAATGAAATATATGTAGAGTTGTGAGCTCTGGAGTGCATTGTGCATTACCCATCGATTGTGCATTACGGATAATAGTGTACAAACAAAAAACAAAGTGCTGTTCATAGTAAATCACTTTCGTCCACATTCAAGATAAATTTGGTGTAGAAACGAACACCTTCATTCAAGCTGTCTGCACGGAAAGCTGGTATGAGGAACTGCATGAGCGAGGAAAGTAACGTAACACTATGTGACACTTGCCTTCATTGACAGTGTGTACTCCATTGAAATTATCAGTGTCAAAGGACGGCGAGAAGCGGAAAATATGCTTGGTCAAATTCCAGTAGAATCGTGTGTCTGCGACCACATAAAGGGATAATTCGTTATGAGTAGATCACAGTTGCTTACCAGTGTTGCCTGGTTGATACCAGTCGTTAGAATCGTGCAGTACAAACCAGACAACTAACGTACCAATAGATAGAGAGGGTATAACCACAACCTTGCTGCTGTTGCGGGAAGGGGAGTTCTCAAAAGCAGCTTTAATGCTTCCTTGCAAGAGTGCCCAAGGGCCATACCCGGTAGGTGTCACGGGCGACGGCTCCAAGGCCATCCCGAGGAAGTCGGACAGAACGACTTGACCAGCACCGCCACAAGTCACGTTGCTGCCGAACGCGACGAGTGCGAGGTCATACTTGGCTGCCAACGGGGTCAAAAGGTCGACCATGTGCTGCTGCAACTCGCCAACAGAACTAAAAGTAAGAAGTGAGCAAAGTCCTGGAAATCCCGCAAAGGAGGCCAGACCTATGCTCTGCAATGCGGTGATTGACCACTGCGCTAGCACGCTCTGGGAGAGCGTTAACTTTCACGCCACCTTCGACGAGGTCTACCGCTTGTGTGGTCCCAAGTATTGCTTTATACTGGGGATGCGAAGCCAGAAGTTGCTCTTGAAGCACTTTTAGAGCCGCATCGTCTGTAACCGCTTTTCTTGCGAGTATTCGCAAGTCATCAGGGTATACTGGATTGTAGGCCGCAAGGCACTGCGTCGTCGCAAACGGGGTTCCTGTTCGGGAAAGGCTGGCTTCATGCGGGTTATCCTCCACCGCTGCTATGAAACGAGAGAGGAGACCGATGCTCTGTACAGTACTGTTGATCAATTATCAGTTAGAAGGTGCAGCAATCAACACGCACCGTATGAGAAGGTGGTACGCTCGAATGACCACCCGGAGTTGAAAGCGTGATCTTGACATCAAGATATCCCTTCTCAGATGTCGAGGGAGTAGCAAAAACAACGCCGCCCATGTCCGTGTAATCAGCTAACACAGAGTTAAGTTGTGCTATTCGCAACATTCAGTTCACGTACATCCTTCGTCAAGAAGCAAGGCAAAAGAATCGCGCCCGTACGTTTCTTCCAAGTATCGAGCAAGATGACCAGCACCCTGAAGCGACATATCAATAATGAAACTTGTATGTAGAGGTTTTCCTGACCTCTATGCCTTTAGACTCTTCGTCAAATCCATAGGCAAGTATAAGGGTGCGCGCAGGAGAGAAGTCATGCTTTAACAATGAATCAATGGCGAGCAATTGTCGTATCAAGTCGCTTTTGTCATCGCAAGTACCACGACCCCATATCCACGTGCCTGTATACAGATGTAAGTAGCACCTCGCGGGGTTGAAAGTTTGCCTACCGTCATAGTACCCTGAATACGGATCGTATTTCCAGTCTTTGACTGTCTGACTTTCAACTGGTACAACATCTGAACGACGTCAACAGAAATTCCGTAGGATGTTCAAACGAGAATAACCTTGATGAGCGGCCAAGAGATAAGGTTTTGCCGTAGTTGATCCCTGCCAATGAAAAAACCAGACCATATGTGTTGACTTTGGTAATATTGAGAGACTCATAACTAGAAACAAAACATGAGCTATGAAATGACAACTCAAACTTGAAGATCCCGACGTACATGCGAGGAAATGAGGCCTCAAGAACTCGATGAAGTTCTGCGAATGTATCCCATCGGCTGTCTTCACCGACCGGTCCATTATCATCGTATGATTCGGTCCTAAGAGCGCGTCCCATGTTTCCACAGTGATATGCGAGATTAGGACTTACGGTACACGGACTGCGTCTCTGAGGGCCTGAATGGCTATTTGCTTGAAGTCTTCTGAGTTGTATGCCACATCCAAGTCTTCGCTGAGCCCACGATGCTTGGTTGGATGTAAAGCCATCCACTGAGGGCATGTAGTAGAATTAACGCTCGGAAGTAGGGACCCAGCCGCAAGCCCGTTACAAGGACCTGCAAGCCACAAACGAGAAAAATGGCAGATTTCGGAGTCGCAGAACTTATAGAGCACGAGTGAAATGATTACCAGGCTGCACAACAGCATTCGAAATGCAAGTAGTAACCTAGACCAGCCGCTTTCATGCCGGTGCTTCCTCGATGTTCTGCCAATGGGATGGCATAGATCCGATTGTGCAGGAGCCATATGAGAGATATGATGACTCTTCGAATGGGCGAGCAACGAGGGCTACGACTCAGAAAGAATGGACAGGTGAGTTAGTTGTTTGACGGAGTCTGAGGCCAAAAGAGTGCAGATTCTCACCACTGGCAAGAGTTATCATTGAGATAACTGCTATAGCTAGGCGCCTGGCGGTGTCAAAGTTTACTTGCCAATTCGACCAAGGACTTCCACTTTCTACTTGATCATGACGGTTATACCACACTGGCTCTTCCATATGTAAAAGACTCAAGAGGAGCAAAAAGTTATTCATCCCCATCAAATCCCCATCATGCTGGTTTTATGTAACGTCACATGCGCGCTAGAAACAGTGGTATACTAACGCCGAACGGTCATTAATCATATCGTTATATGTGAGGCCTGGGCCAGTGCACAAATTTCTTTGCTCACTTACACACAGTGACATCCCTCGAATATGATCCTAGTCTCAAATGATCCCAGTTGGTGGCCGTTCATCAATTCGTTTCGTTTTTTTCAAGCCGCTGATATCTTTATGATATTTCCAGTACTGACGCGCGGATAAGAGGTAAGTCGATGCCATTACTAGAGCAACCAACCATCTCGCTAACAAGTGATATCATAGATTGAACTGATCTGGGTGAGCAGAGTACCGTATCATAAGAGCATCAGGACAGAGGCAACGCTGGTCCCTCATGACCGTCCTATACCTTAAGTACCGTACTGTGCGTAGCTTATGTTATAAACATGTCGGCAAGTTGTGCTGATTCCAAGATATCCTAGATTTGCTGCATTGGGATACTGTATACTGTATACTGTGTGCGTGTGCAAGGACTGACAAGGTCGCGTTGTGCTGATAACTCATCTCTCGCAATATTCTGGGTATGTCACTATGTTTGTGTTTTTTGACCATACAGACTCTGACAAATTCGTTGTCAGACGCAGTGAGTACTTTGTACCCATTACCTCCCATTCCCCTAATCAACTGTACTCGTATGTAGGGGTGAATGAGATCCTCAACGAGCACGTTGGTTGACTTGGCTCAACATCTATTATCAACTTAGCCCTGATTTAGCCCCACTTGTATCATGCGCACAGGGGTTCGTGGGTTGGCAGAGTATTTGTAAATCCCATTGAATTTACATTTCCTACTCGTATTCTTGCTGGCGATGTATCTAATGTGGGTGCAGGAAAGCGAAAGGGCTCCTGACGGGAGCTCCGTTGGTATTTTGTAGGGTTGCTATCAATATCTTATTGCAGGTGTATACTGCTCAAGCTGCCCCATAATGCGTCTGCTCAAAAGATATATACATTCAGTAACCAAGAAGGCTGGTATATCACCTCTGAAGATGCCTATGTACCGTGTAAAACTAAGTGTGCGTGTGAGGGTATATGAGTAAAAGGTATCGCAGTCTGCCAAACACAGAAATAGTGGTGTAATACTTTTCTTCAGAAAGTTCGTCAATCAATCAAACCACCCCACGTCTCTCATCTCCAGAGCCAAGTTGCCCCATTCGCATCCGCCAGCCTTGCGCCCTGCACACTCCGTTGCAAATCGCAGGCACTCGTCAAGCCTCCATCGCGCAGTGACGTCTACTTCCTTCTCCTCCGCTTGCATGGGGGTATACGGTGCGCCTGGAAGTATGCGCCTGCTGAGGGACCATATCATCCCCGCCACGAACGCGGAATGCGCGCCCTCTTCGTCTTGCGCGTCCTCCGAGAGCGGCGGTAAAGGCTGCACGGGTATAGAGCTCTGTACGTGTTGGGGAGGGACGTGCGTGTGCGTGACCGTGGCTATGGCCGTTAGTGTGAAGATGAGGGTTAGGAAGTGAGTGGGGCAAGGATGTCCCGCGGGTGGTATGCGTAGACTTCGCGTCATCTTCGTCGTCGTCGTCATCATCAAGTGGGTGGAAGGATTCTCCCGCTGATGACTGTGCGCCCCTTTGGCTCGTCGTCGTGGGCTTCTGAATATCCACTGTCACGATTTCCGGCAGATGCTATGGTGAACCCGCTTGAGTCGGGGCTCCGGCGGCCAGCCCAAAATTCTGAGCCGCTGCGCACACTCTCGACACCATCGGAAGTAGAGATGATGGAGTGTAAGTTGGAGCTGGTGTGTGCATGGGATCTGCCTATCGGAAGTGGAGACCAGGAGGAAGACTGGAGATATTCACGCGTAGGGAGGGAGAGAAGGGCTGAACCGAGGGTACCTCCATATAATACAAGGAGCGCGTGTGGACGTGCATGTCGTGCGAGTGCAAGGAGAATAGCGCGCGGAGAAGGTGGGCCAGGGCTGGAGAGTGAGGGAAAAGTTTGCGCCGAAAGAAATATGACGTCTGCGTGGGGGATGAGCTAGTTACATAAAATGGTCAAATAAGGTACATTTCAGAAAAGTATGAAGAGGACATACAGCTTCAACGCCCTCTCGTGCCCTTCGGCCGAGATCCAAGCTGAGAACACAATATGCTCGCCACTTTCGCTCACGTGCAAGACCATCTATTCCAAGAATGTTGGAGAGCGTGGTTTTGATATTCCGTCCTTCAAAATGCAGCCAGTCAAAAGGCGCGGGTGAAAGTGGACTTTGAGTGGGCACAATCGCCATGTGTGGGGCGGCGCTTCCTGTAGGAGCTGTTGCAGGTCTGGAAGTCATACTAGGCCTCGGTGGCGGAGTAGCAACAAATGCATTTGGGAAGACAGAAGCGGGTGAAGGTGGTTGAGGTGGTAGTTGAGGCGGTTGGGAGTGGGAAATGCCAACATAGTTCTCCGGTGCAAGAACAGGGCCAAGCAAGGCAATAAAATCTTCATGGGACATCTCTGGAAGCGGATTGTGATTTATGACAGTCCTTTCACCAGTATCACGGGCATGCATTACCCATGCAGATGGAACACCGAGACCGGGCCAAGGTTTGCAGTATTTTGTGCGTATTCCACCTGCCTCTAGCTCATCTCGCAGTCGAATTCCGTCGGGTGACGCGCCCAAACTCGCTATGAGCATAGGTTCCACAGCAGCAGGAAGCGCTGCCAAAAAACCGAGTATATGTCCGGCGCTACCACCACGTGCGGCGGCAACTGCTTGTGCCCGAGACACAGTACCCGGAACTGGATGCGAGCAAAGATCCAGCGAGTACGTGAAGAATATTGTCCCTGTAGAGAAAATACGAAATGGCTTGGAGTTCGATGGACTTGGCATAGGCGAGCTGGCGTGGGTGGAGGTTGGGGAGTGAGTTGTACTGGACGCTGAAAGCGTGTCGCGTCGCAGGCGAGCCATCCTGTATGTGTAATTCCGCGGCGTAAGCTAACGGTGTTAAGTCTAACTGAAAGTGGGAGACGTCGCCAACGTCGGCCCTTGACTGAAAAGAAGCCATTAATATTAAAGTTCAAGTTCACCTTGTCATAACTCATATGAACCCGATCGAAAGACCATCATGATGGTGATGCCATACTGAGTACTGATGCGGTCTACTTACTTACTTACTTATTGACAGTCAGTGCTAGCTTCGATACGCAGCCAGTCAGGCAGACTCCCGGTCGTCAATCCCAGGCTCAGGCTCACAACATCCTCGTGCCAGTGAGTCGTGATGCGGCATGCAATAACTACAAATAGAGAATTTCCACGATCAATCCATCAAGGCGAATATGGGGTAGTTCCTAAACGTGGGGTGTTTTGCCTTACACCGCTCAACCTCTAATATTAATGTTGCCAACCTGGTGCACGAGCATATATCGATCACGGAGCGGGCTCCCGAGTTCTAGGTAGTGGGATATGGGACAGAATGGTACAACGCATGTTTGCGAGGCTACGCCACGAAGGTGAATCAGTTTCAGTCGAAGCAGTCACGGACAGACTAAGGTAATCTTTTGATTCCTTATTGCCGAACAGTGATATTCGAATTCGGATACATACTAGTACTTGAATCGATGGATAATCGGGGTGCCGTCTTAGAAGGAGCAGTCACATGCACATGTCAGGTGAGTAAGCTGCTTTTATATACATGAGTACTCAAGAATATCAAGATAGCACACCCTTCCTATCATTCCGCCATTCTTCTTGAGTGACTGAACTCGTTCGCATCCTGCTGTTTGTCGACAAATCGAAGTGACTTCTGCTAACATGTCTATGCTAAGGAAAGTGCCTTACAGTGAGTCTGCCAGTCACAATTGTAGGAAGTCACTCACTCCGTCTATGTGCTCAGCGAGGCTGGGCAATTCTGGCCTGAAGATCTCCAAAATCATACTTGGGACCATGCAGTACGGCAACAAGGGATGGCAAGATGGGTTCTCGGAGAGGATGAAGCAGTCGAACACGTCAAGGTCGCGTAAGTTCTCAGTCTCGCTATCACGTACACAGTTCCCTTGATCACCAGGACCAGTTACGAAGCAGGAATTCAAACTTTTGATACCGCCGATGTGAGTCATTACTGTCAGAACTTGTTAAACCACAGTATCACCTATTTCTCAGACATATTCGAATGGTTACTCGGAAGTGATTCTTGGACGGGCGATCAAGAAATTGAATTTACCCCCGCGACGAAATCGTCGTCATGACCAAGGTAGTACATGAAATCAGTGTTCTACAGCTCTCTCATTACATTTGCCTTGAACAGGTGTTTAATGTGGTCGGACGTGAATTCAATATCCCCCAGCTTGCCGGGCGCAAAGACCCAGATCAGAATGGTTATGTGAACCAGCATGGCCTCAGCCGGAAGGCATGTTTTCAATCGATTTTGAGGTGATTCGAATTTATGAACTTACGAAACAGCATATCTTCGCAAGCGTGAAAAAGAGTTTGGAGCGGCTTCAAATGGATTATATTGACGTTCTACAATGTATGTCTAATCATCGATATACTCAACTTTTTTTACATAACGCTTATCCACTTGTAGGTCACAGATTCGACAATGAAACACCGATCGAAGAGACGGTAATGCATATTCTCTACTAGGTTTTGCAAGCTAATTTTTGGGAAGATGCAAGCATTGCACGATGTGGTCAAAGCCGGCTATGTTCGCTACATCGGAATGAGTTCTTGCTGGGCGTACCAGTGTGAGTACACTCCATCCCTATGCAGAGTCAGTCTAATATTCGTTTGCTGTTCAGTCCATGCCATGCAGAGTGAGATCTTAATCGGGGATACATTCTGTCATCTGACCTCAAATTAACGTAGACTATGCAATCACAAACAAGCTCACTCCCTTCATTTCCATGCAGAACCACTACAGTCTACTCTATCGCGAGGAGGAGCGCGAGATGTTCCCTACTCTCAAGGTTCTTATATAGTGTTGATGATATCAGCGTCGTGGCTCACAGCGATATCAAGATGTTCGGTGTCGGCTCGATTCCATGGTCTCCACTGGCGCGTGGTGCCCTCACACGCCCCCTCGGGCAGCAGACAAGCAGAGGTCAGACTGATTGGTAAGTATTTCAGCATCTTTACGGGGTGACTGTCTCACGGCTTTTTACAGGTTCATTGGGAATTATGCCCAAGCATCGTCATACGAAACTATCGTTAACCGGTATGTCGGTTCCTAACTAACAACAACAGTAATCCTAACAAGTTAATTAGGGTCGAAGAACTTGCCAAGAAGAAAGGTGTGACCATGGCCCAAATAGCCATAGCATGGATCTTGACGAAGGAAGGTGAGTTATTTTGATGTTCATGTGGGTACTCGATCAATGAAGTCGATCCCCCAGGGGTATCGGCTCCTATTGTTGGAACCACGAGTATCGCAAATCTGAAAGATATCATTGGTAAGTGGCGATGCCTGCGCATGAAGAATTTCCTGCGCCACTAACTTGGAACCCATAGCCGGAATAGACGTGAAACTTACGGTGGAGGAGATCAAGTTCCTTGAGGAAGAGTACAAACCGACTGCTGTGATTGGTCACTTCTGAGTGGTTCAACGATGTGCAGCTCTCTTAGATACATATTGGTTCTGATTCGTTGCTTGCTCAATGAACAAATTTTAAATTTTAATGACACTCGCAGCCAGTGAATGACAACCTGAATCACAAGACAAAGAGTCTGTAATGCTTCGGACCTTGCACGCTACTTGAAAACTTTCGGAAGAATGTAATTTCCAGTGATTATGAATTCGGAGAAATGTCTGGTCACGTGTACAGGAGTGCTTGGCATAACACACGCGGGCGCCGAACAATGAACGTTTACATGTACACTTGAACCTAATAATAATTTGAACACGTAGTATGCTTCTGTCCTGAACAGACCCCACGAAACCCAATTGCCGATAGCTGACTCGAAAATGCACATGAAAAGGGTCTTCAAAGGTGAAGATGGGGCAAGGGTAAGTACCTGATCCGACCAAATCCAACATATATCCTCATGCACCAACAATTGCCTAGGAACCACTCGAAGGAGGAGATTGGGAAGATATTCCAAACATGGACGTTAGCCCTGAGCGGTTCAACAATTCCGACTCTCCAAGTACAACGAGCACTTTTACAGATGCCTCGAAGCCGAGGCGTCGCGCGGGCTCGAAACCCGTCTTTATCGCTGAGAGCCCTCGGCGTAATCGCGCAGCAACTCCACGGTCAAAGCGCAAGAAAGGCCCCATTGTGGACAATGAATACGACTTGGACAAAGAGAACGTTATTGACAAAGAGCAGATCAAAGAAGCGTTGTCCACTGGCGCCCACCACTCAAGCATTTTTATTCTCGACGTTTTCCTTCGAGCAGTGCGACTTATGCGCATACCATTATCAATCATGCTCTTCCTTTGGATGTTGGCATTCGTGATGATACGCCTGTCGGGTGCGCTGCGCACAGCGTTTTCTCCGATGTGTTACCTTCCTATAGTATCGAGGTCAGCGCTGTGTGCTCCGCTGGATCCGCAGATCACCAAATGGGCGGATTTCCCTCAACTTATGGAAACCCAGGGCTCTACTTTTGAGAAGCTTTTAGAGGGGTCTGTTGGAGGATCTGGACTTTCGATTGAAATTCGGAAGGCTGAATTTGCCACTGCGGATCTTGCAACCCTCGTACGATATAGCGACCTCAAGTCTAATGAGATCCTAGCTGATCTCTTGGCAACTTTTGCGAAAGATGCCAAGAATACTGCTAGGGGTCTCACAAAGCTCAGTTCGAAGATTGGTGGTGCTGTGGACAAGTAAGTAGTCGTTCGTTCGGCATGGAAATATTGCATGCTCATTTTCAAAAGCGTCATGGCAGTGAATGGGTATGCGATGCGTACCATACAAGAGGCTGAGAAGAACGCGCCGCAACCGTATTCGCTCATGGCTTTGATTCCGTTCAACACGGGACCTACGACACAGGAGGTGATAGTCGATACATTCACGACTGCGATGGACACCTTCTCTGTAGCTATCCAGCGACTTATTCTGGAAGCGGAAATATCCCTGCACAACTTGGAAATACTCGAGCAAGACCTTTCCGCTGTACGCGAAGTTGTGCTGCGCGAGGACGTTGACGTCACAGCTGAGAAATCCGAGCTTTTGGCATCGCTGTGGACAACGCTAGGGAGGAACAGACGCGCACTACGGGATACTGACAGACGTCTTGATCTACTTAAAGACCTTGTTGACTATCGGAAGCGAGCGCAAGCACATGTTGTTGCTGCACTCCAAACACTAAACTCGATGAGCGAGGACATGGAGGATTTACGAGAGAGGGTAGCGGCTCCTGAATTGGTTGATGGGCGTATCCCACTCCACGTGCATATCGAGAGTATTCAGAGCGGACTTCAAAGGCTACAGGATGGTCGGGTGAGAGCGAAAGAGAGGGAAGAAGAGGTGATGAGAAATGTGTTGGGGCTCGGCACCGATTGAGTCGATGTGTGGCGGAACTTGCTTTAAATGTGCTTAGGATCTACATTTTATACGGGCGGGACATGAGTGTACCAATCTGGCACCAAAATCGTGAGGCTTGGCAGCTCATTTTGATCAAGGTATCGACTCGAGGCACATGTGGAGTAGTGCAAGATTTCGCTTGTTATCAGGTGTTTTTGCAAGATAACATATGGACAGCGTGTCCGGAGATCTGTTGCATGTCGAACAGATCATGTCGTGTGTACAGCAGGATGAATAACAGCCAATGATGAAGGCACGGCGAAAACCTAATTTACGGTGAATCCCGACTTCATGGGATTTAAACATAACCCCTATAGAATGAGGAACATTTGGACTCACGAACACAGCTTAATGTCACCCACGTGCAGATGGATTATCAGCAGGCAAGCGCTGCACACCGAGACCCGTTCCGGTAATTAGGATGTGTGTGGCTTACCTTTGTGCTGGTCCCGGGCCTAGCGCCGTTTAGCCAGCTGGCCCTGCGCAGAGTGTGAATTTAGTTGTGGATGAAAGCCAGTGGGCCAGCAGTACGAATACTTGGCTCCGAACCTGGATGTGGTAATTGGGATCTTATTGTGGTTATGTAAATTATTCTGGATATAACGGGTAATGATCGGGTAAACACAATTGTCCGAGTCATGTCCACTACAGTAATACTGATCGCATGGCCCGGACGGTCAAAGTATTATTATTATGGCCACAAGAAGCCTGGCATCCCACTTTCCTTTCTCCACTACCTCATCCTTTGAAAGCTATACTTGCGGAGCTTTCTTCATAAAGGTGCTCACAAAAACTCACTGACAGCAGACACTCATATACCAGTGTATAGCCACACGTCAAGGTGCATATCCTCACCCAAGCAGCTAGGCACGACATATCTTTCTGACAGAGCACCCCAGATATTTTCACCAACGACTGAGTGCGAGAGCCCACTTTTTGAGCTTGACTTTCAAGCCACCTACTACATCATCCAGTCACAGTACCGCACCTACTACTGTACGTGCAGTCATTAACAATTCTATAACCTCGAAGGTGGCATGAATTACTTATCGCGTTTTGACCATTTTATAGATACCTTGCCTCGAGGCTACCGTTTGCTTTTTTTTTGCCACGAGGTTTTCATGGATTTTGTCACGGTGCGTGCATGCCACTCATGACTCAATTGCCATCTCTGGATTAACGTAAACCTGCAGGGTGGTGCTTCAGCCTACGAGCAGGGGCCTATATCTCCCGAGGTAAGTTCAAGCCTCCAGTTTGCGAACCTCCATGCTCACGTAGTTACAGTCGTGGAAGCGTGCTGTGTACCGCAGTGCTCCTCAGTATTTCTACGTTGGAGTCCTCACTCCGGAAAAGCAAGGTAAGCTTATCCAGTTTGTATTGGATCATATTCATGTTGGTTTTAGGCGGCAGTTATAACTACGGCCTGCGGATTTGTCCCATTAAGGATGACAACGCATCCATTTCCACCAATTCAACTTCTTCGAAGGGCTCGCATTTAGAGTATGACATCTGGCGAAAATGGGAGGACTGCCTCTGGTTTCAAGATAGCCTTGAGGCCGAATATGCTCTCATGGCAAGAGAGAAGATCACACGTCTGGCCGCAGGCAAAGGAGTGAAAAAGGACGGGATGTATATCCAGAGCGATCAGGCAGCTTCTTTTGATTCACTTCCTCCGGGTCCCGATCCTCACTCCGTCGCCCGTGATATTCACCAGCACATCCCGAAGCTGACGAAGAAGGGAACACTGTTCCGCGCAAGTCAAGCTACCGTTGACCAACGGTTCGCCGAGTTTCGTGCCATGATAAATGCGTTTTTTCAAGAAGACCTCCCGATGCTCTTGAAAGAGTTGATGGCTACGCGAACCTTCACTGATTTCTTCGGCTATTGGAGACGTGATCATGACCTAGCTATCAAAATACAGAAAAATCAGACCGCTCCCGCTAAATCTCGCCGTTCTGTGTCTAGTAGCATGCTTTCCGCTTATTTTCCTGGTTCATCTCCGGCAGCATCAGACGTCGCACCCTCTTCCACGTCTGTGAATGAGTCACACAAGAAGTTTTCCAGAAGAGGCTCAGGCACTTCGGACTCATTGTCATCAGGGATTTCCGTGAAAGACCAGCCAACTGCCCGCTCACGAGTGAATGATCACTCTGCTGGCTTAGCAATATCCCTGCAGTCACGTGGCTCAAAATCCACCCTATCTTCTTCTTCTTCGTCTTCCTTGAACTCTCCATCTCCCGTAACGCCACGTCGATCTTCTAGCCGCTCGCCAGCGGTTGTTACGCATGAAACTCCAATCACATTTGGACATAACCCACAGCAAACACCTGTCGGATACGCGTCAGAGCGTCGAGGATCGACACTCCAAGTCCTTCCAGAGGACCAGGAGGTTGAGATTGAGAAGGCTGGATCTGCGGATTACAAGCAGATGCGAAGGGTAAATAGGACCGCTAGAGTCCTTGGCCCCCCTGCTTCCGAATCATATGATGATGCTAAACTTCCTTCGGATGGTACGCCTCTAAATCTTTCATATCTAATCTGCATTACTTATATCAAAGCAGCAGCGTCCTATGCTAGGTGCTCATGGCAGTCAACCAACTCTGTTTCGCCCTCTCGTGCTGCAGCCTACCTTGCCGAACTCAATGTTGACTTTACGCTTCCACATCCTCACCCGGAACGTGCACACCGCCCCCGTGCATCGATGTGTAGTGTGGCATCATACAGGACTGATGCCTCTGCCGATGCGATCATTCCTCGATCCGCTTATGCTCAGTCTTCGCCTTCTCCTGAGACTCGACAACATCGTCATTCCGCGCCTTTCCCGGATGAAGAAGAGTGGGTGGAGCGCGAACCATGGGCTGATGAATCAGCTTACGGAGAGGACGATCTCCTTGATGCTTATTTCAATGGTACGTATGATATACATACATGCTTGACCGGTGTGCTAACTACCCCTGCTGCAGACGCGATACCACCGACATCACCTACCGAAGATAGCCACTTCTCTTCACAGCAGCATGACTCGTACCCAACATCAGCGTACCCCGCGCGACGCGCATCCGTAACCACATCCATATCTTCCGGATCAACGGGATGCAGCGACGGTTCAGCCATTTCCATCAAAGCATTGCATGAGAACCACATCATCATGCTTCGCGTTCCGCAGGCCCTGTCCTTCACTGAGGTTCGTCAACGACTTTACGACAAATTTGTACGGCAAGAAGGCGTGCCACTTTCAGAGAGCTTTGTCGTAGCCATCCTCGTTCCCCCTCCAGTCATAGAGAAGTCTGGAGGCCGTCCTTACACTGCTTCATTCTCCTCTATGGCCGACAAGGATAGTGTTCTGCACTTCGTAAAGTCCAACGATGACTGGGACCGGGCGATATCCAAGTATGGAAACAAGGTCCTTCTGCGTATTATTGGCAGCCACGCCTAGGCTGCTCCGCATGTAACGTATTGCCACCTAGGCTTTTATTGGCATTTTTGATCCTCACATTTTGTAGAAATCATTGGTTTTGACTTCGTTCCAGCCTTCATCGTCATTTTTTTTCGTTCAAACACATGCATTATTTCGTTTCAACTGCGATACCTCGTCTTTCTTTCAACATTCCATCTTCGTTCTACATTGCATTCATTGGATTTCCTTGTTACCCTTCGTCTCTGGCTTTAGCCGCGTTCGTACTTTCATAGGATTGTACTCGCGAGCTCATGGGTGGATCAAAGTAGTAGAATGTATCCTTTTATCGCATATCACACAATTATCTACTTCATACCACTGCACATTATGACAAGCTCTACACATCTTTTACAATGAGCAATTATACAATGTTATAATCAAGCACCGACGGGTTGTGGGGAAGGCGGGAGCTGCAGTGCTACAGCAGGAGGTGCGCCCGCGGGCAGCGGTCCTCTAGTCCAGTCTGGTATGACATTTCTTGGAACGTGTTCAGACGTAGGAAGAACCATCACAACATCGTCATCCTGATCGGTTTGCGATGGATCTGACTCGTCCCATTTCTCCCGTGCGACTTCGACACCGCCGGTTTTTAGTGCCCTAGAAAAGTGACCGTCAGCATATGATAAGACGACACGAGGGAATACTGGTAGAACTTACCCCGCTAGGGAACCACCCACCCACGCCATCGTAGCAGGTGTGAAAGCTGGTGCCTTCCCTGCGTTCACATTGGCACGTGCGCTCGACGAGGGTATCGGTGCAGGGTTGTTGAGGATGGCAAAGTGTGGCACCAGCGGGCGCAACGAGGCATATCGGTCATATGTAGGTCTAGACCGTGAGGATGATATATTTAGCGGCGCAGTAGCGCGCAGCAGTTCCGTGTGTAAACGGGGGATGAATCCCGGAAGCATAGCTGTCCCTCCTGTGATTAGAATAGAGGATGCCATAGTTTTGCGAAGATCAAGTGGGACCTTCAAAGACGGTCAATGGTATAATCATAGTATGGTGAAATTAGATAGAGAACCTTGAGTAAAGCATCTAAGATTACTTCTGCGACACTACTTTCGTCGACGTCACCTCCTTCAAATAACACCTCGGCAGCGCGTTCGCGGACCCAGCCCGGGATGATCAGTGTTCCACGCCCAGTACCCGTTTGCTGAGATACAGGAGGGACGACACGCATGTGAAGATCTGTGGCAGTGGAGTGACGCATGTACATATTCGCAAGGACCTGCAGATGGTTTTCATTTCTTGCTTCTCCGCCGGAGGTAGGGTGTGTCGGATGGGAGATTATCGAGAACTCGGACTCTGCAGCGCTCTCTTGGCCGAGTGAACCCCGTGAAAACTCTGATTCAGACATGGCAGGGTCGCTTGAGGGTGGAGGCTCATGATCTGAAGGATCGTCACCTGCTGGGGAGGATGCGCGGACATCGCTGAGAGAAGATTCTAGAGCATCTGACACGAAGCAACAGCGTGTCTTGATGTCCTCGATGACAACATCTGTTAGTATCTCTTGTGGCACACGGGTAGTGCGATTGGCTGCGGGTACGTTGACAGCCGCACTGAGTGTAGCTGGTGGAGGGAGATAAGAGCCAAATAAGAGGAGGAGTGCACGGATGTGTGACGAAAAGCGAGAGCCTGCGAGTGGTGTTGTTCGGAGTTGGGGAAAAAGAGGACGTGCTGCGAATATCTAAGAGGGGTGTTAACAGAAAAAAAATAACAGGCACATCCATCTTACAGGTAATGCAGTGGATTCTAGATGGCCACAATCCAGGACCAGCCCTGTTATTCGACCAACGGATAACAGACACAACAGATGACTTGATGCGAATGATATTGAGGGGACCTGTCACCTTATGTCTACAGAATATCATCCCGCGGAAGCTGAGCACATACCTGGAGGTTACTGAAGAGGACGTGAGCTAACATATCCTTGATGTACAGCGGCATTAACGGATGCTCAACCAATATTACCTTTCTGGCCTTGGGTTCTGCAAGAAGTGACCTTCACGATCTATTGGATGCAAGTGCCTGTAATATTTGTGCCCACTTACTCGTGAAAAACAGAACGCATACATCTCTCCAAGTTGATTGCTAACATGTTGTCCTGCTCTGCCTTTCTACTGGGTCTGTGGCTCGACTCCAGCTCCATAACGAGCCATGATTTTTGGCGTCGGCGTAGAACACGTCTCTTGGCTTCCCTTCGCCACTGAATCCGACTTTCCAGATGCGTGAACCTGGATCAATTACAACACGATCCTCTGTGCCATAGAGAGAGTGACGTCTGGTTGTCGTGTAATGAGGAGATGCTTGAAGAACATGGGATCCTGCCAGTCGAGCTGTCGTTGGCGTCGCAGGGGTGAAGCTCGCCCTTGTTCTCGGTGTACCTGGGACTGTCGACATTAATATTCAGACCACTAGTTTACGGTAGCCAGCTGCATACAGAGCGTTGAACGGAAGGAAGCAATGAGACAAGCGCTTACTTTTTGCGCACGTGATCAAACGCGTCGCGTCTAATTAATACTAATATATGCAAATGCATTTTTAACTGTTATGTACTTAACAACATACAAGCTCACAGCGAATACAGTTTCAACGACAGTAAGAAGTGGTCAAGTCAAGTAGCCTTTCTTTCGATGTTGCGAGACAGCATTCACTGAGTTGTACAGACATCGTCAGGTGAACGCTATCAGAAGGTTTTCAAAAAGCCAATATACGGCCGGACGTACCCAGTTTACTAACCTGTATCATGATGATCACGACACTCATCAGATGCATCGTCATCATCAGACACGTCATATTCCTCCCCGCACTGGCATTTGCGACATACTTCCAACCGTCCCGGACTAGCCTTGCTCTTTTTATCGCTGACCACCTTTCGAGGAGGTCCTTCGGGGGACACAGTATCCCCTTCGTCAGAGTTTGAGGTGGGTAGGTTGGATAAATCGTTCTCCGTGACCATGAGCCTCTTGAACGTTCGAAATAACTTTCGAGTGGTTAAGTTAGGACCTAAGTGGCGAAAAATGTAGTTGTGTAGTTTATGCCTACATCCGTCGGATGCGACTATAGCTGCGGTCCAAGGGTGCCGATGTGCTCAGAAATCGATAAATTTTATACAAGTAATACTACCTGCCTCGCACTTTACATACCTCTCGCAGCACAAACTAACGCTCCTACCTCCTAAGCCTCGTCCGCTTCCTAACAGGGGTATCCGAAGCCAGTACTTCTGACGAAGCTGACGGCACGCGTTTCTTGGCATTTACGACCCATTCGGTCTTACTAAGCAGCAACACATCAGGCGAAGAGTTTGGGAGCAATGTTTCCTCGTCCTCCTCCTCTTCATTCATTGCGTTGCACAGGCTGTCAGAGGAGAAATCAAGTAAAGGGACAGACGCGGAAGGAAGTTCGTTGTCATCTGTGTCGAACGGCGTAAGACTTGAGCTGTGAGCGGTGGGAGGACTCGAAGATCGCCCAGCGAGATGTGGACTCGAACTCCTCCCTGTGGTAAGTACGCTCGAAGGTATAGGACTCGAGCTCCGGGCTGACACGTTTGACTTGGCACGGGGAGGCGGTTTCTTCACAGGCGTAGCGGTTACGAGGGTGATCGCTTGTGCTGCGGGAGGTTGGGAGGATTGGGATTGGGAATCGGTGCGCCCAAGGATGCGCTTAGCGGTTGCAGTAGACACCTTCGTATCTACTTGTGACATCGCAGTTGTCGACCGATCTTTCCCTTTCCATGCACGAGACATGCTGATCTGCCGGGTTAGCGCACGCTGAAGTGCCTTGTCCTGCGTAGCGCCAACGCTTGCTGCGCGTTCCTTTTCTTTTTCCTCTGCGAGAGACACAGACAGCGAGCGAGTGCGAACAGGGGCCTTTGTCGTTCCACCGCTTTGTAGGCCTGCTGCAGTAGTCGATGATGAATGACGAGAACGGGACTCCGAGACGGACTTCTCTGTAGATGGTCCGGGAGAAGGGGGTTCGTCGGAGAAGGGAGAGCTTGGGAAGAGTTTGGAACGGAGGAGGGCACATTGCTCCGGAAGTTTTGATTTGAACCTGTAATGATTAGTATTGTGATTGATATGAGTGAAGTCATCACCCACAGAGGTTCAACTACGTCCTCGCAAAACTTTTGCATCCAATCACGTTCATTCTTGTGGCGAGTCATAATTTCAGTGCGAGATGTATTCATGAGCGATACGAGTTGCCATGTTGAGAGTTTGTCCATGAAGGACTCGAGACGCTCGATAGAGGACGGGATGATCAAGTTTGGTTTTTCTTTCCTCTTCTTCCGCGAACCGCTGGGTTTTGCGGGCGAGATGAAATGAGTACTATCAGTGGGTGGCACTTCGACAGGCAGTAATGGGGTGCATGGTCCAGGAAGAGAGAGCTTGAGGAAGTAGAGCAGAATCTGGATTTGAACCCTACAAAGTCGTTATGATGCGCCTAGAAGTAAGGTAATAAGCACTTACTCACGCTGCTCCATGCGCTCGAGCCAGCCAGACCTCCATTTGTCTTCTAGCATCGCATTGTCATCTCGGTTGAGGTGTTCGCTACGCTCCGCGCTGGCATCGACTTTCTCGTACCCCAAAGCATACCACATCATGCTCTCCTCTGCTTCGCCTGCACCGCCGCCATCTGTAAGAATCTGAGGGAGCTCATTATGGTACTTGTTCGCGGCTGCGCGAAGGGAAAGGAGGAGAGGCTCGATAAAGGCGTGAAGAGGATGTGGCTGGTCTTCTACGAGATCTGGAGTTCCTTGGATGCGAAAGAAGAGAGGGAATAAATACAGAGAGCGGCATGATTGACTATACTGTTATTAGCAAATATATAAAACGATGAGAGCAGGACTTACATGAGGAAGCCATAGGAAGTGAAGGTAAGTGCGCTGGACGAAGAGGGCTGGGTCAGCTAGATCATGATCTTGCAGCGGGTAGTCTCTGCTCAGACTCTTTTCTTGAGCTGCAGTCCATTTGAGCGACGCTGGCGTATGCAAAACAAAAGTTTGTCGAAGTGACATGGCAATCTAAGTCAATGAAACGCGTCGCACGTGACCGCGTTTAGACTTAAGGTTTATCGTCTGTGCCACTGCTGCGGCAACTGCCGCGACCATGGATCAACTACACCTAGGTCCTACCACTACAAGTAATCACTGGAACCCTCCAGCGCCTGTCCTCCAAACGAGTAATGGAGTTGAGCGTGCGCAGATTCCTTATGTTTATATCCACGCTCATAAAGTCACGGTCAGGTAGATTATCAAACTGATATATGCAAATCAGTCGCGGTCGTCGCGGGCACCCTCTTTCCATATTTGGGGGTGCTGCGACAATGTTGGTGTGCCCGGGCCCCGCGACGACCGCGACAAGGTGCTGCGACACTATACTTACTTGCTGGAAATAGACTCAGGTTGTATAATACACGGCTATTTGCGCATCATATTGCAGACTCACGTTAAGTTAGTGGTGATTTTTCGTATCATCTCAGAATCCAGAAAGCCGAAGTCTCAGAAAATCCGGAGGACTCGGGAGTTGGAACAGACCGCAAATAAGTCTTCAGTGATGCAGTCCAAGACACCAAGAACCGAGTGAGTTTATATTAATCATGTGAATTCCTTCAAGGTGCTGATGTAGAGTCCAGAGCATGTGGCCAATAAAAAGCAGATTCCTATTGGAACCGGTACTAGGAGACATACACGTCTCAGAATAGGGTGTGGATTATATACGGTCTTGAGATGATGCTCGCCAGTACAATACAAATAGTGAGTGTGGTGTATTCACTGACATCCAATAATGCGCTTACTAGTACTTTTCTGCGTCTTCCTTTACCTCGTTGGGATCATCCAAGCTGCACCTACAACAGATACAATAAATACAACTACTAGCGACAGTTCTGAAGCCCCATCATTCACGACCAGAACCATATGGTCCATCATCTCCAGCTCCATTCTCACTCTGATTGCATGTATTTACAGTGCTATTCACCCCAATATTCCAAGTCCCAGGGACAGCCCCCTTCGCATCCTACGGCGACGACTTGGGATCATGATAATGGCACTAATTGCTCCTGAATTGATCGTCACCTGGGCTATGCGCCAATGGATCAGCGCTCGTCAAGTTACAAGACAGTTCGAGAAATCGGGATATCCCAGCGTTCGTCTGGAGTCTGAAGGTGAGTCTTGCTGTCAGAAACTCTCCGATTCACAACTCATTATAGACGGCATCAGATCATGGGTCTACCGAAGCAACTGCAGAGCAATATGTTGAAGGTGAGCTCGACATCTTGCTGCACCCCGAATACGTTTCCTCATGACTCGCCTACCTCCCAAGATCATGATAGCATCCGGCTTCTCATAGCACATCCCAAAGGTGATTTGTCATCTGTACTCGTGTTTCTTCGGCAATTCATACTAGTACTCCAGTGCCCACTTCAAGATATGAAGGAACTTGGCATACTCTTGTGAAGCCATTCAAAAAGTTTTTGAAGGCTTATGTTTCAGAGCAATCTGAAGGTAAGCCCGATCCGTTTCTCTCAAACATACCCGATATCTGGCTTATGTACATCCTTAGACTATACGTGGACTCAAGAACACAGCTTCTTTGTGCTGATGGGTGGTTTCATGCTTTATGTGGATGGGAAACCCTATCACACACTACAGCCTGACGAAGTCCTCAAGCTGATACGTACCGAGTGCATCGACGCCCCTACCCTAACAGCAAACCAGATCCGCGACAAGAGCAAAGGGAATGTGTTATCAAAAGGACTGATCATGCTTCAGGTGGCCTGGTTTGTTATGCAGCTCGTCACCCGCGCCATCTATCACCTCGAAACCACCCAGCTCGAAGTGGGGACACTCGCTTTTGCGGTTCTCAATTTCCTCACCTATGCTGTGTGGTGGAACAAGCCTCTCGATGTGCGATGTCCACATCCAATCTACTGGAAGTCGACCGAGTCAAGGCCAGAGGATCACATTTATGAGTATGTATGCGCCTCAATAATTATACCGCTGCTGAATATGTCTGCCTTAGTGTCCCTGAAATAGACGCGCACTCTGAGTATGGGATCTTTTCTCCAGTCCTCGGCCCAATTGAAGAAGTGATAGGCTTGTCTTACATTCCCACATCTCGAAAGCTCCGAGTTCCAACATTTGATGGGAGCATCGATCTCGAAGATTCGAACAAGACGGTTCTTCAGCTTACTGCATTGTTTATGGTAACCATATTTGGCGGCATCCATTGTATGGCTTGGTTTTTTTCCTTCCCCACATACCAAGAACAGGTGCTATGGCGCATAAGTGCCGTCGCTATAACTTTCACACCCTGGCTTTGTTTTCTTGCAAGATTCATACCTGATTCATTACTAGGGATCGTAGGGTTTGTATTTGGCCTGATTTGTTTGGTATCTGTCATATTGTACATCACAGTTCGTGCCCTCCTCTTGGTACTTATGTGCACCGCTTTACGTAATCTTCCTTCTGGTGCATACCAGGCGGTGTCGTGGACTACTTTAGTGCCGCACTTGTAGTTCTTGATCACTGTATTTGTGATACCCTTCAAATGATATTCAGATGCGGCATTCCTGTGGTTGATGAGAGAGCTAGATATATGACGCGATCACATGACCTGCGCGTTTGGCATGACCGTGCGAATCGAATAGGGCGCCGCGGAGTCGCGGACGCGCCAGTTCCCGACTCCACCACTTCTTATTTCAAACTTTGGATGTCGTTACCCAAGCAGGTTCGAACGGCAGATTGCTTTACCTACACCATGCTAGGAAGGTATATCGTGCACGGACCATTTACTCCCACTCGACAGGCTTAAAAGGGAGCTTCCTACATAAAACTAGAAGTACAAGCAGTCGGGGCAGCGGTAGCCCCCTGACGAGAGCTTTCGCAGGCTCGAAACTGCTGCCCTACTGCTTTACTAGCTTCTCGATGCCCTACCTACCAGCACTTTATCTTAGGAGACAGTGGTCTGCAGCGCTGGGTGCTGGAAGTGGTCTGCTAATCCAAAGTCATAGTTCTTTGCTCTCCAGTCGCTGCGCTTCGGGCCGAGAACGGCTTGTCGATCACATTTTGTAAATCATTTACGTCAAAAATGGTTACCGTAATGAGGGAGGTTGCACCTCCTCCATCATGATAACCATTTTTGACGATCACATTCAACCAGAAGGTTGCATTGACACGAATTCACCGGGAACAGACTTCGCAAAGAGCGATGCACGCAGTTCAAGGAAGTGGAGGCAAATCGTGGCGACGAAGTTGGATTTGGTGCGGCGGGCAACAGAAATCTGATACAGACTGAAAGAAAGGATAGGCTGAAACAGTATCCAGGTGAGATTTGATTGTCTCTTCACTTGAATAGAGCCAATGGGGATCGAGCGTGAAAAAGAAACACCTTGGCACAAACCAAAGGAGAGTCGACGAATGATGAAACATTGGCGATAACCAGCGCTCTTAAAATCTGACAGCGACAGTGAAATGGACACGTCATAGAGGGTCATTACAATGGCGGCACCGTCAAACAAAATACAACCTGTCTACCAATCAAGAGCCATGATGGGACACGAGACACTTCAGGAGCCAAGCACAGAATGTCTGACTCGGAGGAGTAGCAAATATCGCGGGATGGTACTGGGGATGACCCAGTCTACGCTCCTCGCTTATGAGTCTGTCGCCTCTTCTGTACTTTCATCCCCTAGCACGGTGGCACCGTATCGATACCAAGGCAGCTCGCATCCTTTGGTGCCATCAACTTCAAACGCGACGTAAATCTCGTGAGCAAGTTCCAGAGTTGTTCTGGAGCGAGGCAAGTCTAGGAGGGCTGTATGAAGCTGTACGAGAATCCATGGAAATTGGAGAACGCGTACAAGTACTGAACAAGAAACTCGGAATGGCGAGTGAATTTGTGGGTGTTTCATCGCAATTTGACTTGAGAAGCAACTGATGGTATTTTGTTTTTGCCTTCAGCTCGATGCTATACATGATCACTTGAGATGGAACGGATAACGTGGATCGTTATTTGGTGAGGTGTTAAAGTTAAATGATTCGATTTGACCGGTTCTTTAGGGGGCTGATTGTGGTCGCGCTTTTAGTGGAGTTGGTGAGTCGTTTGCACTGCAATGCAATCTGTGAAAAAAACTCATGACAATTGTACTACAGGGCCAAGTGGTCGTGCGGCAAGTCGTGCATGCAACAATGGGTGAAGACAAGGCGAACCGCATAGTGTTGCGGGGACTCGGAGGAGGTGCGCTGAGGGCCCTTATCAAGATTGCGTCACAACGATAGGGCAAGAGATGGTCATGGTATTATTGTGTTGGTTTCTGCAAGACCCATCAGCTGAAGATAGACTTGGGTCGTTCATTGGAACGGTATCCAGCAACGAGCTTGTAATTTTAATTGGCAAGACATACCTGAAGACTCGGACTGGGCTACAATCATGTCTGATTCAACCTATCCATCTCAACACCGCCTGCCAGAAAATGAATTCATGTCACAAGAGTGGCCGAAGTGCGGTTTCTTTGGTCGTGCTCGATCAACCTCGCCAATGGAGCCCGCAACTAGTACCGTACCCAACCAGCCGATGCCATTAGCGAAGTTCCATACATGGGGTCTCAGAAGACGAGCAAAACGACCAGAATGTTGATAGAAGTAATTTATCAGCTTTCGCGCAGTACTTATCACTTCAACACAGTGGGTCTGGGAATACTCCGCTGAGCAGCAGAAAAGGATAGCATATTCTGTATGATATACAGAATTATATAGTGCCCATATTTTGACATCAGTTCTCTTCTGATCTGAATACAGTCTGAGGGTTTCAGCCGCGAATGAGAAAATATAGTAAAATTGCGAGTGCAGCGCAACCATTCATTCATACCGACGAACTCTCAAAGGTACGCCAATGCCATCCTCTCCAACAACCCGCGGACGAGGTAAAATCCCCATCGCAAGTTCGAGTGGAGTATCAGGTCCATCCCGCATCTCAAACACGAAGTTCTTCACCAGAACCGACAGAACCGTCTGCATAGCACCGTGAATAACGTCGAAACTGGCTGATTCAAATTACTCACCTTGAATTCCGTGATCGCAAAATCTTTGCCAAGACACGTCCTTGGGCCGTCGACGAATGTCAGCAGATGCCTATGACCTTGGACTTCCTTGGCCTTCCCACTGATGCCGTCTTCAGTCAGCCAACGATCAGGCTTGAATTCCTTTGCATCAGGTCCCCAGATGGCTGAAGAGCGATTGATCGATGTGCCTGATATTGTGATCAATGTCCCTTTCGCTATAGATATACTGTCCGTCATTTCCCCGGACTCCGTGCGCACAGGTTCGCTCAAAGGAATAACATCATCTGCTGCTGCCTATAGATCTATTGTCAGAGTGTTTATTCACACGTAGACATGCACGCTCACAATACGGTTCGACTCGCCCACCGGAGGATGGAGTCGTAAAATTTCATGGACAACCGCATCCAAGTATGGGAGATTGGTCTTTAATTGGTCATATGTCGGATCAGCGCCAAACCCAAGCAGTTCCTCTCTGAGGCTGGTTTGAACATCGGGGTGTCGCGATAGCTCGATCAGCGCCCACTGATCATCACATTAATAGCGTGCACAGACATCATCGACACTAGGCTTACCGTAAGACTGACTGCCGGTGAAAAGTCAGCCAATATGACAGCAACGGACAAGAAATCGACTCACTGGATGTCGTCTCATAACCAGCAAGAAGTAAGACCTTCATCTGCAATATGTCAGCTCGCAAATCATGGCTGTGATACATTGTCTCCACGGACCTGAGCCACTACTTCTTCCTTCGACATATGAAGCTCAGCATCCTGGTCTTCGGATTTAACTGATCGTCGTGTTAATCAAGAGACTACGATGAATATCTCGGAAAGCGTACTCAACAATCCAATGATGGACTTCTCCTCGTCTCTCCCGCTCATATTCATATCCTTCTCCCGGCGGCTGCGAGTCAATAAGTCGTTGGATATTTCTTCCATGGTTATGCCAAGTTTCTTGAACAGATTCGCCCGCTTGGTGGGGATTTTGGTAATGATAGGAAACACGAACGCAAACAGCATAAAAACTTTGTGCAGTGCTGAAGGTTGATTGGCTCCGAAAGTATCAAACGCTTCAGTCACGCTGGCGTGCTTTCCATCGAGCGAGCCAAAATCATGGGAGAAACCAGCAATGCCAACTGTATCCAGACTGATACTGTGTCAGTTCGAGGCGTCAATGTTAAAACATCTTCGCGTACGATATATGATTCATCCTTTGAGTCATGTCGATTAGGAATGTCTCTTGCGAAGCCAGGAAAGCTACGCACCAGTTCTGAACCTCGATGACAGCGTCGCCATCTTTGCTGGATTCTATAGCAGTATCCCATGCACCTTTGGCCTGTAAATTATCAAGATCACAGATACTACATTTTCCACATCGCAAATCCTTACCTTGTATGCTGAGTCATAAAACACTGATGTGAGTTTCCGAATCGCTCCATTACTGAAAGCTGGCGTGAGAGCCTTCCGCTGCCTAATTCGCAGGTAGTAGATAAGTCGCTTGCGCAAGGATAAGAGCCGAACAGTACCTCCTGTGGTCTTCACCCTGAGACCACAATAGTCCTCTACCCAACTGACAAGAGATGTCAGACAGATAAGGTAAGATGATGACGTTAACATACTGTTGCCTCCGTAAGCGCCAGCGAAAGAGGCGTCTGCACATATGTCCATGTCTCTCGAGCGTAGAAATGTGCTATAGCTCTTGGATCACACAGCACGATTCTAGTCTGTCCGAGGGTGCTTGGAATCATATACGCTACCCCATATTCTGTCGCCCAACGTTCATACGCTCCACCACGATCTTGAGATCTAGCTGAGGCGAGGTCGTACGAAACGCCATATATAAAACTGGTACGAGGCGGACCCCGCAGTTGAGTCGTCTTCAATCGCCAGCGAAGCGCCCTTAGAACTTTGACGAAAGCCCATAATGCGACAAATGAACAAGCGACATTGAATGCGCCAACGGAGCGTACGGTTTCCCAGAGACTTAATGGAGAGGGTGCGGAGATGACATTCATTGTTGTGTTTGATTCGAGGATCTATTGGAGATTATAGCCGTTTCTGTAGCAGCGGCATGGTTACGAAGTTCAACGGCTTTGTGCAGGCACGAGACTGTCGACTGCGGGAGTGACCCGGTGCCATTGATTTTCGTCAGCAAGGATTATTCATAGAAGCCGACGGATACCTGTCACGGTGTCTGAAGACTCTGAACTGACGGAGATAAGTACCGCTAGGTTCGTGACGCAGTAGTAATTCACCCTCCGGCACTGCGGCCACGTCTGGCCACGGCATGCTTGAAGTCCTGGAGGAAAGTCGGATAAAGCGAATGATAAACACTGTCACAGGGCCCGTCTTTTGTTGCCGATTCCGCAGGGGTTATTAGATGAATAGATTCAATTGAGCGCCCATGTCACGGTCACAGCAAGCTATGCAGACAGCATCTGGCGCGGGTGAGAGAACTAATATTCTGGGGACATGGGGGACCATATTGGACAAAAATAAATGACTTTAACAACGTATTACAGTTTTGGCTAAGAATTTAACTTGACAGTGAATCCTCGTGAGCAGGGTCTTATCTTGAAGGTAGACTAAGGCGACACCAAAACCTAACAAACTTTCGGAATAAACTCGTCTTTACAAACGTCTCAACCAGGCGTGCATTGAACGTTGATGCTGACTCGACTTCGGTGATAGCGTTCGTGATTCAGAATTTCAGAATTCCAAGTTCTCACGTACGTACTCATCATGATGGCCTTCCAAAATTTTACCCAACCGTTAACCATGAGGGCTGACAGCGTTCAACCTGTACAGGCTTTCAATCCTCGTCATCTTTGGCAAAGCACGCCTCTTAATCGACGGTTGTGGAAGGAGTGATGTTTCAAGGAGGAGAATGTACTAGGGGCCGGGTTCGGGAGGACGCTAATGGGTAAGAAGATCCAGATGAACGTCGAAGGTAAGCGCATATTTTTCTTCTTTGTTGAAGCTGGGACATCTGATATGCGAATGATATGGGAGTGTTCGAATGGCGTTTGGAATTGACTTGAACTTTTATAAGCTGATATAGGGTACATGTGATACGTACTAGGAGCTTATTACATTATACTGTCATGTTTCTTGATTCAAAACACAAATGATAGTGGCGAGATTGCAAGCTCTTGCAATTTGGTCGTCGCAGACTGACTACTAGACTTGTAGTTTTTACTACTCGACTTTTTACTCAACGTCTTTTCTTGAACTTGCCTCCAGAAACATGCTGTCCAGTTTCACATCCTTCAGACAGCGCGTTCTCATCACAACAGTCCCAGATAAATCCCTGCGGCATTTGCGCTCTATTTTCCTCTGTGTCCATTGGACCATGACAGTCTTCGTCATGGTCTGGGAAACACTCCTCATCGACATCTAGATCACCTTTTGACATGAAAATTTTCATCAGGACCCGTCTGCCATTATGAGCAATGGAAAGTGCAATACCAACCTGGATGATAGCAACACTCCTCGTCATCACGTTCGCCACTTACGTCGTATTCCTCCTTGCAATTGGCACATACATCCCATCTTGGAACAGCCTTTCTCTTCTTGCCGCTGACCACCATGGCTTCCTCCACCAGTGCGCTTCTAAACGCCGGTATCCTGTCGGCCAGCATGAGTACTATCTTCCGAAGGCGTGCTTCAGTCATGCCGTCGACCGCATTTTCGAGCTCTTCGCGGGACACTGCGCCCCCTTCATCATCTGAGATGGGTAGGTTGGTTAAATCTATGACTCCCATGAACGTCGAGGCGAAATAGTGCGGTTCTAATTGCTAAGTACTTACGTATATTGGTTGCAACTAACTTACTTCCCCTGTCACAGATAGACATCAGGTCACGCTTTTGTTACCGTAGTCTCTTGATCATTCGAGTGTATCTGTTAATTGCGGAACGGAGGCGGACCAGCTCTAAACGTTCCAGTTGCTGTCCACTCGTGTACCGGTTCATACGTGGATTTGGTTGCTAAACACCGGTATGGAAGTGCAGTGACATGCACAGACCTGCTCATCAACGTGGTTCCTCAAGTAGCTTGTTATCTCAGAGCCCGTGCTTCTGGTAGCAAGCGCCAAGATCATTAAACGATCGGGATTTCTTGTAGCGTCCAGTACGTTCCGACTCTTATCGGCAGAGTCAAATTAATCAATACAGAACGTAGCCTGCGCCCCGGAGCTCCAACGTTCAGGTAGTCGCCCGTTTCACAAGTTGCACCATCTATACATTGTGATTCCAGTGGCTGGCAAGCATATTGATGGTATCTTGGTTATCTCAGATGTCGCCAAGGCTCGTATATGGTTCTTGAAATCTTGCCAAAAAGCTGTACCAGGTTTTCAATATAAAATGCACGAGTTAATTGTATCAATTGAAGAGTACACCCACTTCCACGAAGTGAAGACACGTGCCCCGCGATGAGCTCCACTGAGAATGTACTTGAGCTTGGATGGGTACTCTGGGGTCTTAACGTGAGTAGCAGTAATAACTGGCTTGTTTCCGACTACTCATAATCTCCCAAGTACGCCAATGGTATGTGTCCTCTTTCAAGTTGTGCTGACTATAAAATATACTGACGATCGTGTCGCAGTGGCTGTAACTACGTCCTGGGTAAGGTTGCATGAATCTCACAATTAAACGACTAATCTGTATCATCGCAGGCGTACGACTATTTTCTCACCTTGGCCGATGAGGTGCTTTTAGCTATGTTTGTTCAAACGCTATACAGGCTTAATGTTAACCACACCAGGTGGCATTTTTGACGCAGTCACAGTGGAAATCAGGCGAAGCTGCTTTATATTGTCTGCCGATATCTTACCTGCGGTTACTTGACATTGGAAATGCTCGGTAAGCGACCTTGATATTCATGATATTAGTTATTTAGATTCAGGACACTCGCAGTGGCATTCCAACCCATGATGTCAATTCACGTGAGTCCTGCAATGACCGTAAGACTGTACCTCAATTGAGGTGTTATGATAGATGTGTCAAGTGATATACTCCATAAACACCTGTACGTTCCCTCGCTCGTTGAAGCAAAACCATTCATGGTAGACATTTGTCACAGATTTGGGAGGTTTCATTGTAGTGTGTGCCGAAGGTTTGTTGTTCTGACATGCCACATCTGCAGATTCATTGATTAACACCTGCAAGGTGTCTTCTTTCTCCGTGTCTGTGCAATATGGGGATTTAGGAGGAGGATGGTGGTTCTGTTCTCGATCAGTGGGCTGGTCAGTGGCAGCCTTTAAGTTTACTAGAATCCGTCCATATCAGGTCAATTTAGATGTACGTTATTGCTGCCACCGTGGTGCTCTCGATCATCCGATCCCCCCCCTACAAGTATGTTCTCTATACATTCAGAAAGGACTTCTTGGACTAAATCACTGTTACAGCTACTAAGTCACCCATCCCTGTCACGAGTTGTCTTGAAACTGGCAGTAACAAAAGTATCATAATCCTCTACGTGATTCTAATTGTGGCAGAGATCCGTGAGTACATCGTCATTTTTTTCTATGGTAATTGATGGTCCACCAGAAATATGGGTGTTCGCACTGTACAAGTTCGCTGCGAGCTACAGGCGTAGGGGTGGTCGTAATCACCTGTTGGAACAGCTGATCCATCACAATATGATTTACCTAACCTGCGGACTTGGTGAGTCGCCTTCAGATTGACCGGTTGTAGAGAAGTGCGCAGGGAATTTTTCTGATTTATGGCCCAGTCTTCTCCATCAGTGTCATATTGACGACAGCCCGTCTCAACGTCAGTGCACGAAATTCGGATAAAGCCACGTGTATTGACGACGAGTAAACCTGACAGGTATCTTACGGCTTCATGATTGTGAGGTTTTTACGCAACTGGCAAGTCACTGTTCATGCCTTTCTTGTGACAAAGATGTATCGTGGACTCTGGAGAGCAGATCAGCGACGTGCTTTGCTAGAATCTGTTTCCTTCTCGCTTGCAACTTTCCATGCTGCACCTGGAGTATCAACTCAGGCGTGAAGTTCTGGCTTTCACCCCTTTTTTCTCTCCGTGTTGAGCAAACGGATTATGTACTCTTTATTCATCGCCGACTACGTTTTGGTATAAAATTATTTACTGTGTGTGTACAAGTAAGGACAGTTCTGGAAACGGCTCATACCTGAGGCTTGAACCTAGCGACCTCCAGGTACCCTGGTTGATCAGACCTATAATATGGGGATAAAGTTTCTCAAATTAACAGACGGAGAAAAAGAAAGTTCAGGGACTGCCCCATTTGATACCGCCTTCATTCAGCCCTAAGTGCCACGGTTCGGATCTGAGGTGGTTCTGTATCCTATGGATATTATAATGGAACTGCGACATACGATAAATAGCTACTAAGAGGGGGAAAATAAAACGTAAAATAAAGCACGCATTCAAGCACTGTCTTCTTCCCACCACGGTAACTTCCTTGGTAGAATGCCTCACCTAGTTGGGGCGGCCCTGAAATAACGAGAATTACATATGAAATATAAGGGCCAGCGCCCCGCCCTACAGATAGGAGAGGTATAGGGTCAACCCCAACGGACAATAATGAATTCGAAAAAAAGTCTACGCAAGATGCTGTAAAGTAGTGAATTAGCTATCTTAATGTTTGAACTTTGCGCACGTACTTAGCTAGGACAGATATCGTCTCGCTTGGTGAAGACCTGTTCAGTTCCACGCGACAGCGTGCAAACATGAAGCAGTATAATGCTTCAATGCTCAAAGGCGAATGGTCGCTTCAAGACAACCGCGGTAGCCCAATGTCTCCGGCAGGTATATGATAACCAGTCTCGCATCCCTCTGGGTTGCTTTCGTTACAGCACCTCCAGATGAAGTCCTCTGGGTACGACCAAGGATCGCACCGTTTGTGCCGTTCAACATCTTTTTGGAGGAACCCTATCGACGAAGAAAATCATGATTACGACGAAAATTTTCTTGAGTATGAATCTCAGACTTACCCGGATGATAGCAGCATTCGAACGGCCCGCGCACCGCGTTCATATCGAATTTTTTCCCGCAATTCACGCAGATGTCCCAGCGCGGGCACGATCCGACATCCACGCCCACCTCAGATTGGATCTCAGGGACATCCTCGATATTGACGTCCCAATTAATCACTGAGCAGGCGGACTTCCAGCTGGGGCAACTTCCAGACTCCGTTGACACACTCTCTAAGCTGAATGACCCTTCGTTTGAGTCTGCATCAGACTTCGTGTCAATGCGTGAGACCTCCGAAACCCCTTTTGACAATGCCTTCAAGGAGGTGAGCGATTGGACAAGAAACCGTTGTAGTTCGGGTATCTCGTTGGCGAGCTGAACGACGAGAGCGCGCAACTGCTCGGGAGATGCTGTTTCAATTGAAGAGAGCAGATGCTCACGGAATTCTGGATCTTCAACCGTCAACAGACTATGCTCTACCTCTGTTACGTCAAAGTCTATCGGTAAGCTGTCAAGGACAGATTCCGGGAAGTCTAAGGAGTGTGGGCGAGGCCTGGAGGTAGTGAAGAAGTTTGACAGGCTCACAAAAGCCGACATCAAGATATGGACCTAAGTACCTTTCAGGCTGCAGCTGGAAGGCGATATAGAGACGGTGGTAAACCAACTTTAAGCTTCAAGCTTCCGACTCCGAGTTGAAAGCTAAAGCTGTGCTGCAAAATTTCGCTTGCACCATTTATTACGTCTCGGACTTCAACTTGAAGATATCTCCTTCGACTGAGAGGAAAGTATTATTTCGCGTTTCTGGAGTGGTTTCAAATCAACAAAAATCTTTGATGAAAATCAATAGCTAGGGGGATCTCCATAACTTGAAGATTACGGTTCCAGCAGTACGTATGCCGGAAACTCCCGACTGACTTTACCACTCTTTACCACTGTACCAGGTTGATCTAGATTCTACAGGTGACCGCGAGTCTAGCCCCAGCTAAGTATACATTATCAGTTCTAAGCGAGTCGGTCTACAGTCCATCTGCGACTCTCATGATAAGGGTCGGCGCTCAGGTCTAACGTGACGCCAGATGGCTACCAATAGCTTTCGATATAAGCTTGCCTGTCCATTGTTGTGCAACCTCCCCGCGATCACTTGGCAAGGGTTTTACCGCGCCCCCCTTTGCTACATGAACACATGAAATAATTTCCGTTTGGTTTATGGAAGCATGGCTCATCGGGGTTGATGTCAAGTCTCTTAGACTACTCGGTTTCTAATCTGTTTACCAACGCCATCACATCACTGCCAACACTGAGCAGGTGGAATGGACCCTCCCTCGGCTCCTTATCAATAGCCGCGACATCGTGACTGGACTTATCAAGGGATGTACTTGTTCAGCGTTTACGTTTGCCCTATGGACCCCTGTATGGTATTTGTAGGATTTTATGTCAATATGTCCAGTCTCTTAATCAGTTCTGACGGTCTCTTTTCCGATTGCAGTGCTTTCTTCGCGACCGCGGGTAAGTAATACGTATCGTCAGTCAAATCAGGTGTTGTGATATTTGAGTAACCAACGAGAATAGTGAGTGACAAGTGTCTTTAAAGACTGGCGTCCATTATTAAAAGTGCCGCAGTTTGATCATGGGCTGCTTGGTCCCTTGATGTGATTAGCACCTGGCAGGGTTTCCGCTTCAGTTCGTGTCATCTAGTATGCTTGGTAGGGTCTGAAGCACTCACATGATGGTTTTTGTACGTATCGGTACAAGTTCATAAATTGCACGACTGATAGCCTTCGATAAGTCCACCCACTTAGCTGCCCCCAAATGGCTGAAATCCGTCGATGCTCACAAACTTGCGAAGAAAAGCAATCAGGCGAGGAAGGACTCATCGAAGCAGCGCCCTTACCGACATCTCTTCCAAAAACACAGCTAGCAATCCTTCTCCTTGTCCAGATGCCCGAGCAGCTGACAGCCTCTGTGATATATCCCTTTGTGAACCAGCTAGTCATGTCAACAGGTATCACAGGTGGAGATGACCGTAAAACAGGCTACTATGCAGGCTTGATTGTCTGTTGTTTCTCAATGGCCGCTGGCCCATTGCTGACGAACTTATCTTACTAGGAATCCTTGTATTATGCAGTCGAGGCTGTCACGATTCTGCAATGGGGTCGCGTATCTGACCACATTGGAAGGAAGCCAGTGATTCTCGTTGGGCTTTTCGGGATTACATTGTCTATCGTCTCCTTTGGATTTTCGAATAAATTCTGGATGATTATCCTCAGCCGTTGTGCACAAGGTGCTCTCAACGGTAATATTGGCGTGGTCAAAAGCGCCATGACCGAGATCACTGACGCCTCCAACATGACGCGAGCATTCGCATGGCTACCGTTGGCATGGTCCACTGGTTATACGCTAGGGTTTGTTTAGTTGTTGACTATCATGTACGCCGTAAATTGATCGAGTTCTCAAGATTCCTTATTGGAGGGGTTCTCTCAGATCCAGCAACTAAATGGCCAAACTCCGTCGGACGCTACCCCTTATTCCATCGGTATCCTTATTTTTTGCCCTGCATCGTTTCCGCCAGCGTATCGATATCCTCCTGGATCATCACTTTACTATTTTTTAAAGAGGTGCAATAGTTCAGCTATCATAATCATGTATAGCGCTCACAGAAGGATTTCCTCAGTCTTCCTCCAAAAATAGGACCGTGAGCCATGGTGATAACACCAAAAAGTTGGCCATGCGGGCTGCCACAATCCACGACAAGCCTGCAGACACCCAGGTCGACGTACTACCTCGCATGCTAAACGAAGCAGAGATCGCCAGCCCAGTTTCCACTTCCCTTGAGTCTACAAGGACAAATTTTCGCTCCATTCTCATCCCAGGCGTCATAATACCAGTCTTGCACTATGGTTTGCTGAGCTTCGTTGACCAGTGTATGCTGGTATTAATGCCGCTCATGTATTCGACATCACGTTCACTCGGAGGGCTTGGGTTTAGTAGCACCACCATTGGGTTGGTGATGACGATCTGGACTATGTTGAACGGCACGATACAGGTTTATGCGTTCCCGCGATTGTTGAGACGATTTGGACCAAAGAGGTTGTATATCACAAGTTTCGCCTTCTTCCTCATAACATTTTCCACTTACCCGTTAATGAATTATATGGCTAGGCGCAAGATGGAAGCAGGGATGTGGTTGATTCTTTGCGTTCAACTCGGTGCATACATTGTTGCGTACAACACCTATAGTGAGTTGTCTCCCCCTCATACCTGCATTTTCGACGATAACTATCGTTAGGCTGTATTATTTTATATGTCAACAATGGGGCACCGAGCAGGGACTTACTGGGCGCGACAAATGGCTTAGCACAGACGCTAGGTTCCATGATGCGTGCTGTTGGGCCAATAACAGTATCTTCACTGTTCGCTCTGTCATTGCAGAAGAACCTCATAGGCGGAACAGCCGTATATTGGATAATGTGCACGATTGTCATATTGGTGCTCGGTTTCTCGACATATCTGCCAAAAAGTCTTACTTAGACATTGTTGTGGTACGAGTGAAGAAGTTACCTCCTAGATTTTTCAGTAGTCTGTAAATACTGCGTATAGAATATATCCAAAGGCGACCGCACAAGGTCTACTTGGACTACTACTAGTCGAATGTAAATGTAAACACCCGTGGTACAATATCGTAACTATATTCAGCGAGTGAGCATCGTGGGGCATTGTTTGTTCTTGTTGAATCCAGAGGCTGCTGACTAATGGAAATTGCCTTTGCTTTCAAAATTCGCTAATCACAACACGTTTGTACAATCCACCAAACTGCAGCGAAATCGGGAAAGCTTTCACACACGTCACCTGCTTCAAACAAAGTCGGGAACATGGGGAGATAGATTTTCTTTGTACTGCGCGAACGCCACTGCAAGCAAGATCTTTGAACTTCGAACTTGTGCCACGAAGCAGCCGCACTCCCGGGCCCAGGTCTCAAGGCAGATACCACGTGTTTCTCTTGGCAAGTCTTTTGTTCCATCTGCCATGAATTTGTCATGAATGGCGTTGAAACAGGGTTGTAATTATCCGAGTCTGTATGTATTATTTTAATCACACCACACGATGACCACGAGGCTCAAATTTCAAATCCGATATCGTTGACGGTTTATCTCGCATCTACTCATCGATCTCGCTAGATAGCTTGAATGAAAAGCTGGTAGGGTTCCGAATTTCCCCCACGAGCCTTACCACTGCGACGTTCTGCCTTACGAGCGCGTTTCTCCTGGCGTCTCTCCGCCTTAGCCTCCCTTTTCGCGGCCCGACGCTGTCTTTTATCAAACTTGTGCGATGCAGACGGCCCATGCCTGCGGTGGCTCCTGTCATCCTCAGAGTCCGACGAGGAAGACGAAGACGAAGAAGACGAGTCACTCGAGGCTCGACGACGGAGGCCATTTGCCATCTGGAGCTGGCCATAATCACCAGGCGGGGCCGCACCCTCACGGCCGCTCAAGCGCTCGGACCCTTGGCAGAGAGTGGCTTCCATTTTGCGAGGTCCGAAGAAGTACTGAAGAACGATGGTAAATAGTCTGATGGTATTTCGTAAGACTTATACTGACATAGTTCCAGTTATCAACGACGTCTCCCGCCGCATTGCGATTCTTTGCTTTCATTCGTTTCTCGATGCCTCTAGTCATGAACAAACCGCCTAGGAGTGTAGATATGGGATCATTTCCTGCATGACTTGTTGGGCTACGTACCGACAAGACCGATGCCTGTCACCAAGGGTATGACATTCGATTTGATGCGTTGTCCTCCAGATAATGAACCTGCTTTCTTAATGTCTGCCAGGAATCTGAAGACCTTATAGATCAACCTAAATGGGACGGCGTTATGAAAAGTCTACGGACCGTTTCCAATCCTCCTCCAAGATATCATGCGTCACAAATGGGTGAACACATAGTTGGCATGGGGGAGGCACCTCAGGGAAGCCTTTGCTCAGGTCTGTTCCGTTTGAGATGAGACACATGGGAGGGAACTGGTCGCGAGGCAGGTGCTGAGGCGGTTGACGGCGCCACATTGGCGGAGGGCCCGTGTTACCAAAGAATGAATCTAGGGATAACCCTCTACTCTCTTCATTGGGGGAAGATGCACGATCTTGTGGCACAGCGCCCGGAGTCTGGCTATATGGGCTCAGACTGTTGTTTGGCTGGTATAAAGGATAATTTGATGGTCCTGCCCTGTCACGGTCACGGGAATATCTGGCTCCTGGGGAAGCCATATCGTATGCTGGGTACTCCCCGCCTTTTTGGTCGTAACGACCAGCTGGTGGGGATTGATCTCCTTGAGGATATCCTGGAGGAAGTTGGGATGCTGAACCCAGAGGTGCATGGTACGTTTGCGGCTGAGGGTTGTACCCTTGGTACGTGCTGTCGCGCGGAGCATAAGGTGACTCATGCGTGTATGCAGGGGGTGGGCCCAAAGGTGCCTGGTATTGATTCTGTTGCTGCTGAGGGGTTGTGACAGGGGGCTGTATATAGCTTGCATACGGGTTGTTGGATTTTTCGTCAGGGTATTGAGTCATGGTTGGTATGCAGAAATAATGTGGGGCTTCAAATATATAATCGCCCCATAGAATCCCCGTGTTGGTTTTATACGTACGATCCTAGACCCTATAAAAAGATGCTTACGGCTTCATGTGCCACACCGCAGTGGGGCTTTATGGCAACGCAATGGCAGTGCACTGGAAACACCAATCTTTTATCCACTAATCCGACTTATGAGGGACTGCGGAACGAAGCGCGTTCGGCAGGCCGCAGCGCCGTCACAGCATATGACAGCTATTTTCACATCGATAAGATTTTACACCATGACAACTCACTGACATCGTTTACCTTTGGAGTGTGCCAGCAGCAACTGCAGAGCACGCCTAGCCCGTGTGCGAAGAATCAAGCTCACACTGTGAGACTACTACATCACTAATCCATTCTTCTCATCTCGTGGACTCGGACTGCAGATGATCCATGCTATGATCGCCTACACGCATCTCGCGGCCTCTCACATCTTAGATCTCAGTCCTCTCATTCAGATGCCGTCGAGGTGTATCACAATGCTGTTTTTCACGAGCAGCACAGCTGGCAACTAGATAAGGCTCTCTAGCTGGCATTTCGTCCTTGATCCGAACGTAGTTTATTTGACAGAAACGCACTAAGTAGAGATCCAAGTTGCCGGTTGGAAGTGGAGCATGCTAAAATCACAGGGTAGTAGCGTCGTGGAGCCCAGGTAGTGCGATCGCTAACCAAGTGGGCTACTAACCGTAACTAGTCATCGTATCAGCCAGTCCATGTACTCAGAGGAGCTTCAAGTTTTCAATGGCTAGCCCGAACACAGTGGTCGAATTTAAAAATCTGTGACATGACTTGAATCATAACAGCGCCTACACACCTAGTCCTCAACTCCATTTTTTAGGATCTCCAATCAGACTCGAGCCAATTTTATACTGTCAGACACCCGCGATTTTTTCACCCACTGTCGAAAGCCAAAATCTGCAAGCATAATGCATTTGAATCCATCCAGGTAACGAAGTGGCACCAGGTGTAAATTAAATGCACAAACGACATGGAGAGGGACTCACAGACAACAGGTTCGCCGGGCGGCGTAAATTTCAGGGCACAAGTACTGTCACGCAGGAGGTAAGAAACGTGATAGAGTTTCTCGACAGACTGGCCAAAACTGTCGGGATTCGCCACCAGATGAAAAATGGCATTAATGGGGCCGGAGGCCAGAAGAATGCACGCAAGCTAAGTATAGAGTGAGTATGATAATTAGGAAAATGATGTAACCTCCCCACCCTTAGCTTTCAAGTCATCCTCGGTCACATTGGAAAAGCCAACGACCGAAGGAGTGTCCATCGATGAGGCTTCAGCGAGGTTACTAGAAGAATTGGAAGTGGATCAAGTCATATCGTTCTGATGTGTGTGCTCCTGTTTTATGTCGATGCCGAGGCGGAACAAAAAAAAACGTTTGCTTTCGATTGCAAGACCCGGGCACCGGATAGAGACGTCAACAGAGAGAGCTCTAGAACACCCCGTAGCGGAAAACCAGGAGTGGCCCACCGAGGTGCGCATAACGTCGAAAAAAGGGACTCGGTGAGAACTGAATGACAGACGCAAAGACAACTTGACAAGCCTCTAGCAAATAAAGTGTCAAATGATCGTAACCGAATAGGGTAGCTGGCAGAGGTTTTGGGAGCTCCGGAAAACCGATCCTGTTCGACAAGAGCCATCCTCCACTAACGTCGTTAGGGTTCGGGGTCGCAGGGACAATCAGGGAAGACGGGAAGGCGGCTGTTTGTTTCGTTCCGAAACTAAACAAAAGTAATGAGCTTGTAAATTGAAATCTGGCCTATCGATTTGGAAATAGATGGAAAATATCAATTGAAATCCGGCCAAACTTAGTAGTGATCCTCATCGTGGGGACAACATATTGCGATAAAACATGAAGTAGAATGTAGCGTATTACAGTGTCGTATGGTTGGAAGCAAGATGGCAAATTTTGCTCCTATGGACGTAATCGATCGATGGAATGACGTTAAGCCTATCAAGGGAATGGTATGCATGAGTAAGGGAATATTGCGTGTGCACGAGTCTCCTATCACGATGAGTAAATTCGTGAAATTTGGATGATTCGGTGGATGCGGTATGGAATAATAGATATTGGTGATAGATTGTCGCGTCTAAGATCGAGTAAGCCTTTGAAATTCGATGGAAATAATCAAACACGTACCGAAGTGCCGATAGCTATGTCCTCCGCCAGGACCTCAAGAACCCAAGAAAAAGCGTATACCAATTCAAAACTGATGTCAAATACGTCACAAAGTCCAGTTAACAAAGAATCATCACCTACGTCGACCGGCGACTATCCTCAAAACCTTGCCAACAGACGAACTTTGTATATTGTCTCGATCTGGCAGATTACCTGGCCGCAGCTGATAGGACGATATTCAGTAAGCAAACGTGCCCCTGACGGTGTAGGCGAGTGAAGACCGACGTCAAGTTTATTATGGCCACCATTAGGCCTAGGACCAGAGGCTGGTGCACCCGCAGCCGGTACTTCTGGAGTACGACCGCCATACGTTATCACCCCGTTTTGATCGGCTGTTTCCCTCACTTGGATCCGTCCTAGAGCCAGAAGCACAAACGGCATGTGCTGAAGGCTGGCGACGGCGTACAGTGATTTCCGAGTCGGACACAGGGTAGGCGTCTACCTCGGTAAACCCCACACTGCCGGGAGAAAGCTTCCGGCCGCGTGTTTGAGTGTCGCTGAGGTCACTTTGTTGACTTTCTGCAGAGGCCTGGCGCTGGAGGCTAAGACTCCAGAAACTCCGTTTATTCGCCAGGCTAGGTGGGACGGGTGGTTCTCGCGCAGCCACGGACCGTAACTTCGGATGGGTTCTGACTTTTTTGGGGGGAGGGGCAGTGAGAGGGAAGGATTTTACGACTTGTGCAGGCCACGAAGGCCAGATGGAATTGGATGGAGATGTGATTGTAATTGAAGAGGAAAGTGGTAAAAACGGATCGCTTGATGTACCTTGGGTGGGAGGGAAAGGGTATTCATAGCGCTGTGTCCCAAAATCAAAGGGAGTCCCAGTAACCTGAAGGGTCCCAAACAAATGTCAGGATCGTGCAGTTCTTCGAGAACATATATATTAATCGAGAACAACGAGAACAGGGTTTAGGTGATTATGACCGCCACTCCACTGCACGTGTCTTGGATCAATCATAGTAGAAACTTACCTCCCCGGAGGAGCTAGATGATAAACTGAATCCAGAGTCCGAGTGAGATGCCTCAGATGGAGAAACCTGGGGAGGAGGAGTCGGGGCATGTTCCTCATGGACGATCTGGCCTGGACAGGGCAGCGAGGACACCTCTTCTGCGTATTGGGTCACCTGGGACTGCACTGTCGCTGTCCTTGCGTCACTTAAGTGTGACATTCAGTAGGCAAATTTGAGTGTCGACAGAGGAGGAAGAAGACGGAGAACCCGTCTCAAGCAAGTCAGCGGACCATTTACATTTCCTGCAAACGCTGGCGGAACGTGTGCGGGGAATGTGACGCTGTGCGTGGGCCACGATCTTGTCCTCATCAGTCACGTCACTCTCTAGAAATTTCCGGGTCCACTCACTTCTTTGTCCAGAGCCCAGACCTTCGTTGACTGCAGCAAAGTTTTATCGTAAATGACACAAAACGACATTGCTCCGAATCCGACGTGGTACAAGGGTAGTTTCAGCTGACTCGTTATGAAAAAGGATATCAACGATCGCAGAAAAATCTGTTAGATAGCCAAGTGGATGACAGTTTGATGCACGACGGCCTATACACTACCTGGAGGTTTCGGGTGATTAGTTACTTGTGACGCGGTGATGTCTTGAATTTCGTTACGTTTACAGAACGTATTCAATTGCTAATATTATGTGGCTGACTAGGAGCATGATGTAAAAGCCAGCCTCTCATAGACCGCTCAAAGCGATTAAGCTTTGGCCATCATTTTCATAACGAACTATCACTGTCCTTACTTTGAAAGCAAATCATGCCTGTACGTCGGATCGACCCACCTCAACAGCCTCCAGGCTTCTTCTTACGTTTCTGGCTTTTCTTCGTCAAACTCGCCCACTCATTCACAGGCTTGTTCAAGTCAAAGGCTCCTTCTACAACATTGCCAACGCCGGTGACAGCGGGAAGCCGGACCGTCCATCACAAACCTCCTGTCCCCAGACGACTCGAGCTAGTGGATACCAATCTATCTAACAGGCGCCCTCCTCAGCGAAACTCCCAGAAAAAAGGGCTTTCAAGTCAGTCTCCAGTAATGCATACTATGGCAGCAGAAATCTACCAAGGCACCCTTTATCATAATGGTACCGGTAATCAGAATGAAGACTTGCGAACCAAGAAACATGCAACCTCCTCGTTTTCCGGTGTCATCGGAGGAATTTCTCCTAGTCGTGTATCCGAGGGTGGCGTTCTTCGTACACCAACTTCGCTCCGCAGTTTCGTCCAGCCTTTAGATCGGGATTTGAGACGTTGCAACAGCGTCACGCCTGTTGTAGCCGAGATATGGAGCCCAGCTTTGGTATCGAGCAGCCCTTTTCCACTCCGAAGGCTCTCATTGCGTATCACTTCCATCACAAACGGCTCGGTTCTGAGCTTAAGCCCAGTGAACCCTCGTTTAGCCAATATGCCTCGTTCAACTGGTCCTCGTCTTCGCATCTCTTCGTCAGCGAGATTCATGCAAGTGAACACATCTGAGTCGGTTCACAGCTTCAGTGCATCTCCGTTCGCAGTCCGACGTGGGTTCTCAGGAGCATCTGTGAAGATACCTCACCCCTCGATCCGTCTGGAATCCCCTTGGAGCCCCTCAGACAAGACGCTACCTTATGATGTGTGGATGAATTCAGAAGGCGTCCTAGCCAACGTTCAAGGCCCTGTCTCCGTCTCACTCAATGCTACGAAATCTTCCCAAGATGAAGTTGTAGTCCTCCAACATGGACCTTACACGACGCTTCCATGTGCTCCTTCTTCTCGGTTCTCGGACGACGAAGACGACTTTATATCCATGTATTCGAATATCTTCGACCTTCCGGAAGAAGAGAAATATGAAGAAGAAGGATCCAGCAAGGCACATCTCAAGGTGACTCCTTCGATGTCAATGGTGCAGACAAGGGCTCTCCTCCCGGCGGAGCCGCAGCTGTTTTGGTGACGACAACTCCTGTCGATGACTCCGCTGTTATCAAACGTGATGCTTCCCAGAATTCTGCGGAGGATGTTGAGTTCGAGGACTCGGACAAAAGTGGCACGTCATCCGAGCTCGAAGAGGGTTTCTTCTGTGTCATCTCTCAGTCAAAGTTTGATCTGACCTCGGATGACCATACGTCTGGTCTCACCTACATCCCTTCTTCGAAGCATCGAGAATTACAATCGATCAGCGTTGCAACCGAGCTTGTTGATCGCCCCGATCGCGCCACCAAACGTTTCTCGGTTCCATGTCTCCATTCCATTCGGAAATTTGATCAGAGCCCGCTTCGCACCTCGACCTCGGACTCTTCCCCTTCCAAACATTTTCTCGTTGCAGAAAGCAGAAGCTTGAGAGCACTCGCTGACCTTATCTCTTTGCTTGATTTTTCTGCGATGGAGGCTGCGGAGACTACTGGGGTTCCTGAGATCCGTGGGTAAACCTTGTTTAGTACGGGCCGATTGACGACTTCTGCTGTATGTTTCCAGTCTTTACTCTGTTCGATCCGGTTATTCTGAAATCTGAAACGTTATGGAACACTGAGTCTTTTTTTTTTCGTTTCAGTCATATTAAGATCAGGTAGTCACAAACGATCGCAATTCATCTCACTACTGATATACCATGTACTTATAGCACAATACTGTGTTTCCAAACGTGACGGATAGCCCGGGGTCTCTGAGAACACGGTGGTCATGCGCTATAGAGAGGTCAGACTTCGTGTTTCCAGAAGGCTTTTCATCAAAACTGGCCAAGTTAACATGTGAACAAGAAGATGTTAGCTGCGCCGGCGCCTCCTCTTCGATCGGACGTGCATCGAGTTCTGTGAAAATGTAGGCTGGTGCTGCGTATAAAAACAATAACTACAACGTGCTACAATATTAAGTGACGATCATCGTCTAACGGTGGCTCGAAGCAAGTTCGAAGTAGATGTACCAAGTGATAATCGCAATCTGATAACACCCAAAAAGGAGTTCGGAACTTCCCACATTATCTCTTGACCCATTACGTCTTCGAATTCTGGAAGGCTTCAAACTCAAATACTACTGCGCACAGTCTTTCCTTCATCCCACCTCAAAACATGTTCTCATCTTTCTTTTCGTGAGTTGGAAGTTTTGATCTGTGACTTTGGTCTAAAGGATTTTGTAGAACCGCACCCCCTGTCGATCCGAAGGCTCCCAACTTGTTCCCTGTCTCGGAGAGTTCAGATCTTCTCGGGGAGTTAGAGGCGAAGGATCTTGAGTGGACATGTGCAGGAGGCTTCGCAACGGAGACTCAGATATTTTATCAATTCCTACAGGATGGGACGATGTTGATGTGTCAAGTGATCCACTCGTCAATCGGGTGAGCATTTTGTTCGTTTATGCTTGTTCGATTTGACTCATATTATTCGGCAGCTTGTGGTATCCTACCATTCAGTTTACATGCAAGATTTACAACCCCGCAACGAAAGAAACGATTTGGCGTTCTCTCAATGTTACAAACTTTACAACCGCTCCCCCTGGTCTTGACAAGAGATCTAGCAAGGCAGATCAATTCTCTATCACCCACAAGCCTTCCTCAGATGATTCTCATCCTGAAATGTACACAATTCGCGCAAACCTCTCAGACGATTTGCAGATATCACTCGATGTCTCACGGCCCTCTGCTGTACCCGGGTTCAAGATTGGCAAGGGGCCAAAAGGGGGATACTCGTACTTTGGGTCAGATCAACAGAAACCAGATGGCTACGTCGTTCATCGCTTCTGGCCTCGTACTAAAGTCAGTGGTCACATCACCCACAACGGCCATGCAATCGTTGCCGAGGGTCATGGCATGCTCGTTCATGCTATCCAAGGCATGCGTCCAAACTTGATTGCATCGCGATGGAATTTCGCGAACTTCCAAAGCGACGCCTATGGTGGCGTGTCTGCAGTTCAAATGGAATTCACAACTTTGGATTCCCATGGACCCTACGGACATGGCTCCGGCGGAGTTGCAGTCAACGTTGGTTCATTAGTGCTTGGTGGGAAGCTGGCTGTGGTCACAGCGGAAACTAAATGGCCAGGCGAAGAACAGTCTGTGAAGGCTGTAATGTCGCGTGCCCATCACCTCAACCCTGTCCATGATCCGGATACTAGCTACATGCAGCCTACTGCACTTGAGTTCCGCTGGGCAGGCCCGTCCCTGCTGCAGGGTGTGGACGGTTCTGTCGATGCATCTGTGCATCTTGATGTTGGCAGTCCGTCTTCACCTAAGGGGTTAATCGAGAAGGTGGACGTCCTCGCAGAGATCCCGTATGTGATCAAGACGATGGTCAATTACGTTGCAGGCACAAAGCCATACATTTATCAGGTAATTGGGAGGTCTTACATTCGACTTATCCGATAGCTGACAGTAATATGGTAGTGGCAAGACAATGTCAAGCTTGTTGTACGTGGTCCAGATGCAATTATCCCGGGGCTTTCCGAAGGATTAGATGTAGAAGGGGTGCTGTACACAGAAGCCTCGTTCATATCTTAGATGCCTAGTCATTTTCACATCTACATTTTCCCCTGCGTATGAGTATACTGTTGCTTTAATGTAATCTAGTGGAAGGCTCGGCATTCTTTTGACTTCTGAGGATGTGACCTGTCCCCAACACCCCTTAGCTTGATCATGAGGACAAACGAAAAGCTGTGCTAGTTTTTTCCATGCTTTCATGTTGACTTGAGTCACTGACCGAGAGGTGCGCACATCATTGACTAAAAACTTGAAGCGTTGGACTCTTTGTTGTGGTGAGCATATCGGCTCGGCCTCGTTCTTCGGCCAACCGACATTCTCATCGCTGGGGTATGCCAATTAGGGATGAAGACAACGTAGTCTAGGATGGTGCATGGATTGGACCGCAAATAACTGACTTATATCTTCAGCAAATCGCACGAGGCAAAGCAAAATCAGTTCAGCGCGGTGTTGGGGAGTTGGAGCGCAAGCGCCATTACGATATGATTAACTTCCTAGGCGAATGTAAATGTAAATCACAGAGTAGATGCCCTTTCTTTTAAGCGGGTGACAAAAGAGCAAGAAAAATGTACCGGCTGGCTGAGGGGCGGCGATAGTCAGGAATAGACAAGAGAGTATAATGGTTTCACGCACATGGCTATACCGGCAGTAAATTCTTTCTTCAAATTGATTTCTTCCCCCAAGATATCCTTCGACTTCACAATGCGAAACGTCGCGAGAATATTCACGATGGCGATCCAGATCACCCCCTCTGCTGTGAATCTCCCTGGGCCTGTAGTCAATCTTGTGAGCTGCCTGATTGAAGCCTCGATCATGATCAGGATTGCATACATATGCGACGACCGAGCCCGAAAATTGGGTCAGCGGAGATGGGCTGGGGGTTCGAGTTGTTTTCGGCTGTGATGTGCCGCTCAGGCCTAAACTCTTCAACGTCGGGCCCGTGTTTTAATTCATCTCTGCTCATTGCCCTTCACGAGTAATATCAGCCAGTGTTACAAATACCCGAGTTCCTCATACAAACCAAACGTTGTTTATAACCAATGCGCCTGTAGTATTTATTTTAGTCAGTTCTGAGGACTTGATAAATTTGTTCTCACCCTTAGGAATGAAGCGACCATCATAGACGTCGTCCTTTGAAGTAGCATGGGGTATACCTGTCCCCACGTCAGCAACAAGAAACCCGAGCTTAATGAAAGCTACTAACCCAGAGGAACCACAGGAATCCATCTCAGCAGCTCCCGAAGGATCGCATCGACATACGGTAGCAGTGGTCGGTCGTTGAATTCTGGCAATCTGTTAGTCGCCCCTATGACAGAATCGATTTCCGCTTGACCCTTCGCCTGCACCTCTGGATAGAGAATCATGGCGAGAATGAATGTATGCAGCATCGCTGAGCTCTTTGACCTACTTGTGAATAATAGCACTCCCAGTAAGGAAAAAATATTCACCGATTCAAAACCAGCTGCGATGAGATTTACAGAATATTTAGTATATGCCCAGGACACGGATCACAGATGGAAAGTTACCTATAAAAGCAGTAGCCGCCGCCGCTTTTATAGCAGTTTCTTGTTTATGTTGGTCGTCCTTCTCGTCAATCTGAGCTAAGCAATCAGATACCATGGAATGAGTCGCCACCCCGGCAGCCTAGTGTGTGCACGTGATCATTGAGCATCACTCGGATGGCTGAGGACATACAATATTTTTCTTGACCAGATTGAACGGCACATTAAGTACTTGTCCTGCTAATTCCCTCGCACGAGCAGCGTCACGTTGGCATCCTGGACCAGGGAGCCACGCAGGTAGGCGAGTGACTAACACGAATGAGCGATGTTCTGGTACAGGCTTTGTTTGCTCACGTATTGGAAAAGCAGACAAGATGGCGCTACGCTCAGGGGAGAGTGCCTTTGCGAGTATATCGACGAGTTCTTTGACATTGGCAACCATCGGATCGTTGCGCGGAGCTACATCGTACCCGTAGGTAAATGCCATAACGTTCGAAGCGACAAATCTGGATGATTATATGTTAAGTTTCTTCGTGTTTGCGACATGATTTACCTCTGGATATGGATTTCAAAATGTGATGGATCATCAAGCAGATCCTTCAGCAATGATCGAACTCTACTCGTATGGATGTCATGATAGCGTGATGCACTCTCTGAGCGAAGCGCATGGTGGAACATCTTGCGGTGAAGCTTCCAATCACTGCCATGGTAAGGCAGCATGACAGTACTAAAATCAACGCCAAAACTGGATTATGATGAGCGTTAAATAGTGGTCAAAATATAGACCAAAGCATACAGCTTGTTTGTTGCAATAAAGGGGCGATCGGAGTATATGGCGGAACGTTGATCCATGAGTGCTCTTGCAACTTTTTCCGAATTGACTACGATAAAGTCGAAGCCAAGGAGGCGGAAATAGATTAGATCGCCTGTATTGGGGTAAGCACGTCCCATTTTTTAGAATGTACCCGCTGCACACCATATTTTTTCCTCCAGTGTGTATATGTTAGCCATGGTCGAGTGATATTCAATTGGAAGAAGTTGCCCATTATCGGAAGCGGTTTCGGACCTGGGGGGAGTGGTAGTCTAGCGATTCTCTTAAACCTTGAAATGACCAAGGCAATAAGAACAACACAGGCTGCTAACACCCAGGCATTGGTGTTGATGAGACCATTCATATTTGTGGGGAGATGACACGAGTAGCATATGCAATTTATACGTTTCTTGTAGACCCTTCGGTGGAGAATCGTGGTCAGCAGTAAATGTTTCTTTTCAGTGATCAGTATTTAACTCAAGGCATAAATATTTACTCAAGAATGTTAGTCCTGCAGCTGAGGTCGAGGAATAGATCAACGATTTGATGCGTGATTCAAGGAATCAACATCATTCTCGTGCCGATTGCCACGGTAGACGGACTGAGCGACATGGATCGGTTTCTGAAAGACTGATGTATTGAGCAGGGAACTTTCCCCACAAGTACTCTGGGGGTGAACAGTGAACACATCAGTGTCTCTTGATATTATTAGAATAATATTACCCCCGATAAGTCATCACCTCTTGCAAAACCCACTCAATAGTTGACGCAACATATCATTTGATTGAGGAATCGCACTGGATTCCAGGTCGTGTCACGCGGACACGAGCTGCCATTTGAAGCCTGAGTTTAGTGTCCGTTTGACCGTTCGATCATTTGTTGGTAGGTGACGGCACTGGCCGGTCGGTTAGCATCAAGGCCAATCTTGTAGTAGGAATGACCAACCCCGCCATTGCTGACCTTGAAAACGATCCGCGCTTCAAGACTTGGTCCAAGCAAATCGCGCATAACCACCGCGCCCGTGGTAGCCGCAGACGGTTCCTCTGCTTTCCACAGCCGCCCGAAGCTAGCAGCAGCACCCCTCATCAATCCACAACGGCGGTACAAAATTCCATACAAATGAGTCGAATGACTTTTGAATTCAGCATGAGCTACCTGTGTTGGCTTCTGTGAACCGGAAAACAGAACGCACGCGACATCGCCATTAGTCCCCTTGAATTGTTATGCGCTCTCCCATATCGTCGATGAAACCTCGCCAAGAATGCTCAATATTTTATGCAAGATTGTGCCAAATCATGGCACAAGCAATTCCTCGGACGGGCGTTTAGCTCATTTCAAAAGTAAGCGAAGACATCTTACAGATTAGCCCTAGGTAAACCACCCTTTCCATGATTACTCCGCGGAATTCAGAGATTTTTCAGAGATTTTATGACATCGTACACCCCTGGTGAGTAATAAACTAAAAAGTCTGAATCGAAATGGTCATCAGTAACAAGATCCTGAAGATTGTAAGCCAGGTACTCACGGGTCCGAAGGACTCCGATCTCTTCCCCTTGTTATCCCGACCAGGGATTTGACTGCTTGAACCCGGATCAGCGATGTAGGTGATCTGAAATCGATGATCGATAAATTGCTCCGGAGTCCAGACAGAGTGCCATAGCGGAAGAGAAAGATGGTCGTGCAGGTGTTGCTCCGAGGGGAACTCCATTCGACGTCTCTACAACCTTCCACCTTCTGCTGTAAGGAGCGCTCTCATGTACATAAGTGATAGTGTCGTAGCTATCACGTAAAACGGGACAAAAGGAGCCTCGGATATTACGGTTTTGAAGTTGACGTAGGTTGGTGTTCATCGAAAGCAACTGGGTGACTCCAGGAATGTGACGCAACTCAGGATGGCGACGCGCTGATCTTTGTATCTGAACCTTAACCAAAGCAACGCCTGGTTAAAATTTAGATACAGAGGTCGATAAGACTGGGTAGAAAGTCTGAGAGCTTTGGGTTGAGGATACGAAGCACAGAATATGTTGCTCGTCATCGCGGGATGGTCAGCAAAAGCGGATTCAAACATGCCACAGAATGCTATTTTGCAAGGAAATGGTGAAAGATCCGACAGCAAATCTTTTCTCTGTGTCATCAAAAGATGCAACGACCACTCAGTGACAGTACATGCTTCCGAACAACTGAAATTCGAGTTCGTGTCGCAAAAGCGGAGGGGTAGCGGGGATTTGGCCTTGCTCGGGCCCCGAAAGTCAATTGGGACATCTTCAGCAGTCTTCAGCGCTCAGCTGGCAATTGCGGTGACACCCTTTGACACCTGGTAAGGACTTCAATTTTAGATGCGACTATATATATATTCAACTTACCGTGATCTCCGCAACACGTATGATTTGATCAAATAAAGCTGGTAGGCCCCAGCCACATCGATAGCAAAGGTGGACGATCGGCGATGATCAGCAGCATCTAAGTAAACATTAATAGGCGGCCACTGGTCATGGCACATGATGGCAGAGACTCGACTCAAAGTTCAACGTTCAACCCGCAAAGCTAATAATAACCTAGTATGATTAAAACCGCGCATGAGGGATGGTCGATTATTCATGTAGACCTCCTGGTGTTGATTTTTCGAGCGCTCTGACATGGATGGTGGAAGCAGGCTATTAGGAAGCCTTGAAGCTTGACGTTGCTACGGAAGCCTAACGTTAGTAACTGCGGCACAGCCAAACCGAAGCACAGCCACAAATACTGTCTCTGACTTTGATAGCGGCACCGCAGCTTGAGCGCCATCAAACTCTATAACTTGGGGAAATACACTTGTTCGACAGAACCATGTACAATGTTTCGCCCAGCATTGAGAGTCACGTCCAGAGTTCCTTCAATTTCCTCGATGTCCTGGCGCTTCCCTTCAGCTGGCGTTCGAGCGGCAAGAGTAGTAGTAACAGCACGTTCAAGTTCATATCATTCCGCGCCAAAACCCAGCGGTCTTATCCTTGGCCAAGTTCACATATGTAGTAGGAGGCAAATATGGCATGCACAGAGAGGAGTTGCACCATTTCATTCTTCTGGGCCGAACCAGGGACTTCCTCTCATACCGATTCTACTGGGTGCATTCAAGGCATGTTCACCTGAATAATTCTTGCGAGTCCTATACTTAGTTTTGCAGGCCTCGACTACTGTGGAGGTAGTGCGCACCGCTGCCCGTATTGCGCTTACGTTCCTGCCCCTCATCTTTTTCAAAAATCGCTGGTCAAAGAAATACCTCAAGCATCACGATAAATTTCATCCTGGTGTACTGGTCGATGAAGAGAAAAAGGCCGAAATTCTCAAACGTATACGTGCAAGGACACTTGTTTTTAATGTGCTTCTTTTTGTCCCTTTCACATTATTCTGGTTGGCAATTCTAGCAAGCGCCGAGCAGACACCTATCACAGGACGGTACGTCATGGATAAATTATTGAATATTTGCCTATCAGCTGAGTTGATTTACAGATGGCGGCTCATCATTCTATCTCCTGAAGAGGAGGATGAGATAGCTGCGCAGCTCAGAGGCCCAAATTGGTATCATACTGTCACAGAAATTCTCTCGATAGACGGTCCGCCCAAGTTGATTCCAACCACTGATTGGCGATACCAGTGGGTACGTGACACCTTACGGCGATTGGAGGCTGGCATTCCCGTATTACAGCGTGAACAAGAGCTAGCTTCACATTGGTTAGATGCAACTCCTGATCAGCCGCCATTACCTCCACCTGCAGAGTATCCCCTACGGCCTCGACCCCGAGCCACGGACACTATGAGGAGGTGGTCGGAAGGGCTCTGTGGTCGAAGCTCACCTCATTCGGCTCATGTCATCGCTGGACCACCATATTCACTTCTTATCGTTGACAAACACGACGCGGCTAACGCATTTTCGTACGGCTTTGGGCCAGATGGCGCTTGCGGCGTCGTGATTTACTCTGGATTCATTGACAACATCCTTTCCAAAGCTCCTCCATCAGCTTTCTCGTCTGGCTATACCCCACAGACTCTACCTGAAGAAAGCTCGTGGTGGACACGCCTTTTCGGTTCGCTCTTTATCTCACCATTATCCACATTACCACCCCATCCAGTGCCCACAGAGCAACAAACAGCCGAACTCGCCATTCTCCTTGCCCATGAAGTTGCACATCTCGTTCTCTCGCATCACCTTGAGACGCTCTCATCCGTCACTATCATGGTCCCTGCCTTGATTTCCATGTTTGCTGACTTCACGCGCACCCTCTTATTCCCCGTGACGATGTTGTTTGGGCCGTTTGTCAACGACGCAGTTGCCCAGCTGGGTAAAGTTGGTTCTGGGGAACTGACTAAAATAGGGGAATACTGCACTAGCGTGCACCAAGAGATAGAAGCGGATGTTGTATCCGCGAGGATCCTTGCGCATGCCGGGTTTGATGCGCGCCAAGCAGTAGCGTTCTGGGAACACAAACAGAATGCACCTCAAGCTGCCGAATGTACATTAACTGGTCGCCCGGAGACAAGCAATTCGAGTTGGGTGCTTGCCCGACAGATCACGGGCTCCTCGCATCCTGTGAATGAGGTTCGCATAGAGAAGCTCAAGAGCGAGCTCGTCCGATGGGAACTGGAAAAACGCGTCGCGGAGAAGAAGCGTATTATGGGAGAGCCAGAACGAAGCTCGATATTGGCATTTGTTTGAGATTAGAGTGTCGAAGCTTTAGGGCTACAAATTTGGGAAATGTTGTAATTTATTTGCCAACTGCAGTCCGTTCCTTTTGATATCTTTTATACACGATTTATCGTTAGCACACCTTGCTTTTAGTTTTACATTTAGGCAATGTTCTATGTACTCAATGCTCATATTGAAATCGTCATTCAGGTATTTAGGCCCTGTTGTCATTCCTTGGAAGCCAAATCCTTATTGGCGGGAGGCAGTACGGAAACGTCGTGCAGGTGCTGCAGGATTCACCCCTGACTCTGCGAAAGCAAGTACAGGTGCAGACGGGAGCGTTGGAGGGATAGGCAAGCGCGATACCATCAACTCCGGCCCCCAACTCTCAGGTATCCAATTCAGCAACAAGGAAGTCAAGGTCGACACAAGCAAGGCGTTTGCTGACGAAGAGACAAATATGATGGTAGAAGAACATGCAAAAGTAGACATTGCAGAAGAGACGGAAGACCAAAAAGCCCTTCGTGCGCTGCTAGCTGGGTATATGGAGGCGCCCCAGATTGAGTCTATTCCTGTTCCTCCCAGCAAAACCGACGACAAGACGTCGCTAATTTTCCAGATGTTGCTACTATTGACGGCTATGTGCATGTGCCAAATACTGCGTTTGCAGCCGCTATGCTCTGCGGCATGGATTGGGTGGACGGTGGGCTGTTACAAGCTCAGAAAGAGCGAAAAAGAATGCGCTGGTAGAGCCTTACCTACCGAAATCACGCCTTGCACTCTTGGGTATTGGAGCAAAGGAACAGGAGGTGCTGGATGACGGCAGTAAGAAGAAACGGAGGGGATGAGAAGCGGTATATCCTGTTTGTAAGACAGGAGAACGCAGGAATGGCAGTGCGACTGTTTCGAGCAGGGCTTCACGATCACCTGAGAGAAGGAGCGGACTGGGGGTAAGCAGTAGGAGATGGAATTAAAGACTTACATATTTGATAGTATGGTGAACGAAACATACCTATAGCAGGCGGGCGGGCACGCGTTGACGATCGTGATTCATGTAAGCCCAAGGTCCGCGTTATGAGAAAGCCGACAAAGATAAAAGGAGAGTGACTCTTCTCAAAAGCGAGTGATGGAACTTGGTGCAAGGCCTAGACACAGACACAAATGACGAGGGTAACAGCGTTGTTTGATAGTTGTGTCGATAACATTAATTCCTCGTCTCCGACTCGGAGGGAAGGTATGCCAAGTATATACGTATAGACAAGAGCTAGTGAGTATCAATTTCCGAAAGATATATCACTATTGGCAGTTGCAGTGTCATTGATGAAGGTAGATAGTAGACTCGTAACCAGTCTGACTATGCGTCTATATGCCAAGCTGGTCACGAGCCTAGAGGCTAGGTAGATACTAGATAGCACTTAGAGTGGCAGTCGCATAGATCCGGATGGACCCGGACAGCCAGCCTTACAAAGAATCTCCAAAAAAAGTCATACTAGCAGTAGTAGACCTTTCAACATCATTAAGAGCCTTCACGCACGATTCGGCACTCCTTCTCTGCAACTCAGATGGATATAGTGACCAGGTGTTCTCGCTAATCTGGCACATTATCAGCCATCTGGAGTTTCACGACTCCCTCTCGCTTCTTCTTCTGCTTTGCTCAAGCACATGATAGAGCCAGTGCGACCTGATCAAACTTCAAGTATGTATGTCAGTATCGTGGTTGGTGCATTACTGATACTTTCCAGGTGCACTTGGTGCCTTCCGATTTGAAGCCCCAGTTCTCTTCAACTATACTCCCCACTCAAAACATCTCATTTCATTTCCTTACCACACGCATTCATTTATGAAAGGACAGAGGCATATACTCACATCGTAAGTCTCTTTGTAAACCGTCATACTCGATATCGTCAAATCATGCTTGAACAGACGTGAATCAGCAATATCGTGCCAGTGATACCTGCAACAAGAATCATATATTCGATGATCTGATGCGACGCCTAATCACAATAATCTTTACCAATGGTTGCCGAGGACATCAACAGCCGACTTTCACCCTTCACGCATGTCTCATTACCACCTCCTTGCTGTCCTGATGGATGTTATGTGGGCATGCGAGTGTACAGCAGTCTAACGAAAATGTCTCTCTCAAATGAGCACCCGAGCGGATTCAGAGCACAGCCGTTTGTCTCCGTGTCCGTCTCTGGAGAGTCGAACCACGAGTCCGCACGATCCATTCCTTTTTCTTCTCTGTGGCCCAGACAGGTGTCGACGCATCTGAGACCAATGAGCCATCAGCCATCTGGGCTTCACGCTTCACGGTCACTTCTTCATCATCTGAGTGCTCGGACAGCAGAACTCCGCCAACACGTAGAATCAGCTGTCTGGGCATCAAGGACTAGGTTGTTGGCTAGACGTTTTCAGCTTGCCACTAGGTGCAAGTGTGGGCGGGCGGTTCGTTGACTTCCAGTAGATATAATTAAAGAAATGGGTTTGTCTACATAAACCTCGTCTTAAATATACTTTTGAAACACCATAACTAAAACAAATACTACGATGGATCCTCGACCAAATATCTCCTCCCTACAGAACACTCGGCAAGCATTTCCCTACACCATACTACTAGTTGGTACGTGTACGCGCTCCTGAAAGATAATTGAATTCATGCTAGTTTCTGCGTCGGAGTCGGCCACGAGTTTTACGTGATATTCTCGAATGCTAAGGATGAGGCGTGGTCCCAGCACAAACATCTGCACGCCAACTAAAATTTGAAGAGCACCATAGAGTATCCGACTTCCCATAGAATTTGACTTCTACAGAGGTGATGAGCAGTGGTTACAAGCAGATGTCGGTGACAGGTAGGCGCACCATGAGCTCTGGTGAGAGATCACCAAGCGCGAGACAAGAGACACCAACAAAGCTAGTATGTGCGGGACTTGAGCAAAAAAAAATAAGCACATTCACATTACAAGCTCACCATGCAAAATAAAACACGTGAGATTTTATCAGCACTTTGAAACTGTCCTCGATGGTCGATCCTGCCGATGGGCCGAGTCGTTGCAGGTCACGGAAGTGTACCACAGTAATCCAAACTGAAAGACACAGTGTGAGGACCTCCCAAACAGTGTTAAGCGTCCAAATGATTGAAAACAGAAGCTGGGTATCCTCGTCAAATCCGAAATCGCATATATGCGTTCCAGAGAGTATCAGCTCCTCTGGTGTTCATCCAATGAGCTATGTTCTTCAAGTCAACAAATAAAGCTTACTCGCTACAGCATCCTTGAGTGCTATTATCGCGATCACTCCGCAGGCGATGTTTATGACCAAGAAGATAATAACAAGGAAGATCAGCATCATCCTAGATCTCTGATACATGGCATGCAACCGAGCAATCATGATGACTTGCGTCGTATTTCAGTCGAGTCAATATCACTGAGCTATTGCAGCTCACCGCCCAGCATGGCAGTTACGACCACACTTGTCCCATTTATTATGTAGTCCAAAATATTGCCTGAAACACCCAATTAGTGATCACCTCGTACCAGGACCAAACACTCCGACTCACACCTATTGAGTCATTATATTGAGCCAAGTTCAATGGCCAGAATCTCACTCACCCCTACAAATGAATGTATTCAGTGGATGGGAATGAGATGGTTGCAGATTACTCACTGCATCCGTCAGCAAGACCAATGACATATTTCCTGTGTGCCACTGGTCAGAAAAATCGAACACAGGGCATATGAGACATACCCATAATATTGACACTAATTGTCAGAGATGAGCTGTTAGCACAGCACCAGTTTGTTGGTCTCGAACACATACATAGAATATGATATTCCAATATAGCGTATCTAGAACATTTTTCAGTGAGCATAACTTGCCAACCAACCATGCTATAGCATAACATGAGGTACGAACAGCGAGATACAACACAGTCATCAGAGACCAGCGGCGTTGCCTCTGATATGGGACTCTGTCACTCACCCAGATCAATTCAATCTGACAACATTCTTAGCAAGTTGGCTGCTCCGGCAATAGCACCGACCTACCTCTTGTCCGAGTGATAGTACTGGAAATATCATGAGAATATCAGCGGTTTCCGAACACTGTCTTGCTCACACCAATCATATACCACAACGACACCGGCGGCAACTGCGAAACCGCAAGTCAATGTTAGATCGAGACATCACCAACTGATACGACAAACCTATCCAATAGCTTGCAAAAATATACGAATTGATTATCGGCCACAAAATGGGATCATTTGAGACTACGGTCATATTCGAGGGATTGGTGTGAGCGAGTTGGGGATGTTGGGGATGTATAACAATCTAGCATTCGTCCTAGATATATCACCGTTCAGCGCTTGTATCGCATGATGGTGAAAATCTATGCCCGCCTCAGGGAGCTTGATCGGTTGAAGCAAGTATTGCGATGCGAAATCAAGTAAAAGTTGAAGTCTTTGCAAATTAATGAATCTAAACCTTCGTGAACCTCGTGCTCAGATAAGTGGACCCAATACAATGGCCTACCGCCACAGAGAGAAATTATCCACCGGGGACGAGAGCGCTACAACGAAGTAAATGCTTATGAAATATATGTACAGTGCGGGAGACTGACTGCCACTTCATGATATGCTCTCTTAAGGTACCATATGCGCGAGTCTCTGAATTTGGTCTCAATACCAGTGGCACAGAGCCGAGATAGAAGAAGAGTATAGCATAGAAGACTAGAAGAAGCACAGAAATGAAAGTGCTTGAAGCGCTGGTCTGTTGATCTGGGTTTGAAGTTGTATTACCATCGATCTACTAACCATTTATGGCAATGCAATGCAGCTAGACTTTGACGCTATCTATTTACCGCCGGGTACATGCATATGCATGGACAACGTTCCCATCTTCCTTTTTTTTTTCCAACTTTTTTTTTTCCATTTTGTGTCCTATTGAGAGTATACTCTATGGCATCTTCCAATTAACATCCAGAACGTTCTCTAACCAGTGCCCAGTCTAGCTCACAATATCACTCATTCAAATTAATAATCCTCTCTCTGCACAGACCTGGCCTGCATCAGATTCAAATCCACATGCAAGTATCACATACATACGTTCCATTAGCCAGTGCGCTGGTCCTAAATATTAACTTATTATCATCGCCATTGAACTTGGATCCACTCTGCCCTTTTACACGTAACGACTCCAGATGGATGATTCCACACGTTTTTTTCTGCTCAGACAACTGGTGGATTAAATACTTTGTCAGGTGCGCCTTACTCCCCGCTCAGCACAGCACATCTTCCTACCATGCGCATCCATGATAGAGGTGAATACTCGAACCGCGAGCTTTTTAAAACCATCATACTCCGCATCGCTGAATCGTGCTCGAAACCAGACAATTGTTATCGAAGACATGACTACCTGACAGTGGTCATCGATGGGTTGGTTCAATCAGATCATCGACGCCCAATCAGTTGACTAGTGGTCTCCAGGACATCGACACCCCTGCTTCTACCTTTCACGCACGATTTGGGACTCCTTCTCTACGGCTCAGACGGATGATGATGGTCCGGTGTTCTCGCTGATCTAGTGCATTATCAGCCATCCGGGGTTTCACAACTTCCTCTTGCTTCTTCTTTTGCTTTGCTCAGATACATGACAGAGCCGATGTGATCTGGCCAAAGTATGCATGTCAGAATATCGTAGTCGGCGCCTTGCTGATACTTTTTTAGGTGCGCTTGATGCCTTCCGACTTGAAGCCCCGGTTCTCTTCTGTATTCCCCTCTCAGCACTTCTCATCTCCTTGCCACGTGCATTCATTCGTGGCAGAGGCATATACTCACATCGGAAGTCTCTTTTTAAACCGTCATGCTCGATATGGTTGAATCATGCTTGAACAGACGTCGATCAGCGACATCACTCCAATAATACTCACAACGAGAATGGACCCGAATATCCGAAGATCTCATGTGACGCCCAATCATAATAAGCAAATCCCAGTATTTTCCGAGGACATCAACAGCTGACTTTCACCCTTCACGCACGACTCATTACAATTTCTCTACTGCCCAGATGGATGATATAGGGGTGGGCATGCGTCCGGCTCGATTTGCTCTTATCCATGACCATTGGTCATTCAGCAGAAATGGCTCGATCAACTCACAGGCGCCAACGAAGATAGTTAGCGTGGAGAAGGGCCATCAGCGATGGGTCTATTCAGTGACTACCTAATGGCTTCCCGGGCATGCCTTGAGCCAACCATGTAGGTTCAAATCCAAGCTCTGTCGTATCGCGTCGCTGAGAATTCACGCGATTTACATAAACCAAACAGAAGCCAGTCGCAAGAGCTTGAAGTTGTAGCAAAGTCGGGGATCTGATTCCTGTTGCATTCGACAGATCTTCTCGACAAGTGCGCTTGTCTTCCCTCTATTCAATTTCGTGTGTCTAATCGAACCCTTATCCAGGCTATCTTATCATCCCACTGTTCTGATTCGTTGTGTGTTCATTTAGTACAGAGTTGGACTTTGTCCGCCATCCGGCCATAATCGAACACCCAAGCTTCGTATCCAAGCCTTCCCTCCATAAAAGAAAATTTCCCATTATTGTCCCCATCAATACCTAATACCATTGATCATAGTCGCTCTCTTTCTCATGATTCTCCTGCATTGATTCAATCCGCATATCGCCGGTCACCCACAAGTTGTTTCCCTTATTGGTCACCCAGATGGGAGACATTACAGTACCCAGTACCCTCTAACGTTCCTACAAGATATCTTTGGATGCATCCCCATCTTCCTCGCTTCATATTTACTTCTGCATCCAGAATCACAATTGCCCTCTCTGACCACCAAATTCAGAATTGCCGCTCTTAAGTCCTGGTCAGCGGTCGCGGTATCATGATCACGATGGCAGTATTCAAGGCAAGATTTTCACTTACTCAGGTCACTTATTCCTCCTTTTTTGTGTTCAAAGAGATGCTAATTCAAGAGAAGACGAGAACAATTATGCTGCGGAACCGGCCATCAGCTGCTTGAGTTCAGACACGCTACTTCTACTTTCCATTCGTTCGGTCCAAATGACTGATAACTCCTGTTCGCAACTTCGCAAGTCAACTGGGACATCTTCTTGGTGCAGCGAAGAAGTTTAGTCACTCACTACTCCGTCATGCAATGTCACAGCCTGAGCATTTGCACTGGAGCCTCGGGCGTTCTGTCCAGGCGCCTTCGTAATACCAGCGATCAACATGTACGTGTTCGATTGAGGCTTGCTATCAACGACATTCTATGTTTTGTTCAAGAAAGAAAGCAACCAATCCATCTACGTACTGTACTAAGCGCAGAATCACACGTCACGGTTGGATCCCGAGCCCGCGAAAGCAATTTCGCTTGAGCACTCGAGCCCCTGTGGTGCATCGCATCACCTTCTCTTTTAATCCGGGGTATCGCTAGGCCTGGATGGATACGTGCTGCATCGACAAGACCAACAACGCTGAGCTCCACGAATCAATCAACTCCATGTATCATTCAACACTTACCATCGTTTACCTGTCAGATGCTTCACCTTAAACCGGGAACCATTTACAAGTTGTGACCTGCATATACGACAACGTTCAACGGCCCGCAAGGTCTCACTCCCCAACGTGCTGCACTTGACCTTCGCACAGATACATTTGTACATGGTCAGCTGTACACAGCTCTCTCAAGAGTGTGGAGTCGGCACGACATTCGGAAGTTGTTGTCAACGACGCATGAGGGAAAGATACAGTAAATGTGGTTTACTCTTCTGAATCGTTACCACTGTAAATCAAAGTGATCAGGAACAATAATTCTCTGTCTGTAGGCAAGTGTGTTTCTTGTATATATATACGGAGTAAATTGACGAGCTGCACGCTTTGTGTCTTCCGCTGACAGTACCCGTGCGTCCGACCAAGCGTACATTCATATGTCGTGTTGTACAATGTACATGAGCTCGACTCATAGGATATTTACATATAGCTTTCAAGACAAAGTAAGGAGCGCAGCTCATCTACAACATAAATAACCGCCGGCATGTTGTCCACCACGTCCCTCATGCTGTGTACACGGCAAACCCGCCATTTTGTAAATCTGATGTCCAAAACAGGAATTGTCTATCCAATATCTCACGCGCATTATTCATATGGTTTTCGCGCAACGCACAATAACCGCCGGCATATTGTCCATCACGTCATTCATGCTGTGTAGCCTGTTCTCTTTTTCACGGCTTTTTCCGTTCATTACGTCATGCTGTGTTGTTGTGCGTTCTTGTCTCTCCGCCAATTCTCGAAGAAGCTACTACTACGGTCTATTCGTGACGCGTGACGGGGTCTTGTACAGCACTCAATCTTAGATCTTAAATTTCGTCAGGTGGTCTCTTACTACCTACTACTATGCCGATCTGCTCGTTTGTATCACACTCTGAAATCCACGGTTTTATCCTTCATGGTACCCTGTTATCAGTCGGACCTTACTCGGTTCTTTCGAGTTTATCCAAACCCTGCACAGACAAAATCCGAACACCCTCACGTCATTCACAACGAAAAGACCTCAGGCTAGCCAAGGAAGACAATGTGATAATCCATATATAGCTAGTGCTGCCGAAGTTCAGTTCCGTCCGGTTTTTTCAAGATAACTGAGGACCGAGAACTGAACCTCGGTCAAGTTCACAAAGGTAGGGTGGACTCTGGGCCGGACCACTTCGAACGGGTTCACAATGGTCGGGTTCGAGTTCGAACCAGTTCGAACTGCTGAACGCAACATAAAATTAGCAAAATTTTCCAAGTACGAACAATTGTAGGTTAGACTATTCAACAATAAAAATTTGAGGAGCAACAAGCTCAGCCTGCACCATTGCTGATACATGGCCTTGACGGTACGCACTTTTTAACAGTTGAAGTGCCTCGAATGTCTCTGGAAGCAAGCAGTTGCGACGTGTGGTGCCGGTGATGCCGCCACTTGAGAATGCCCGTTCAGATGCTACCGCAGACCCCTGAATAGCGAGGTAATCTTTTGTGATGCGAGCAACAGTGGGATACTGAACCGAGTGATGCTTTAAAAAAATAATTGTCAGCTTCAAGTTACACGGAATATTAAGGATATGAGCTTACACCCCACCACGCGACTACATTCTCAACATCCTCCAGTGGTGCAGCTAAGTAGTCCTCCAATTCCCGACGAGGCCTTTGACGAGCTGCATCATGTGAGACACGAGCTTTGATTGCATCACGCATCCAGCTCTGGCCGTAGGAACCTTGGCGTGAGAGGGATGGTGTAGCAGAATGTGTTGTCGCAGCAGATGAAGGAGGGGCACGATAATACTGATCAAACTAGATACTAAGTTAGTGCGCAGACAATTTATTGAGATACCCATGGACTTACCACATCTTCGAGCCGTTTCACTCCATCAGCAAAGTCTTGAGACGCCCATTTTGCCTTAGCATAGGCAACTTTGTAGTTAGGGTCGAGGGCTGCATGATGAAAGTAAGAGTGTCGTCAAAATGAGAATGTGTTCAGGATGGGGCGAGATGGGCATGTCATCGTCAGGATCATGATACCATTCGATTTCGGACGCATCCTTCAAAACACCATTAGCATTAACTGCAGAGTTCGACATGTTTTGATGAATGAGCTAACCTTGGACGCACCCCACCCTTTTATCCTTTGCTGATGTTCTGCGTAAGACCAGAATGAGATATGAATATCCACTCTGATCAATTGCATCGGTGATGATAGTGCCAGTGATGATTGCGCCAGTGATGATTGCACCGGTGACGATTTCACCGGTAAACTTACTGATATGTCAACAGTGAGCATCTTTCGACGAACCTGAGGAGTCGCAGAACGGAAGCAACAAACCTGCAACTCTAATGATGGGTTCGGACCGGTTCAGACTCGTCCGAACGGGTCCGACGTCCATCCGAGACCACCCGAACGAAGAACCTATGTAAGGTTCGGTCCTGTATCGTATGTCGAACTACTGACCGAACGGTGGTTCCGTTCGCAAAAGTTCAGGTTCGAACCTAGGTTCGGGACTGAACTGCGGCAGCACTATATATAGCAGAATATAGATGATGCCTTATCTATCCCCATGTAAGGACGGAGAGCCTTGTTTCTAACCGATATGAGCGCACCGTCAGAATTGCAGAACGTAGTATTATACGGAGTCCCGGAGCATTTGACGCCACGGAACCAATCAGTCACCTTGCTTGCAAGGTCATATGGCATGCGACGAAATCTGATGGACTATGTGCCAATAATAAACATCAATAAACATCAATAAATTATTAATCTCTTTGTTGTTGAATGTCATCATCGTCGATGCCAACAGATATCAAACATTCTCGTGTCTGCGTATATTCAGGCCATATGCCAAAAAGCAGCTCTGGAGGAGTTCCTAGTTACACGCTATGCAGATTCTGTTAAGTTTATCGCTTACCACATATCAACAGTTATAGTGCAAGAGGAAGACATTGCTACTATGATACTGGCAATGATGACAATAGCAGATGTCATCCTGATGTCTCACACCTGCCGTGTAATGCACAGAATTGGGCAAGGTGTTGTGCATCGACGTTTCAGATCGATCATAGCGCCGTTCGTTGACAGCGCGTTTGATCTTCTGGTATCAGCTCTTCGTCAATCTGAAAGCCTCGTCACCGGTTCTGCAGCTCGTGCGATGATGACTGGGGACATATCTTACGACATCCAGGATCTTAACATTCTAGTCCCCCATCTCAATTTTGATGTCTTACACGACTTCTTAATGGAGACTGTAGGCTACAGGCAAATCTCAGACCATTGCCATCCAGCAATAGTTCAAGTCGTCGAACATTTTGGTAAATACGCATGGAATTGCCGTGTCATCACACTTGCATGTCCCAAGTCAGATATGCATATCCTTCATCTCATTCTCAATGCACCTTCAACTGCAGATATGGTATACATGACGACTGGAGGTGTCACATGCTTCTATCTGCAATGGATGCGCCAGAGCATTTCCATACTCAGCTATACTGGCAACCTCGTGCAGTGGGATAATAAATTGGGCTGTGCTGGAGAGTTTCTTGATGAGCTGAAGGTTGAAAAGGACACCCAATTTATCAACAGCGATTGCAGAAATCGATGTCCCACTCTCTGGCATCACACGAGCAACAAACGACTCCGTCATTCAGTTGATTGGGACATCACTGATTCAGTGACTTGCACTTTCCACAACATCGATATTGAATGGCGTTTAAACATGTATTGTGGTAACAATGCGTGTCATTTCAATTTCAGCACAATGGCAAGTAACTTGAACGGTGAAGGAGCAATTAATTGTATGTATTTTAACCATATTGTCTGAAACATGTTAAACGTCTAATGTACATATTCTTAGGAGCAGATGTGAAATACATCCCAAAGGAAATTCGATGTCGCAAGCCAGTGAGTGCACAATCGAGAATTGTATATTAACGCTAACAGTATGGCATAGAAATTCGCACACCTTATCCAGGCAGCTTTTTACGGTGCTGGCTGCTACAGACCTTTTCTGGTACCTGTTCCTATCAACGATGGAGTGAAGAAGAAGCCGACGCTGGATGATTTATATGTCAATTACTGGATCAAGCAGCGGGACACAAATGCCTTGACCTGTACATGGCGACATATGCGCCGTACCTTTGCAAGTGTCCCCAACTATGAAATGGCATTGATGGGCTGTACACACTATTTTTCGACAATCCTCAAAATCATACTATAATTAACCAGCTGTTGGAACACATGGCCCGTATGTCAGGATCGACTACGTCTGTCAAAGGAAGTGTCTTGGTGGTAAAACAGAGTTTATTGGCAGACAAGCCTATTGTGGATATGAACAAAGATGATATGTTTACTGCTAATATCATTATCAGTAGGTGAGTGATTAGGAGTACCACCGATTTTGATGGACTAAATCATTGACCAGCGCTTTGTACCACGGAATTCTTTAAGGTTCAGAACTGCATCTGTTTATGGGTGTATTCTACACAAACATAAATAAATAATGAGCGCTCAATGATACCAGTGTTGCATCTATAACACTATCAACGAACATGTCCCAGCAATTCCATTCCTCACTTAAAACATTAACCAAGCAAGAAATTATCAATGCAGTAGGCGCCCAGAATCTGAACTGAGCTGAAAAGCGAAAGCACAGCAACTTAGAGACTTCCGTGCAAGGCTCTCCAGATTCTCAATCCTGTATCATATCTGCGGCGTGAGATAAAGCAGCGCATATCGAAAATCCTTGCCTTTCATTGCCTATGTCACTCGACACAGCCCTGAAACAGCTTACTGTCAAGGAAATTCTGTCTGCTCTTCATGAATTTAAGCTTTCCAGAGCTGACAAACGCAATTGAAGTAGTTTGATAGCATCTGTTCAACATTCTGCCAGCCTTCAAAATGCAGTGCTGTCAGCAGCAGACACAAAAACCGCCCGTGTACGAGATGATGAAGAGATAAAGTTGAAAAGAGCTTGTCTGCAACAGAGACGAGACGTCTCTGTGGAAACATCATTCCTGGAGGAGGTGGGAGACTCAGTGCGAAATGGGTGCTTAACAAATTTTATCGATTGTACTGGAAATGCAGCATGTCATTCTACTATATGCGTTGTCTGTGCAGGTGAATTCCTAGCATGCAAGACAACAGAACTCAGTGTTGCTTTCAATTCCGTACAAAGACGTATTAAAACCGCACCTGCATCATCACAGTCAACAACTCGTGCAAGGAATGTTGCTGTATAATCCAGCCATTACAACTAAAGACGACACTCAATTCGGGTTTTTTTGCGAGAAGTACCTTGACGACATCAAGTCAAACAAAACACCTGCTTTATCGCTTGCTAATAACCTTTGGGTCAGCGACATTCCGGATGAACTCGAGATGCTTACTCTTCCTGAACTGTATCTTGGTGGCACTATCATATCCAGCTGCATATATTGTCAAACTGTTTCCAAAGAAGCGCAGGTGCAGTTCACTGGGATACAACCAGTTTAAACAGTGGTTTACGTGGTAATGTGTCAACTTATCAACTTAACACATCCGCTGTTGCAACTATGGTTGAGGGAAAATTACTTCCTCCTAAACCATCCATCCTAGCAACTACCATTGGCGTTTCTATTGTTGGGCCCAATAACTTTCCCGAATGATGTTTACCAGCGTTTCTCACTGTGAGCCGGCGTCATTTACGCAACACATTGCTTTTCCTAAAACGAGAAAATCCATTGTATAACGACATCACAATATCAGAAGAAAATCTCGCGCTGTTCCCAGAACATGGTATTCCGGATGTCATTACTGCATCCGTTTGACATCTTGATGACGTTGCAGTTGTAGATAGCGAGCGAGACGACTATGTACCAGAAGACAATTCTCAAGATATATTCTGTGGTATGTGATTAATCAGTTGAAATACATCTGCGCGTAATTCATTCCGATTACCAGAACAGAACAAGGCTTTTCCAACAGGTCAAGATGCTGTAGAAGATAGCATTGCAAACGACACAGGTAAGCTATGAGTTGCTAAGATAAACATTTCGAAATGCTAATCAATGCAGTAATGTCCAATGTATTTCCAGTCCAATCTCACGGCGTACTTGATAGCAATGTATCGGATGTTGACGATGATGAGCTGTTAGCACATGCATTGTCCAATATTTCTGAGCAGTACCGCATACAGCGTGGATCAACTTTTGTTAACGAATATCCTCGCCGAAACACGGATCAGACACTGAGTATTGGTGACTCTGCCAATCCAAATCACTTACTTGGAGCCTTTCCATGCTTGTTTCCTTATGCTGCTGGAGGCTTCGAAGTACAAAGACCACGTCCGGTATCATATGAGGTGCATGCTCAATGGGCAATGCGCTATGGAGATCGTCGCTTTCGCAAAGACTTACATTTCATGTTCCAAGTCTTTGGCGTAATACAGAAATGCCAAGTTTGCAAACAAGCTGTACTGCAGGTGATCATCTCTCAGTGAAGCCATTGTTGCTCGCTTAAATCAGTTAAAGGTTAAAAAAGAAGATTTTCGCAAGAATGAGCATCTTTTCCACTCACTCACTGTGGTGGATCTACAAAAAGCCAGCGAAGAAGAACATCAACGGAGACTATGTTCAAATACCACTATACGGAGTCTGAAAAAGCATCTAACTGCGGTGCGATCCAAAGTCATGGGTACTGATGAATCCCGGACCAAAATATGTTTGTTGATCTGGGGAATGTCAGTGATGAAGAATCCACCTTCATTATGGATTACTATCAATCCAACTGATACGCATGACCTGATAGCTCAAGTTTTTACCGGTGCAGAAATCGACCTTGACCATTTCCAGCGTCTTGCAGGTCCTGATTCACATACAAGATCTATCAGAATTGCCGATGATCCTTATGCTGCTGCGAAATTTTTTTGCTTTATTATAACAGCAGTCTTGGAAGAGCTGTTCGGTATACAGGCGAATCATAACAAAACCAGGATTGTGCGACAACCTGGCATTTTTGGGACTGTTGAAGGCTACATAGGAACCGTCAAAGCTCAAGGACGCGGTACTCTGCACTTACATATCATTCTCTGGATATCGCATGCACCTACAGCGACTGAAATGAAGAGCCTACTCAAAACAGAAGCGTTTCGGTCCAAAATCACTTCCTTTATTGCTCATAATATCTGCGGTTATCATCCAGATACCACAACAGAAACAATGAAAACCCTCCCACGCGAGACAGCAGTTTCCTATTCCCGTCCTCCAGATCCCAGATCACCCAGTTTTGCCACGGACAAACAACAATCTGTTCGAACATTAGTTTGAGCAGTTCAAATACATACCTGTTCCTCTAACTGTCTCAAAGTTGTATGGGGCCCGCGTGATTTGCAAACGGCGTGCACCTTTCTCAACTGCAGATACAGCTTGGATAGACTCCGAAGGCAGATGGGGTCCGAAAAGGACATTCGCGATGATGAACAACTGGAATCCTACTATGCTACTCACCACTCGAGCAAATCACGACATTAAACTCATCACAAATGGAGAAGAAACTAAAGATATCGGTTTCTACATTTCGATGTACAACCGCGAAGAATCAGCAACACTCGTCTAATGCATCCGCATTGCTCGCAAAATCATTTGCATTTCAGCAAGCTCGAGATAGATGTCACTCAAATGTTCAAGAACTAAACAAACACTTGATCCAGCGCTGTGCTAATTCGCTCAGTTGAGAGCAGGAATTTAGCGCACCGGAAGTTGTCACCTATCTTATGAAATGGGAAGATCGTTATATCTCACATCACTTCGAGACCATTTACTTTTCCTCTGTCATTAATCTGTTGAAGAAGACATGGCCACAACTTGTCTCTCAAAGGTATGCAATTGACGTGGTTTCCAAACCGATTATGATGATAAATCAGATATAGTCATGTAGCTGAACTGTCAAGCGCCGGAGAGCTACATAATTGGCCTGATTCCGCACAAGCTTTTGACATATGTGATTTTCTTCTGTATGGTTAAGTACCATCTAATTATAATCTCTAGTTGGAATACACTGTACTGCATTTTGAGGAAGAAACACAATCACTACAACTCTGTGATCAGATCTGAGAATACATGGATCGAGGAGACACTCTCGAACATTTCAGTTACCCTCGACTTCTTCCTCAATACACATGGTGCTCCTGTTGCCGATAATGACCCAAACAGTTCTTTGTGCTGGAAAGCTCATGTTCGGATCCCATACAGAACATCATCAGTGCGAAACCAATATTGTCGAGTGTTGCGCAACAAAAAGCATGAAACAATACCTTACTTTCCCGGACCTTGGCTTCCTCGTAGAAACGATGAACAAACTTATCCTTTATATTGCACATCCATGCTAGTGTTATTGCAACCATGGAGATCTTTACTTGACCTTAAACCAGCTCAGCTCACATTCGAAGGCGCATTCAACGCATTTACAAAAACAGCATCAGTAGATGTACTGAACATAATCAAAAACATTCAGTACTTCTATGAATGCTCTGATCAAGCGCGAGAGAGGCAAGTTAATCGAGCATTTGATTCTGCATGGAGAACAGCTGCTGTCGACACTACTCAGACTGAAGAAGACGATGCCGAAGAACTGATCAATGATCCACAAGGAGATGGAGACTCAGATGACGGAAGCTCAGCCGAGATCATTACTGAATCTGATATTGAAAATGCCCTTCAAGACTGTCACTCTACTCGGGAAATGTTATATGCCGACGTAGCAATCAATATTGCGGAAGATTTTGCGATTTTTGCTGATGATCCAGTCCAAATTGCGTCATGTCCACCAAGGCGCTGTAGAGACTCGCGTTTCTGTGGGCTCATATGGGCTCATTTTACGAATTCTGGCAACTGGCCTTTACTGCACGACTCGCACCATCATCCGTATGCGACTTCTATCTTGTTTCTGGTCATTCCACACACAACGCGCAGCTTTCCCGCGAAACGCGCCATAGGCGCGCTACTTTCCCACACAACGCGCAGCATTCCCGCGCGCACTTAGCACATTTCTCTCACACTTGTCGCCCTACTCCATATGCAACTTCTGCTATGTCTCCAGTCATTTGCGCATACAATGCACAGCTCTCCTGCAAAGTGCACCATAGGCGCAACACTTTCTCACGCTTTCGCGTTTCGCGTTCCCACGCGCGCGCTTAGCGCGTTTCTCGTGCTTAAGCGCACTCCATCGTGCATCATCCAGGAGCATCCATCCATCGTCCAACCAGTTCCTAGGTGTGTCCCTTTTCATTATCAGACCATATTTAGCCTATTACGCTTTGTATTTCGTTATGCACCCTTACTTTACATCACTTTACCTCACTTACATACTTAGAGCGCTCCCTATTCGGCTCCAAGCCCTGGGAGAGCGCTTAGGTAGAACTTACATACTTTCATGTTCGTTTTACACCACCACAGCTACCGACCACATCTTTCTACCACCATGTACTTGGCAGTTAGTTCCATGCAATGCATGCGTCCGTCGTCGTCTTAAGGCCCTAGCATCAGTCTAAAGCTAGTGGCAGTATCAGTATCCATCTATATCCGCGCTTTTCACCATATTATCGTCTCTCTACACTTGTGCGCTGCTCGCACTACCATCCCTGTTCTCCGCGCATTTTCGCCCTTTCACACTTTCGCCTTCCTGCACTTCGCGCATTTTTCGCATTTCACTTTCCCGCGCGCGCCTTGAGCGCATTTCTCGCGCTTACATCGCCCTTTTGTCGCCTGTGATCAGGGTTGATCAGCATCATTTCGTGGATCCTTGCTTTCTTTGCTTCCCTTAAGGGTCGAACATATCGCACGGCATATCAAGACCCAACATAGAGAGTGTTTGCTTGTCATCTGACTTGCGTTCACCTTTGTTGTGTTACCCACAGCGCAAGGTCACTGCAAAAGAAGTAGAGATGTGCATGCAATGACAGGAGATGATCAAGCACAGTCAGGGAACTAATTTGAAACCAGTCGAAGAAGATAAGCACGACATTGGCTCTGTCAGAACTGCTTTGCTGCCTCTACCTTCTAACAACAACCGTCTTGGAACTGTGGAGCTTGAAGTCGATTCTAATCCAGCAAATGCTGTAGAAATCGCACAACATAACACTTCAAATCTAAATCGTGAACAGCTCATTGCATATACTATCGTTCGCAATGCACTACACGCATATCTCGCTGGACAATACCACGAGCAATTGCTCATGCTAATTACTGGAGAGGGACGAACAGGCAAATCTATGTTACTGGATGCCATAATGCAGCTTTTCGCTGCTCACCACTGTGAATCAAAATTGGCACTCACTGCCATGTCTGGAGTGGCAGCCTGCATTGTAAAAGGTTTGACTTTGCACTCCTGGGCAGGTCTTCCGCCATGACGAATGCCTCGTACAGATAAATGGGCCACTCATCCTCGACCTGACATGGCGCAGAGACGACACGACAATATGAGCCAAAAGTTTCTGCTTGCGATAGATGAAGGAAGCATGTTAACTACTGAACAACTTACATTACTATCCCAGGTACGCCATGTCTTCAAGCTATGATTTATTATACACGTCACAATCTTACACTGCAGGTCCTTGGCATTGTTAGAGCAAAAGATGTTGCTGACCTGGCGATACCTTTCAGAGGGTTAAATATCATCATCATCACCGATTTTCATCAGTTTGCACCTATCGGTAACATCAAGAAGGCATTATTTGCGAGTCATCCTCCCAATCAGAAATGCGAACTAGGACATCACTTCTTCGAGCAGTTTCAAACCGTTATCAGGCTTCGACAACAAATTCGCGTCACAGATCAGGAATGGAGCAATTTACTGCTTCAGGCATGTGACGGTGAATGTACTGCACAAGATCTGCGAGATATACGCAGTCTTGTCATTACTGACAACACTTGCGAAGTTCCAGACTTTAATTTGCCTCCATGGAACGACGCAGTACTGATCACGCCTCGAAACAGTGTTCGAACCCGATGGAACACACTGTCACTCATCAAGCATAGCAAGTACAGCGGAAATTTGCTATACGTTGCACCTGCAGAAGATTCCACAAAGGACATGCCACTTTCTATGAAACAGCGACTCGCAACTACTAAATTATCACTCGACCAGACTCAACATCTCCCCGTTGAAGTCCAACTCTGCATAGGAATGAAGGTGATGATAACAGAAAATGTGGCGCCACAGGCCAACATTGCAAATGGAACGCGAGGGACTATAGTCGACATCCTACTAGATCCTCGAGAACAACCTATCAATCACACTGTGACAAACGGCAAAGTTTACTTGCAGTATCCACCCTCCATCGTGATCATCTGTCTCAATTTTGCTGTAATGCAACACCTTCCTGGCCTTCAGGAATGTGAAATTCCCCTTGAACCATCCGTACACCACTTTTCAATCAACTCTAAACTGCGATATACAGTGACACGTCGACAACTACCACTTACTCCAGGATACGCGTTCACCAACATCAAATCACAAGGACAAACTATTGACTACGTTATCGTGGATATTGGCAAAACAACATCTTTTGCGCTGAGTCCCACTAACGCGTACATTGCGTTGTCTAGAAGCAGAGGAAAACATACCATACATTTATTACGCAATTTCGAAAACAATCTCTTTACACGCCATCCTTGCAAGAGCTAAGAGTGGAAGATGAGAGGCTTGACAACTTAGCGAAGTTGACTGAAGAGCAATACTTAAAAGGAAAATACAGCTGCTTCGAAACCTGTGAGTCGCCTGAATCACCCCATAAACAATAACAGATTGAAATTCCAAACAACAGCCGCGCCTTGACAACTTGAGCATTGCAAAAACTGCAATACATCTATCCAGAGAGACAAATGCAAAGGAAATAAAAGGATTTACAATTGTATCAGAATTTCGCTGCAAAATACATTAACAGTATCAAATTTCACTGACCGGAGCAATTACCGCCTCTACCAACGCCTATAATGTCGCATGCAATAACATCATCCTGAACAAACAGCAATGTGAACCCAAACCAATCGGCTAAAAACCCCACAAGCACTGTTACTCTTTGTAAATGATAAAAAAAGGCGAAGGAGAAATTTGATGCACCTCTAAGATCGACATGTCCACGAAACTGTTCAACAACACCAGAGATATCAATGGCGTAAGCCATTTGTGAATTCATGCAAGTGCAATTATGTGAGGCGTGGATATGGAGTGATCCACATCCTTGAAACGTTACTGTAAGATATCAATACCGCTACATACTCTAATAATAAAAGGTATTTACCTGCCAAGAAGGTACCAGGCAATCGCTGACAAGTTGAAGAGCAACTCATAGCCAGACAAAATATATAAGACACAGTTTAAGTTGAGTGGCATTGAGTCAGACGTACCTCACCAGAATTAAGTAATGCCACATATGATCGGCCTAGGATACCAAACAACAACAAATGACATCAGACAGAAATTCTCCTAAGTTTTGCATCTTAACACCTACCATGAAGATCTTTGATTTTGCAGCGCACCACGCTGGTTTAAAACAGAACCTGAACTACGCAGTTCATCCCCAGATCCTGCAACGCGCTGAGTGGCGACCTGGAGGAACTGGACATGTCTTTACTGATAAGTCTACCGACGAACCCTTCATAGCATTGGCTGTCGCGCATATAGTCGACTTTCGACTGCAATGCACACCTGCAGGCTCCTACCTGGAGCCTAAATTTGGAGCTATAGAAAAAGCAAAGTATCAGTTTGTAGGAGGACGAACACATGGCAAAAATGGGTTTGACGGAGACTTTGCTTGAACCCATGATCTGTTGAATAACATCCAGAATGCCATAGCTGTGTCGCATAACAAAAAGGACATGTTACTAGATGTGCAGAGTATACGGTTTGCGAGAAACATATTTGAGAAGAGAGTAAGCAACAAAACCTATTAATCGAGCTAAAATGACCTTACCTGAATAAGGAACGCGCTGTGCCGGATTCACCGACAGCTAGTCGTCGCACCATCTATCTAGAGGACTTAGAGAATCCTTCAGAAACATCCACCAGCACAGGAGAAGTGCTGAAAATGGATGAAGAGACCACCAACTGGCCGGTCGACGATAAGTTCAGCGACGACTTGGCCAACATAAAGCCCTTCTACAAAGCTGTTCCACTCCATGTTTATGATGAAAATGACAAATTTGTCGAGCCTGTGGATGTCAACAAAGCACTCTGCAATGCTGTCGCTGAAATACATTTTACACTGCACCACACATACCTGCCAAAAAACACTCCGCTGCAAGACTCGTTTCGCGCCAATATTGAACAAATCTTGATACTGCAAGGAGGCAAGAGTATGACAAAGATCTATACGTCAGATCCTCGTGCAGGTCCTGCAAAGTCCACTACTCACCATACTCCTCTGCCAGTAGAAGTGCCACCTGCTAAAAGAGCACATATGGAAGAGAGCGAAAACACGAAAGGAAAAGAGAGAGCAAGGTGCTGAAGAAAATCAGTATATCTGTGGCGTTGAAATGTATTGTAACTGTAACGCACTGAATTTGCGAGGCTCGTTGACATAGTCATTAAATTTAAACTGAAAAGATTGGGGCGTGCCCTACCGGTGCATTGCAATATGCATGTGTCGCAGTAAACAGATACGGGGCACACAAGATCTCACGCAGATCTGTCTTGTAGTGTGCCAGATCTCACGCAGATCTGCCTTAAGGCCTGAACTGTTCACATGAGCAACGAAGCAAATAAATGCACATTACCGGCACGACAAAAGGCAAAACAAATCAACAAAGTTCGGATTGAGTGGTTTCGAACACGTGATCACGTGATCATGCGAAAACAAAAGCGCGGATGCAACCATATGAGAATTTAGCAATATTTGTATGGACAAGCAAGGTTAAAATCGGCCATGCCGATGCCTAGTGTCATAAGTCAAGCGCTGCAAATCTCTCACCCATGTGCTTACAGGGTCCTTGTCCAGGCATTTCCGACGCACAAGTTTGATTTTGCGATTCCGCAATTCTGAGCCAAACACATTGATGATGTAAACCACCAAATTGGGATCGCTAAACTAACCCTTACGGCGCGTAGCGCTGCCACTCGAGCATGCAGCAGTCAGTCCTGAGGCAATTTGGTGGTTTACATCATTGTGCTATAGGCATTCTGTGGTTGATTGTTGTTGTTGAGTTTACATCTAGGCACGCGACTGTTTATGATCACGTGACTGCACAGCTCGTGTCACTTGACTCGCATATTATCCCAACAGAGAAGTTTTTCCCCATTACCTTGTGGAGCAAGGTCATGTAGGTGCAGGTTCGATCGATGCCTGAATCACAGTGGAGCAGAAGAGGCGGGTGGAGCGCACACATGGCGATGGCATGATTTGGTGAGCAGAAGAGGGGTTTGCACGGAGCGCGCACACGTCTGAGTCTACTGTAAGGCGTGCTTAAGTTGTCAGGTCAAGAGTTGTCAAGCTTCAAGCTGAGGTTTAGGACACATTTTAAGACTGCAAGTGTTGGCGCTGCGCGCCGTAAGGTTTAGGTACAATTCCCGTTTAGGACAGGTTTAGCGACGCTTAGCATGAGTTTGGCTCCCTTACGACCTGCAAACGACAACAACATTTTAGAATTGAGCAGTTTCGAAAAAAAAAGTTGAGCAACGTCATAAATTCGCACGGCGAACCCCTAGTACTATGTATACCTGTACCCTATTCTAGGGCTAGCAGATTGGCATAATTAAGAGACCCCTGATGATCAAAACAGTGATATATTAAGCAATCCGAACCACCACGTGACTGATGTAGTAAGCGGCCTGCACAATTATGTGTGAATCAAGCTCATGGTACCCTCAGGCTGTTATCAGTCGGACCTTACTCAGTTCTTTCGAGTTTCTCCAAACCCTGCAGAGACAAAGTCCAAACACCCTCACGTCATTCACAATGAAAGACTCTGCTCGACATGTTCGCTTCAGCTTAATGCTGCAATTATTATTGAGCAGTATATAACGGCCTTGATATCCTTACTCCCTGCATGTTTCGAATTCCCTTCCCTTACTCTGTCGGTTCGATCTTCCGAGTCTCTTCGTCACATTTTCAAAGTCTAAATGTCCTTACTTTTTGCATGGTTGCTCCTCCATAACATCCGTTGTTATTGTCTCCCTCTCATCAATGTCTTTCCCTCAACTTCGTACCATTCCCATATGTACCGTTCTTATTACTAACATGGTAGTTGGTCTTCGGATGTCGTGTCATTTGTATGCTAGCGTGTAGTAATGAATATATTTTCAAATTGACTCCTTGAAAACGCGAAGCCTGCTCGTGGCTGTAAAATGGGTCAGAAAGTCTTGTTGTAGTGAGGGGGAGGTAATATGGACAAGCAAAAAGATGTGTTAGTTTGAACCGAACGCAGAACCCTTTGCGAGGCCAGCTCATGGCTGTAAAATGTCTTGGGTTGATTGAGGTTCAAGTGGCGCCCAAGCATGGTTGAAACAACGAGGCCGTATTGTATTGTACATAATCTAAGTACTCACCCACGAAGTGCACCATCAAGAGTACTGAACTGCGGGATGGGAACATGGGTGAGGTGGAGTGGAACTAGCGAGTCGTCAAACTTGCTAGTCACAACTTGGCATGCAGTGATATACTAAAGTGTGTACAGTATGCTGCGCCAGCCATAGACACAGCTCCGGTACTCCTCTTATGGCTGGGCGAAGGGCATTAGCAAGTGTGCAGGATGATACCAGTGTGATTCTTCGGGTCACTGGTTGCTGCAGTGCATCCTGGTGTCCATTGTCTGCGCCGGGTCGTACCACTGGATTCTGCGTGATGTGGCAGCGCTGTGATAGAGCTAAATTGTTGTTAAAAATTGAATGGTGCGAGTGAAGATGCATACCTTGACGAGTGATACTTCTCGATGCACGGTAAACACGAGTGGAATTACGATCACGAGTGCCAATAACATTGCAGTGAGCCTGCTCATTGCCGTTCATGGTAGCTGGACATGCGCGCCATATATGACATCAGTGAACCGGTGAATTCAGTAATGAAGCTTGTGGGACGGTATAGCGCTGGCAATGCAAATTTGTTAGTTTCGACCTTGTCCTTCAGCCATGCTTGTGTTTTGTCAGTTAGACTACTATCCATTCAATAATAATCGCAGCATTAAGCTGAAGCGAACATGTCGAGCAGAGCCTGGGGTCTTTTCGTTGTGAATGACGTGAGGATGTTCAGACTTTGTCTCTGCAGGGTTTGGAGAAACTCGAAAGAATCGAGTGGGGTCCGACTGATAACAGGGTACCAGAAACCGATGTGAATCACACTATCCATGAACTACCTCGACTCCAAATCAAGTGGGAGATGCTGTAAAACTGCCAAAAATGTATGGGCTACTCCAACTTCAAATCAGATGGGAGACGCAGCAAAAGTTATGTAATGGTCTGTCTCAACAATTTACAGCCACTACATCAGGACTAATGCCCCGCAATTTGAATGGTAGGCCCAGAGGTCAGTATTTTGCAGTCACTGACATTTCGTGCGACCATTGCCTCACGAGTCACAAAAACTAATTGCTCGAATTTGGTATCTTGACCCTGCACTAAATTCCTTCATTTTCATTCCTAGTTTTCAAATCTGTACGCTTCCCTTTACTGCTAGTTGATCCACAGTCATTGATTTGCCAGTCGGTGGTGAAGCCTTACTGATATAGAAGTGCTTCTACTAGCAGTCACGGCATGGCGCGTTTGCCTTTCCCAAGTGCTTTTGCTTCTCTATGTTTTTGTAATCATCCACGCGTACTTGCTGGCGACATTGATACTCGTGGATGACATGTTCCGCTGGATGCCAAGGCCATTGACAATTAACACATTTTGATGATTATGGTTTGTCCAACTAACGGAAAATTCCACAGTCCGAGAGTAAACTCTCTGGCACCCCGCCAACCACGAGGATTTATAGCGATGTGTCTCCCTGGAACTCTCGTCCTGAATAATAAAGCCCCCTTCAAATGCTTCAATCTGAAGAAGCTACATTGGTCACAACTATCACCTCCAACACTGCAGCTATGTCAGACAACCACGCAAGCAATGGATCTATCTCAGTAATGGGACCTGTAAGTTTCAAGTCCTCATACCGGGCATTACTGCCATTAAATTGACACTCGCAGTCGGGCCATTTTCTTAATCCGACGTTCCAGTGTCTGTGGAGCGGACCAGACAGCTCGCCCTGCAACCACTCATTTTTTCCCCATGAACTTTCTAATCATCTCCGTGAACGTCATGGAATTTGGGGTGCAAACAAGTCGCGCGTCCATTGCTCTTGGGGTGATTGCGACAAGGGGCTCAATAAAGAGAGCCTCTCTAGGCATGTGCAGGAAATGCACCTCATGATCAAATATCCTTGCGATACCTGTGACAAGAGTTTCTCGCGCCAATCCAGTCTCAATAAGCACAAGAAAAATTGCCCAGTTCAGCAGCAGTAGATGTGAGATCTGGTCGTGACTTTCTTTCACGTATGCTCGACTAATTCGTGATTTCAGTGTTGTTTCGATAGTCTCATAAGTTGGGTAGTAGATGCCGGAACAAGGAACCACATGGTGGATATTCAATGGTGTCCGAAGCCTTTATACTTGACTCGCTGAGATTGTTATAGTCTTTCTCGTTTTGGTTTGTGCTTATGAATGTGTGTATGATACTTGTGTTGATGATGAAATGTAGTTATCACATTGCATTACACGACAGCGGTCGTCTTGAGAAATTGCACATCATCGATTGATCCCTTAGCAGCCTGCCTTGTTTACACTTTGAAGTAATACAATGCGGGTACACTACTCAATTGGAATGCGCACTTCGCTCAACAGTCCGTCAAATAACTCTGATTCACACCCGCGTCCTGTGCTCAGATACAGATACAAAATCATGAGTCGGATGCATACTCAATGCGATCCCTTTGGGGCCTGAGGTGTTTGCAGGCATACCGTACAAGTAGTAAATACTACTCAAGAGTCTATGGATAGTATCAAATTTAGATGTAGAAATGATGAAGGCTGAGCGGTAAAGGGTTATATTTATGTGGGGTGACATTGTAAGTGATGTACGCACCACAAGGATACCAAATCCCACCACGCAGTAACTGAATGGATGTCTCAGATGTGGGCCCAAAAATGCAACAACATTAGACTTACGTTGCATACCAGAAAGACATGTCGCCATGACCAGGTTCTGGTGGTACCCTTGTCAAATAAATCAGTTCTGCTACAAGACATTGATTCGGAGGGACAATACCATGGCATTATGAGGAAGAATATTGTGCTGAACGTTGAGACTTGGGCACATTCGTCCAGCTCAGCTAGTCAGAGCAATCGACCTCCGCAAAGGACGTCGATGATTACCCACAACCAGCAGAACCATTCTCAAGTCACATCAGGATATCGTGACGTGTTTGACTTGCATTGATTCCCCATTCCAAGGAGGCATTGGACTCGGAGTGCCAACAGAGCAGGGGTGATCAAAGTGTGGAAGGTCGGATGCAACCGACTAGCTGCAGCCCAGCTAAACCGAATCTCTGGTGGACCAAAGAGGAGGACTTGAGAAAGATGTTCAGGCATTCATAAAGCTTCCCAGCTGGAAAGACGTCAATGTTCAAGCCCTGAAGCAAGTGCTCAGCGAACGTAACAAAGTTGGAGCAGCTAGCATTCTGTAGAGTAGACAATTACTAGCAAGCCTGTCGAGGGGGGAAAAAAACAATTGCTTCAATATGGCATGATTTTAGAAACTGAGAGGACGGAAAAATATTTACGAGGCTAGGGATATAAGACGCGCTGCGAGTTCAGCGAGATGGGGGGATGGAAGGCTGAAATCCGAGGAAGCATTACGATCAGACCGTGTTTTGACGCGCGTTGGACCGTCTTAGCGCGCGTCAGGACCGTGTTTTTTGCCTGCGGGTCCTAGTCCCGAGCAGGGCTCACCCTAATTTTGGCGGGGGAACCGTCCATTCCACTAGTAGTTTCCTGCATGAAAAAACACGGTCCAAGGAGGCATGACAAGCCCGGTTCATGATCGGAACCGCGCAAAGGCCAACATGCAATATATCATATCAAGGGTGACGCCCCTTTCGGTTGACAGTTTCCCGTAGTTTTGGTTCCGCGAAGAAAAACAAATCCCCGTTAGAACTTAGCTACTAGTAGCACGCTTGTTTAAAACTGCCTCAATCTAGTCCCTGCAACCTATTGCACTGCCCATCCCCCCCCCCTCGGATACTGCAAGCACCAAAACATATACTTACTCTCTCCTTTCGTTTCGTCTCGTCCCTTCCCTCCACAAGCACAAGCACACACCCACACGCACCCACACCACCACCACCCCTTCGAACCATATCCCCCTACCCAAGTATGCCGTCCATTGCGTCCTCATTGGTGAGCCGTCCATTCCAGGGTGCTAGTTCCCCATTCGCGTTCGGGGTCCCTCCTCCCCGCGCGCTCTTGCTTCTTTTTCATTTAAATCGGGTCGTTTTGACGTCCCTTCTCCGTCCAGTCCCTTTTGGGAATTGAGAACTGGCGTCGAGGAACGGGTCACGAACGGTCCACGTCACGTCACCAAAGTGACATCGGTGACTGGACCGTTCGATTTTCGAATCGAGCGCTACTTCTCTCGAAAGCAACACGGGAGGCTCAATTCTAAAATGTCGTTGTCGTTTGGGAGCCAAACTCACGCTAAGCGTCGCTAAACCTGTCCCTAAACGGGAATTGTACCTAAACCTTACGGCGCGCAACGCCAACACTTGCAGTCTTAAAAAGCGTCCTAAACCTCAGCAGTGCTCCTAAACCTCGTCATTCCTGGCCTAACCCTCATCTAAACCTTGTTATGGTAGAAATGCTAGTAATTTATGAGTGAGAGGTGCATTATATTCATAAACACACTACATAGTACTGGATATACTCTATGGAAAGGGTTGAAAAAGGTTTTTAGGAGTGTTAGCGCCACCGTCAATTTTTCGACATACTCGCGGGAAACACGGTCCCATCATGGCTGTGTTGTACAGCATGTTATTTTTTTATCCTTCCTGCGCTTCGGACGTACCCGGTTCAGGCACGCTGACTTAAGCCAGAGGCACGTTTAGTGGATTCGTTCGGTTGCCTCCATCGAACAGGTGAATATTATATTGAGCTCGAGGCTTTGAGCTCAATTCCTTCGGCGATGTGTTGTTTCTCTCCGCTGCTCTATAAGCACCTGGTAACTGCAATCAACTTCAGATTCGAATCCTATCAGGTGGAATTGACGCGGTCGTGACGCGGCTCCGTCACAAATACATTATGTTCAAACACTATTATATTGGTCGCTCGAAATCAATTCCAAACACTTTGTATCCTCGCCAATGATCAACATATGATGTCCGTCTGTGCACACTGTGTCAAGTTTCGACCCCACCTTATCAAGTCCGGCAGCCTCTGTGCTCTGTACTACCACGTCAAGCACCCAACCATGTCATGTCAAGCTTCAGTCAGGCTGGGTCAAGCACTACTCACACTATGACAAGTTCTCCCCAACATCTTTGCAGCCTCCGTACTAATGTAAACCTCCACACTTACCTTAGCTGCGTCAAGGCCCACTTGCGTGCCGCGTCAAACCTCAATATTAATGCCACGTCATGACTTTTCAATAACTGTCAGTGTCACTTAGGTACATAATATAAGCATTCTACGGGCAGTCACGGTGGCACTCCAAAAAACATTTCTTCTCCACCCTCAACTACTATGGCCTAGAGCAGAACCGGTATCGCGCTGTTGGAAATCTATATATACCATGCCTATCGTGAGTGCTTTGAGATACGGAGGGCACTGTTTTAACCATACTCTAGGAATTGATCAAACATATATTCAATTTTTTCTATCCCAGCGAGAGAGGGGATCAAAATCGTCCAGATCAACCGCTGGTTGGGGATCTTATTCCCTGCTATGACCGCTCGGATGCGCCGTTCCACTGATGCTCTTTGCGAACTCAAATTCGACAAGTACAACAGGTAATGTAATAGCTTATCTTCCAACCTCTGTGCAGACCACTCGGCCGTCACACGCTTTAAGTGAGCAATGCTTCGATGACTCTTTGCTTGCCTCCCTGACACTATAGTTAAAAACATAGGTGCTCCACACATTCCAGCGACTCCTGTCACACATAGAACTGTGCACTCTGCCTCACATTGCTCCATCCCTCCCTCGACTCATGAGACACCACTCCCAGGAGCTCTTTGATATTCGCACAGACACAAAATGTATGCCACGCCGGCGCACCCGAAGTGCTAGTCCTTCTACAGCCCGAGCAAATCAACGGCGCGATCCAGATTGACCATCCGACTCTCTATGTCCCAAATCTGCCGCTGGTGGCCAGATCCTGACAGATGATTTGTGGGACCCATGGCCGGACGGAGATTTTGAAAGATTATTCACGTGGGAGGAGGTAACAAAAACTGATAATCTCAGGGAACATTGGGCTTGCCAGCCGGGAGGAGGAGACAAGAGGGGGTCAGAGTCGGCACTGACATGGTCACGAGGCAAAAAGACGAGACGTGTCTGCCTGGGTGTCATTACTTGTGACGATCCTACCTGTGATGTGGTTACGCGCCCACAGACACGCAGGGCTGGCATCATGGGGCAATTGAATGCAATCGTACCTTTGTGGCGGGCAGCTCACACAACGTCGACTGTGGTGTCATGTCAGTGCTGTATTCATTCAAAGGGGGGCGTCTACTACATTCACAAGGGCGTTCACTACCACCCAAAGCAAACCCACATCTTGCATCTATCCCGTGTTTACCGCCCCTCCAGGGGTACACATGGTCAACGTTCCCATCTTCCAATTAATATCCAGAATTTATCTAACCAGTGCCCAGTCTTATATCAAGATCACAATAACACTCATTCAGATTGATAATCCTCTCTCTGCACAGACCTGGCCTGCATCAGATTCAAATCCTCATGCAAGTATCACATACATATGTTCCATTAATTAGCCAGGGCGCTGGCCCTAAATATTAACTTACTATCATCGCCATTGAACTCGGATCCACTCTGCCCTTTTAACACGTTAACGACTCCCTGCGCAAAACGAGTTTACTTGGAACAATGGTCCCATAGTATCGTTTCCGCTGCCACACTTTGCATTCATCGTTCACACGTGCCATTTCTTCTTGCGAGACTGTATCAAGACCATCAACACAAGGTAAGCATCTTCTGTGAACTTTCCTGATCTAGGTTATGCTCTGACTCCCCTCGACCCTGCACCTCCCACTCCATTGTTATGGACAGCCCAGATTAATATGGTGACGACAAGGAAGCAGACTCGTTGCATTACCAGCCATCTCGGCTTCCACTCACTGGCACCACGAATCATTGCCATTAATTCAATGCTTTCCCTTCTCTCTAGCTCCTCGCATTGCATCCGGTATTTTCCCTCACACTTTATTCGTTTTCATAAATATCATTTTCCTCCCCATTCGCCCGAGTCAAGTCCAGATGGCAGGTGTCACGGTGGTTGTGTCCTATGAACCAGAGCCGCTGTGTTATCAGCGATCTGGGCTTTTACTCATTATGATCACTTCTCCTTCCTTCGTTATGCTCAGACAGATGATAGATCTCGAATTGGTTTGATGATTGTGAAATCCTTGGGCTATAAGCCGTCTGAGCTCAGACCGCTGCTGTTACTTTCCTGCTTCACAGAAATTTTGCATTGCGTTCACGTGTTCGGCCCAGATGGATGATTCCACACGTTTTTTCTGCTCAGACAACTGATGGATTACATAACTTTTGTCAGGTGCGCCTTACTCTCCCCGCTCAAGCATATCACATCTTCTTACCACGCACATCCGTGATAGAGGTGAATACTCGAACCGCGAGCTTTTTAAAACCATCATACTCCGCATCGCTGAAATCGTGCTCGAAACCAGACAATTGTCATCGAAGACGTGACTACCTGACAGTGGTCAGCGATGGGTTGGTTCAACTAGATCATCGACGCCCAATCAGTTGACTAGTGGGTCTCCAGGACATCGACACCCCTGCTTCTACCCTTCACGCACGATTGGGGACTCCTTGTCTACGGCTCAGATGGATGATGATGGTCCGTGTTCTCGCTGATCTGGCGCATTATCAGCCATCCGGGGTTTCACAACTTCCTCTTGCTTCTTGCTTTTGCTTTGCTCAGATACATGACAAAGCCGATGTGATCTGATCAAAGTATGTATGTCAGAATATCGTAGTCGGGCGCCTTGCTGATACTTTTTTAGGTGCGCTTGATGCCTTCCGACTTGAGCCCTGGTTCTCTTCTCTACTCTACTCCCTCTCAGCACTTCTCATCTCCTTGCCACGCGCATTCATTCACGACAGAGGCACATACTCACATCGTAAGTCTCTTTTTAAAAACCGTCATGCTCGATATGATTGAATCATGCTTGAACAGACGTCGATCAGCGATATCGTGCCAGTAACACTCCAACGAGAATGGACCTGGATATCCGAATATCTGATGTGACGCCCAATCATATTAAGGATTCCTTACCAATAGTTTCCGAGGACATCGACAGCCGATTTTTCACCCTTCACGGACGACTCATTACTACCTCTCTGCTGCCCAGATAGATGATATGGGGTGGGCATGCGTCTGGCCCGTTGTGCTCTTATCCACGACTCTCGGTCATTCAGTAGAAATGGCTCGTTCAAACTCATAGGCGCCATCAAAGGTATGACAGCGTGGGGAAGGACCATCAGCGGAGAGCCATCCAGGGACTACCTAATGGCTTTCCAGGCATGCCTTGAGCCAACCATGTAAGTTCAAATCCAAACTCTATCGTATCGCGTCGCTGAGAATTTATCCAATTTAGATCAACTCGAATAAATCAAACAGAAGCCAAGCCGCAATAACTTGGGGTGATAGCAAAATCGGGGATCTGATTCCTGGGTTATTCGACAGATTTTCTCGACAAGTGCGCCTGCCTGTCCTCCCTTCAAGTTTGTGTGTCTAATCGAGGCCTTATCTAGCTTATCTGATCATCCCAATTTCTGATTCGTTGTGCGTCCAGAGGTTGGACTTGTCCGCCATCCGGCCATAATCGAAACACCCAAGCTTCGATGAGTTCTAACGGGTGCGTGATTCTTGCTTGCGATCATTGGACATTCTCTCATATGATTTGCTCAGATACAAAATGGTGAGTCGGATGGCATACTCAATGCGATCCCTTGGGGCCTAGGCATTTGCAGGCATACCGTACAAGTCGCTACTAGCAAATACTACTCAAGAGTCCATGGATAGTATCGGATTTAGATATAGAAATGATGAAGGCTGAGCGCTGAACGTTTGAACCGCATTTCTGTCAAGGCCTGTAGCGCAAATTTTCTACATAAGCACCAACAAACCATGATGGAGTGGGGCTAAATATTCATATGTCGTGTTGTATATGTCTTGTATGTTCGTAGCTAGCATCATCAACTTGTCTGCTTTGGCTTTGGGCTTAGGCCGCTCCAACGACAAGGAGCGCACCCTCAATAAATAGTATATAACACTTATCATAAGTGAAATCTTCACATCTAAACCCAACCTCCATCGATCCGGACGGACCATTCAAATGAGAATTGTCTGTGGCACTCCAGGAACCACTTTGGGCGCGTACACGAGTTTCCCCCGTCACAACATCGTAGTGATGATCCAATCTCGCCTGGCGAACCCACTGGAGCAGTCAAATTGCAATCTCCCCTTCCTTCCAGACCGCCCTGCGAGAGCACATATGCTAATAGTTAGGCTGACTCAATATGAGATGCGGGTGCCAACTGGGAGAGAGAAATTGAATCCAAGGCATTACAATCACGATTGCGGTCGGCATGCCACAGATTGGAGGTGCATTCGAGTGGCAAGTATGGCATGAATGATAACTTGGAAACTAGACACATAATTGGGGGGTTGTAAGTATTGCTTGCCGGCAACATTGGCAGAGACGTACTCTTGGAACATGGCCGCTATACGCTTACTGCATGAAATCTCAATTGCAAGAAAATCTTTCAGTAAATAGATAACATACATCGAGTAGCAGCGATGTCAAACGTTCACAGTCGAGAAAACTGTGGGAAAGATGAGCAACGATTGACCACTCCCCTCCCACTTACACACAGACCACATGCATAATAAAGCACGTTGTGTTTCAATATAACAACATACAAACGGTTGTTGGTTGTACGCCAATTTCGTATGGTGCATGTGAGTGTGAGGGAAATCAGCGCTGTATCAAGCATGATTCAAAAAGCGTTTACGAATCAATTCTCTTTGACGCACTAAATTCTAGTCCGAACAAAAGAAGGAAGGGACAAAAAGCCTGACGCTTCCTATGGACTGATAACAGCCTGTGATACCTGGAATTGGACTGGTTTTCAACTGTGAAATGAAACTGGATCAAAATTACCAGACAGGCATAGGGAGTAATTCATACACGGCGCAGCCGCAGTGGCGGAAAAGAGGGCAACTATGGACCCCACAATTACAACCTGATGGTGTGTTTTCGTATTAGAAAGCCGCAATATAGACGTAACTCACTCACTGCAAAAGTTGATAGCATAGCTACAAAACGACCTTATTGTTATTCCACAGCGCGTAAGTCCTGAGGATGAAGAAACCTGGAGGAATCAAGACTCTGCACTCGCGATAAAGATAATAGAGCATTTACATTCTGAGCAGACAATGGATATTAGGCTAAAAGCTATAAGAGGGGAAAGGTCAGCAACTGGTAATTCCGACATGTAGTTTGATGTACTTGAGCAAATGTTGTTGACAATTTGGCATGTCTAGATTGGCCTTTAAGTGAGCAGGGCTCTTATCTATTGCGAGCCAACGTACATTAGAAGTCTCGTCTGGGACGAAGTTCACTGGCAACAGTCTGTCAATATGGTATTTTAGATTTGAGATTTGAGACTAAAGACGTACAATACAAGTGCGCAACAAAAAGAAGGAAAGGCACATATCGTGTCACAACGTACAAAAATTTGACCCTGTTCAAGCGGGAATAAAGCAAAATATTCCCTTGAAATGGTGTATTGTGAGGATAGGAAGTTGATCTTGTAAATGATCTGTGTTACCTCCTCATGGATTGAGCAGACATAGTCGTATATCTGGGTAGGAACCGAATGACCAGTCACAAGATGATATTAAATTGGGAAGATGGAGATGGTCATACCCAAAATGTAGCCATCGACGCTGAATTGTTGCTTAGCAGATGTGGTTTGCTGACGAAGTAACACATACTGTAGATGAACTAGAAGCAATGGACTTCATCAGAGGCCATTGGCATTGTCTGGAGGAAATTTACCGTAAAGATTGGAGACTCCTAGCGGCCGCTACAGTGTCGGCAGAGTATTTCGAATCCATTCGATGGAGATGGAAGGAAGAGGGAACGATATTTCCGGCTGAGAATCATGCAATGCAGGGTTAGAATGTGCTCGGAGCTGGCATAATGAGAACGGCATGACACGGATTGTGATCATCAGCTCAAGT